AAAAAAAAAAAAAAAAAAACTACCGCATTACGGCTCGACATTTTTATACATTATCGACCATAACGTAACTACGGCTTGTGAATAAGAATCTTGTGCATAACTTTCTTCGAGCATTCATGCCAGTCTGATACGATTTTATTAACGTGAAACCAAATAAGAACTAAAAACACCAGTAGTAAATGTCAAAACGTCAAACGTCTATAAATAACCCGAAAAACCGCTAGAATGGTGTTTGACATTTTTACCACGTCTAGAAAATGTCAATATTAAGAGCGAGTATTCTTTGACGAATTCACAGTATTCGAATTGATGAAATAAAATAAGAGGGACTATAAAACATAAAAAAATATTATTGTTCCTTGTAATTATTGAACTCAACCCAATCTTACAGGAGACTTAGCCCTCCACGCCTTCCACACCAATTTTCAAACATAATTCAGTAATTCATAATTTCCGAAAACAAACACTACGAACACTGCAGGTAAACCTTTGCTTCATGGTACCTACTATAGTAGATATTATTTATTTTAGATTCTAATATGATGGATAATATTCTTAATCCTTAGAAAAGACGTCGGGAAAACTTGTAACTGTTGCATGTACTGCTTCTGTTTTATTCCATTTCGTTTATGCAATGAAAAATAATCATATAGGTCAGAAATTTCACTGAATACTTTTATAGGTATAGTCTCTTGTGTATAGTTCTTTCCAGAATTAGAAGCTCTTTTCTCGTATCCTCCGCTGCGTTCTATGCGTTCCGCTTCAAACAAATAGTAAAGGTACGCTTACATTTCTGAAAAATTAGTTGCGGTACTCCGTCCCTCTCCTCAATTCGTGCACCGCAAATTCAGGTTCCTACAATTATTTTTAACTTAATTACAAAAAAAAAAATATTTTCTACTCTTTTTAGAAGATTATTACACAATATTTCGTTTGGTCTTGCAATACCTATGCTGTACAGTGAACATTTGTATGAAGTTTGTAACCAGCATCACTCTCCCTCATCGGTGACAAAATAATTCTCGAATGCATAATCGACTCAATAAATCGCAATGCATAGTAAAGCTTTTTAACAATAATAATATTATAATATAAATACTTACATTACCGCATTAATTACTATATATATTTTTTTTTCTTCTATTTATCCAATATGAATCTACATGAGCTATAGATTTGTTTCATTGACTACGCAGGATAAGTACACGAAATATTATTTTTATTTTTTAGCAATTTGTTCTTTCTGTAACGCTTATTTTTTCGTTAAAATTTCTTTTTCCGAGTTTAAGTATTAGTAATAATTTAATAACTATCAGTGCTTTTTTTTAAAAAAGATTTTTTACGGGTTTATTTCAAGTGATTTTTTATATTTTCATGTTTTAATGGGCTTCGATATCCGAACTATATTAACTACTTATTTATTGGCGTGTAAAAATATAATAATAATAACAATAAATCGAGTACGCCTTTTTGTTGGTATAATAAACCTTAAATTTTACATTTATTTAATATCACATATTATTGCCACAAATAGAATCCAAATTTCGGAGGCACTGAAATAAGGTAAATACTCACAGACTTGCTTTCCCGCAAGGAGGGCGTAGTCCCCTACGCTTGCACACCCCCGGATACCGTTGCCTAGTTTAGTAATAATATTTTGATATAAAATCAGTAGCATCATAAACATGCGCACGGGGGAGATAGGAGAGGCGGTTGCACCCCCCTTCGAGATTGTCCGTCGAAATATGTTTCGAAAAAACATGTCAGATATTGTACATTTTTTTTTTTAAAATACCAAACTCTAACGCGCTCTTAATTTTGTGCGTTGGCGCAAACAGGGGATGGACCATTAGAGAATTTCGACCCCCCCCCCCGAATACTCAATCAAGCCTCCTAAATGAAAGTTGTCATCGAGTGAATACCAAACATACATGATCGATGTTATCGAGGCTCAAGCAACGTCCAAAAATATTTGCACTAACTGTTGTGCCACGACACAATATTATAATTGTTTATTGAGTATTTAATTTAATTTCCGAACAAAATAATATAAAACAGCTGTATACGATCCGTTTTGAAAACATTAACAACGCGCGTATACCTATAATTTTGTACGTTCATTTTCCGCGCGGCCCTAACGACCGCGATGCGCCGTCGTCGCGTTGCCCGCCGCGGTACGGTACCGCGTGTACCGCAATTCGAGAATCGCCGTGCCAAACTGCGTGTCGACAATAATAACACAATAGACGTCGTTGCATAATAATACATAATGCGTGTGTACGCTATATTGTCTATATTATATTAAATTACGTTGCCGCAGACTACATAAATATAAATATATATATATATTACGAATACGACGTTTATAGGCGTATAAATAACTACGATAATATTATTATGGTATTCGACAGAGGTAACGGATTGGATACGATAAATATTATACAATACACGGATATACAATAATGTTGCGCGTAAATATAAATATACACGCGCTTGTATCGAAAACTAAACCGTAGTCGAGGTCCGACAGTATAAACCGTACGATAACGTTACGAAAAAATTTTAATGACAGCGTACGGACGTGAGTCAATTATAATATTATTATCACAACACAAGTCGACGAGAAAAAAAAAAAAACACAAAAAAACATTATCCGAACACACATTATAATGATAATAATGGGTAAACTACTACACTGCTGCATGCGTGGTGAACAGTAATATGCGATGTTATATTATAATACATTGTTATACATTGTTGTTGTAATATTTATAGCCGGTCGCCGTTGCAGAAAATATCGTCCGTACGGTAATAATTTTCCTCGACGAAAACGGGATAAGTATAAGCCGTTTCCCCGCCCGCCACCGTTGCATTGGCATTTAGCCTCCGTTACCGAAACACGAATATTAATTGTCACCCTTCTATACGGTAATAATTTGGTGAACGGACTTGTACGCGCGATTAAAATCGACAAAAAAACCGCTTGATAAACATTTTAAAAAGTAAAAATTATAGAGGGATGTATGAGTTTCCTTGTTGACCGCTCTAAACACATGTTCTTCAACTACAAAAATGATTAACACAAAGATATTATTTTTAACTACGAATTTTTTAAAAAAAAAAAAAAAACTCACTTTGTGTTAAGTCATTTTCGTAGATGGTATACAAATTATAGATCCGTTTAGAGGGGGAAAAATTTTAAACCCTTTTCGCGTTTGCTTTCGGATATTTTTAAGTAATGCTTTTTTGATGTATTTTTAAACCGTCTGTTTGTTGGTTTTAAGTACATGTAAATCCGTTCCTTTATAATTAATATCGTATACCAATCTGCACTTAATATTATTTCAATATTGTAAAGTGGTTGCACGTGTATTGGTGGTATGATCGCTGGAACCGCTGATCCGATTTTTGAAATTCTCGCACTCCGGACCGTCCTATGTCCATGGAGCAGGGCGAGCCAGACCCTAGCCCAAGGATCTCGCGCGTTCCCGGCTGAAATCGGGACTTTTTAATGTAGGACTGTTGCCAAATTGAATTAAATGTTTGGAAAAAAAAAACGGATACGATTGTGTAATCAAAATAAAATAAAATAAATTGTCTCTTTTTGAAAGAAAACGGACAGTCAAGGAAAATGGTATCTCTGCATTTTCAGAGGGAAACGGTCCCGCAAAAAATATTAAACCGATAGACGATATCGGTCTATCTTGACTATGTCAAGACGAAGCGTTTTTTTTTTTTTGCGAATCGATCTGAGCGTTTATTATAAGTCATTTATACGAGTTTTATTTTATTCCGCGGTACGTAAAAACGCGTTAAATCAACGGCACACACTCATTACTCACTTATATCGGAGTAGTCATACCTAAAAAGATACGGACATATTTCGCAACATGGGCGGGCCACTGTTATGGGTGCAGAGAAGTTGGGAAAGTATGGAATGTATGGGCGAATTTTATGTGTAAGCAACGATTGCTAACGAAAAACGATTCTGAGCGGAGTTCGGTTATACATGTTTTGAAAGGCAGTAATATTTACGATTTTAAAATAATAAATTTCTTACATTTTCCGGTTTTTCCTATGTTTTTCCCGGTTTTTACCATTTATTATGAAAACAGCTGGAAAAACCGAAAAAATTAATCTAAACCAGTTGAATTTACTTTTAGAAAAAGTGCCACACTTGAAAATCGGAACGAATTTGCCAGTAGAAAAATTAGCCAAGAAAAAAAAAATTAATATCATTGTAAAACCAATAAATTTCTCGTTCCGCTCAGAATCTAATAAAAAAAAAAAAAAAATCGGTTAATTTGCAAAAATATCCGGACTAATGCTGTACAATTAAATTGTTTCGACAAATTCAATAATAACAATAATAAAAAAATTCTATCTACATAATAATATTATTAAAATAATAATTTACAAGGACTATATGTATTGTACAAATTCCTCGGACGGTGGACGAACTCGCGATTACGGTTGAGGGCCCCGTCACAAGCGGCCACAATTGTGAGGCGACGCTGTCACGTTATGGGCCCTGGCCCGGGTCCGGTCCCAGTCGACGACCATAACCGCGGCCGCGTCGGACCGCAGCGGATGGCGGCAACACGCGAACGTCCGTCTGACGAACGCGACGTTGACGCCGACGTCGTTCAGGCCGTCGGTGACCATCCGCAAGTATCGCCTGGTGTTTGGCGACATGGAATCGTCCGCGGCCGACGTCACGCCCGCGGCCACCAGATCTGAGGCCGTTACGCGGTCGTCGTCTGCGGGCCGCTGCAACCCGCTGCATCCTACGTCTTGGTCGTCGTCTTGGTCGTCGATGCCGCGACCGATGTCCGTCTCTCTTTTAGACGACGACGACGGCCATCGGTTGTCGCTGTTGTCGCCGTCGCGGTTGTCGTCCAGAAAAAAGTCGTGGACCGAGGAGAAATCGGCGTCGGTTGTGGCTACGGTCTTTGCCGTCGTTGTCGTCGTCGTCGTCGTCGTCGTCGTCGTCGTTGACGACGGTGGCGTATACTTGACGTCGCTGACAGTCAGGTGCGTCTCGCTGACGTCCACCACCGTGTCGTCCAGCGACCTGGTCTGGAAGAACGTGTTGCGCACGAACTTGAAGAACGGTATGATGACAAACGTGAACATGCGCTTGACGAACGCGAACGTTTTGGTGAACCATTGGAACGGTTTGGACGGTGTGGCGCCGCTGCCGCCGCCGCCACCGGTCCCGAACGACGGATCGTCCAGATCGGATTCGAACACCGCCTGCCGTTTGTTGCCGTTCTTGGACGCGGTGACGCTGCTTCTGGACGTCGTCCTCGTAGCGGCCGGTTTTCCGGCCGGCTTGACGACCGGGGCGTCTGTCGGCGGTTTGTCTCCCGTCTTAGACGGCGCGTCCGCCGCTGCCTTCGTCGTCGATCCGGTCATGTACAAGCCGTACACCTGCCACCCATTCCGGCTTGGCGCGCCGTCATCACCGACCGTCCCGACGCCCGTCCCGTGCATCTTCCACGCCGCCGACGGTATCGTCTGCAAAACCAACGACCAATAATATTGTTTTAAGTATGATTACTAGGGCACGGATTATAATGCAAACTAAATTCTTTTCTGAATGTCCTAAAGCCGCCGTTGCTTCCAAGCGTCATAAAATTCGTTTCGTACGAAAAAAAGACGTCCTAGGATAATGGGAACGGGTGCAGTCACAGTTATGGATAATTTAATGTTTATCTGTTAGCAACGATTAACCATTGCTAGCGTAAAAAACGATTCTGTACGGTGTTCAGTTGTTAGTGATGCTTCGTCAACAATAAATACACATGTCATATTATGGTAAAATAATTGAATAGACACATATTATTATCTTAAATAATATTTGTTTAATGTACCGATTTTCCCGTTTTTTCTGGGTTTTCACGTTCGCTGGGAAAACTCTTGGGAAAACCGAAAAACGTAAACATTTGAGCAAGTTCTCTGGTAGGGAAACGGTCACGGGGAAAAAAAAAATAGATGTTGTGAAAAAGGACATTGAAGCAATGAAGGGCGGACTAAATTGGACGATTTTGGTTACGGACATAGACATAGACGGAATTTTTGGGAACAGGGCCGGATTAAGCCTAAGTAAATAAAGCGCTAATATGTGCCTTGTAAGACCATTTAAGTGATATAATATCATAAACAGCATTTGGAACAGCTTTGGCCGTATACAATAATTGTCTTACAAGCTATTTGAATTTTATGATACAAAATCATACCATTTAAAACGTTTTAATTCGCCTAATTTTAATATGCTATTATTGCGTATTACTGGGAATAAAATAGTCCATGTCATTGTCTAGGTCTAGTGTCTAGTGCCTACCACGTCTACTATATACGTCAATCGGGACCTGGCTGGAGGATTGGACGTGCGACGGGATGGTCCCAAAGGCCGAATGAACCCAACTGACAATAATAGTTAAAATAACTGTAATACGATAATATTTCAATCGGCTTACGAAATGTTTGGAATACTTGGATTGAAAATATCGAATACGACGACACGGGCGGCTGCAGCTATCTTCATGGACATCACGCGCACTACGCCATTATTATTATTATTATTATTATTGTATAGCGTTTTTTTTTTTTTTTTTCTATAATTATTAATATCATAACGTTATTATATTATCGTTATTATTATTTTGTTATAAAGGTACCCGATTTGTGTTTTTTTTTTCTCCTCTCCTTTATCTGTACGTATACGCGATGACGTGTATAATACCTGTCTAATAATAATAATAATGACGGTGACAACGACGACGACAACGGTGCCTGTGTTCGGCGGACCAAAGCTCGGCCGGGCTCCGTAACGGACCGTAACGAACCGCAAAGCAAATACTGAGGTCAAATTCAAACCCTGGGGATTCGTCGTCGTGAACGGTTTAGCTTATTGTGCACGCGAACAAGCGCGCGTGAAACATCAGGTCCCGCGTGTCTAAGTTTGACGTTATTAATATATACAATATGTATACCGTCCACACCGTGCATAAAGAAGTGACCGAGCGGAAAAAAAAAACGTGTTTGGAAAAAGCGTCAAAGTCATGTCGTTCGTACGTTATAGTTTACGAACCGCTCAACACGTAATTATTGTTGAGAATCTTGAAAATTGAATGAAATTTTATATTAAAAAAATAATTGTAATTTAGTCGCTTTTTGCACGACGGGTAGAAGAGACAGAAGTGGTACGACCTTTATCCATGCAGCTGGCGACATTGTTACGGTACCTAACAATGATCAGGGCAGATATGTATGAGCTTTCGCGTGTTTTTAATGATCGGTCAAAATACCAAAGTGTGTTGCATGGCCTGAAACAGAATCGTCTAGGTATACGAAATTGTATTTTGTATATTTTTACATATTTCGGGGTTTTGTACATTTTAACAGCACGTTTTAAGAATTCTTTACACTTTTAGGGTACCTACATTTGAAGATTTCGTACATTTTTAACTCGACGAATTGACAACTATGAAATAACTCTCCATGGTTTACGTATAAATATCAGCAGACGTTAAAATTATTTAGTTCAGATAAAATATTACTATTTATTAATTTGTTTCATTCAAATAGGTTGCTATAGGTTTCCTCTTCTAACACATCTATATACTTTTTTTTTTAGTGTTGAGCATGTTTCGGTATTTTTAGTGCGTATCTGAATATATATTTAAAGGTTTTAAGGTAAAATGGCTTTTAGGAGCTACATTCAATTAACCCTAGTAATAATATACAATTTTATGTATCGAAGAAGCTATTAAGCTTCTTCGAAAACTATACTTAATGGTATAGTTTTACTAAGACGGCTGCTTTTTTTTTCTTCTAAAAAACCGACAACAAACATATCTAACTTTTGTTGATATCTGGGTTACGTTATTGTGTCTACGAAAAGGAGGGATTAGAAACTACTAAAATAGCTATCTATAACCGTACCGGGTTATCGATAGCTCCACTCAGAATCGTTTTTTATTTGCAACGATTTATCGTTGCTATAATTAAGCTCAATAGCCCTTTAACCAGTTTGACGTATACATAATGGCATACCGCAGTTCCTTTCCATCACTTACAACATTGCAGTCATATTCAATGACGCGAGTAGCGAATGACGCATAATATTGTTACCCATCGTATACAAAATAACATTTTTAAGTACTTTTTTTTTTTTAATTATTCGTTTCTCCCTCCCTTCTCCAGAACAAGACCATCAGAGTAAAACAATCGACATCTATCAGCGAATACACAATAATTATTATAGGTTTCTGTGTAAGATTCGAGTCAGTGCAAGAAGAATATTAAACGTCGTGGTGAATCGATTCGATCCAGCCCGTGTTCCGGGAGACAGATTTATTCGCGTTGTAAATAGTATATAGGTATAGAGATTTTTAAACTCGCGCGATGAATTGCTTTTCTGTTTTTCCGAGTTTAAAAAGTGATTTTTTTTTTTTTTTTAAATTCAACGTCTTACCAGTTCATTTACCGTAAATCTCGGTTATTTTTTTCTCTTCAAATTGTCTTAAATTAGGAATTGTGTTCTACAATTCTGCAGTGGGATAATGAAGAGTTAAGATTTTTACTCTGCACGGACGGGATATAAGTGCTCGATGCTAAATTAACGTAATTTTTCGGAACATATTATATTCGTACGGACCACTCTCGGTGTAATAATAATTGTGCAGGACAGTACCGGCCGTCTCAATACGCGTGTGAATTTCAATTCAATTTTTCTATTTTTGTAATTTTTTTTTTTTAGATTATGTACGAAACGTAATTTAAAAAAAAATACCTAACACTCTAGAGTTGGTATATTATGTAAATTGTACATCGGAAGGGTTCTATTCGGTATGCATACTCACATATTATGTATACCGAATAGAAATACGCGAGGCGAAAAAACGTACCGAAGTGTTGCAAATTGAATATTTGATATGTTCATGTATTATGTATACAGGGGTTTTCAGAATTGTTTCGTGTTACAATCAAATTTGCCACGAAATAATAATTTTTTCAAAAAATGACTTGTATGTAAAAACTTATTGGAATCGAATTTTCTAAAATATTACGTTGTACTTATTTTTTTCACCTTTGGTTTTGGGGATGAAACCTGCACTACCCGCCGCCACTGTTGATTTTCAAATAACAACCTATATTAAATATTCCATAAATAGATACAATTTTAGTTTGAAGTGCCACTACTCTCGCAACTATCTAAATAATACACGAGTGAAATGTCTCGTTAACCATTTGACGAGAATTCAAAATATCAACACCAAAATGTGTTTAAATTAAAATTATATATATTTATGCAATTTTTAATACAAGTTACCGTTTGAAAATCGTAACTGGGTAGTGGTTTCATCCTAAAAAATAAGAGTGATAAATGTTACAACAAAATTACATTTCAGAACAAACGATTCCGAAAAGTTTTCACATAATTAATTTTTTGAAAAAAAAAAAAAAAAAAAAATACAAATTATTATTTCGCGATCAATTTGTCCACAACACGAAATCGCGAAACCCAGTAAGTACATGCAATATAATATCAGTCACTGGGGAGAAATGTCATCGCAAATACGTTTAATCGATTGTACAATACATTCAGACATTATCATACCGACTGTAGAGTCTATACCCCAGTGTCACAAATGCGTGCAAGATACCTAATCGTAAATCGATACAGGTGTGATAAATTAATAATAGACAAATATATATTTGTATGTATATATTAGTATAACGTATTTCATTGATGACCGCGGTAGAGTCTTGGGTTCTCGACCATCGATCCGATAGTAAATCCACTATTGTCAGTGGCGTACCCGGGATTTGTCAATGGGAGAAGGAGAACGAGGCTTTACTGAAAATTTTTTGTGAGATACACAATTGCGCGTTACAATAAAATTATTTGACTGAACGAGTAGTGCAAATGTGCAATGATTATTGTTTTATTAGGGAATAATTTGTCATTGATGAATATAGTTTGTACTATTTTTTAATAACCACGGCTAATGGAGGGGAGGGGAGGAGGAGAGCTAGCTTCTTCTAGGCACGCCACTGACTACCGTGTTCGGTTTTTATTCTTGTCGTTTATCTCGGATTCTGAACGTATATCGAAGAACGGGTTAACTTTACGGTTTTACTTATACTAATATGTATATTTTTTTTTTCTGGTATGTCTGTTAAACATTTTTCCACCAGAAATCTCGCTCCGATCATCAACTTCAACGATGGTTTTTGGTAGAATATGTTGTTTAGTTAGTGCACCGAGATCTTTTTTTGATTGTGTTACTAGTTTTTTTTTTTTTTTTTTAATAATCGAGAAAAATCAGGAACCTCAAGTTAATTTCCGGTTTTGTTTTAGCTTCCAAAAATCGTAAAGACTTGCAATTTTTACCGAATAATTATATCAGCACTTTCTACGCGTCACGCGTGGTGCAATATTCAAACCATTCTGATTTTTGAGTTTTAAAGCTATTTGAAATTTTCGAGTTTTTATCTGGTTTTATGTGTAGATAAAATGATTATTTTGGCCGAAATAACGTGGAAAAAATTGTAATTTGGTCGCCTTGTTTTTAACGTTAATGTTTAAAATATATTTTCCGTATCATTATTAAAGTCTTGGCACTTTCATTCGACTGATTATAAATTTGTATCAAACTAAAGTATTTATTTTTTTTTAAACTTTGGCACTTGGATTTTTTTTTCTATATTACATAACCGATTATTGTTAATTTCCCGGTTTTATATTCTGTCCACGATTTCGAACGATAGTTATTAATGTACTTGATGCAGCACAATATAATACTGTGTCGCGCATACGTTCAGGTTACGTATAGACATAGCGTATAATGATACGCTAAACACAGTTATAAACGCAAAATAATTACATTTCGCCCAGACAACAATAACGATTTCTCGTCTAAACGATGCGCGCCGTGCATCGCCCGGCAAATGAGTCGGGCCGTTCGTCCGTACGAATGACGCCCGGACCAGAGGCCTGCACCAGAGTAACGGAGCGCGCGTTGTACCGCGGACCCGTTGAAAGGTTTTCCGGATTTCCCTCCCGCTGCAAATACGCCTACTCGTACGCCGTCGCCGCCGTCGCCTTTGTCACTGCGCGCGCGTACGAAATATTGTATCCCCGACCTAATATCCGTCGCGGGTCATTAAAAATGAATCGAAAAAAAAATCATACGTATCTATGTATACATTTGACATTATCATCGTAATAATAACGCACAATATAATGCCAGCCGCATTACGCTACCCCGGCCTTTGCCCGTGCCACGGTGTACTAAACTAAAACAGACACGGCCCCAACGCGATTCACGTAAAACCTTACGCGCGCGAGCCGCGTTTCGGTGACTGAACCCTCTATAAATATTCTACTCGTTGTAATCCCGGGGCCTCTCGCGCACGACCGACAATTCGCGGTTTCCGTCGGCTTTCCCGGAAAACAGAGACTATCGCACTGTATCGTGTCCGCGAACTCGGGCTCTGGGCTAAACAGAGCTCAAACTAGCAGACTGGAATTGTGTGCAGGCGGAATTCGGGTTGAACTTCAACATGAACTTCACCGTTCGCCGTATTTTTGCGGAAGGTGGGCGTCTTTTACCATTTTCATGCTCAGATTTCGTGTTTTTCACGGGAAATACCTTCGGAGATTAATGGTTAAAATGTGTATTTATGTGTACTTTTAAATAAAAATAGAACTGTTGTCGAGCATGTGCCTGTTGTAGGTTTAAACATCCAACATTTGACCCAACTATACATTTTTTTCGTTTAATTCCTTATCGATATATATTTGAAAAAAACTTATACTGATAAATCGGCTGGGAAAACATTTGACTCTAGTAGCGGAGTTCTGCTTTCTACCGCTTTTTTTTTTTTTTAATAACAGTCACTTTTTGAAATAGTTTACATAAAAAAAAAAAATACACGCGTGAGCAGCAGAGCTCCGTCATTAGCGTCGAATTTCTCACTAAACCTACTTGGTAATATAAAACTTTGCGAAACGCTAAACAACCGTATACTATATACCTAATCGTATAATATAACCCTACGCACTGTATACTAAAATAATTATACTGATTTCAAACCAATGATGAAATTTGATCTTAAAATGTGTACGGGGCGGGAGTTCGAAAGTCCCGGAATCCCCGTGAGGCACATTTTCTATAACAACAGGTATATTTTATCTGTGAAACCGATTTCGAAGATCTTTTCGTATAGGTTGTCGGATCGTATCCCGTTTCACCGCCGTTGCATTACGCCGCCGTCTCATTTTGCCACCGAACAAATCCCATTTTGCCGCATAAATAGTACATACGAAAATTCCAACGGACAAAACAACAAAAAGTTGTCCGAGATATTTATAATTTATACTTTAATATAATCGAAATAAATATCGAACCAATAATTGTTGGTAGGTAACTATAAATAATTTAATAGCTATAGGTATTTTAATAATTGTGTAAATCGAAATACTAGGGCAATTTATGACATGCATATTATGGCGTGAAAAAACTTTAACTTTTTTAACTGAGTATAGTCAATTTTATTTTCCATCTTAACCGTATAGACGTGTGGTGCGGGTGCTAAGGGAACTAAACTGTACTTGTTTCAAACATTTTTGCAAGAAAAGAAAAAAAAAGGGTAACGAGAAAACTTGTTATTGCATATTCGTGGGAACGTTGAGGGGAGCTAGATGAGATTTTGGGAGATTATAGCCCTCTTAACCCCCCCTCCCCCGTATCCTACGCCTATGGTTTTTACTTTAAACTATTATCGAGTTAGATTTTTTTTTCTTAACTTTTAACTGAAGGCAATTTAATCGACCGCGACGGCATCTCGCGGGCTCTTATATCATAATATAACTATAACGCAACTAAAGTAATATTACGAGAGGATAATACAGGTAACCTATATGTATGTGTGTAATAAAGTGATAATTTTATAGACGTATTATTATTGATCGCGACGACGACGCACAGTGATGCGTTATTCGTTATCATTGTTCTTTTTTAATAAAACAATTTTTTTTTTTTTTTTCCCCCCGAAAAGCAATTAGTGAAAACGCGCGCGCGTAAGGTACACCCGGGAGATTTTGTTTTCACCCAGACACGATTAAATCTTAATGAATTCGAACGGAGTGCACAAACCCCGGCCACGCCGAGCCGTGTAGACATCACCGTAGTGTGTGTGTATAATAACGTAAGAAAATATTACACGCGCGTCCCGGAGACCGAAATTGATGGATTGTCTAGAACCTATACGCGGCCATTCATCGCGATAATAATATTACTGTTGTTCGTTATTCGTTGTACATCGAAACGTCGTGCGGGATCCGGCGCGCAATACGTTTAAATAATAATTAACCGGATACCAATTGTGTAACGTTATGCGCGCGTAATAATATTATCATCATCAAAACAGTGACGAACGGGAAATGCGACGGGGCATCGCGCGTGTGCGGCGTGATATTGGCCAGGTAGGAGCAGTGGGATGGCGGGGAGCAAGGGGGAAACGATTATCCCGCCGCTCGGAATATATACGGGGGGAACAAAAAAAAATAAATAAAATCGGCCGTTTCTTTCGGTTTCGATCGATTCGCCTACTCGCAATATCGTGCACTCGGTGCGGATCGGTCTCGATCTGCAGTTCCGGTTTGTCCGTGTTCTGACCATACCTCACACGTATGTTCGGGCGCGGTAGCGTGCCCGAACAGGGGAGGCGAGCGGTTTCATTCTCCTCTCGCCCCTTCGGCTTGAAAATACGAAAAAATACGGACATACGATGCGCGATAAATGAGTAGAGGGTACATTTAACGGATGCCCGTGAGCAACAACAAACCGTTGCTAACGAAAAAACGATTCTGAGCGGAGTTCAGTTGCTTTCAACAATATATATGTTAAATTATAGAAAAATAACTACATAGGCATTATACATTTTATTTAATAATATTTGTTTAATTATTGTATCTATATTCCCGTCATTCATACGCTTTTCCAGCTTTCCCTATTTATTAGAAAAACTACTGGGAAAATCAAAAAATTACCCCCTTAAAATACTTAGTCAGATTTAATTCAAGAAAAACTGCTATCATTGTAAATCGGATCAAAATTACTGGTAGAAAAGTTGTCCGCAGAAAAAAAAAATTAACATCATGGTAAAACCATAAGTTTTTTCGCTCCACTCAGAATCTAAAATATAACTAATCTAATATCGAAATGCATTCACCTTGATGAGTTTTAGATTCTGAGTGTAGCGCAGAATAGTTTTACAAAGATGTTTATTTATTATTATTATTTTTTTTTTTTATGTGAACACTTTTTCTATCAGAAAGCATACTTTGTTGTACACAATATAGACCTTTTCTTAAAATGAAATTTTCTTAGGGTGATACCTTAGGAGATCATTTTTAAATTTCCAAGTAGTTTCCCAACAAAAAGGAAAAGGTGAGAAGAAACGGGAAAATGTATGAAATGTATTAATTTGACAGTGGCGACACCTATCGTGCAAATTATATCCATATTTTTTATAAATGATTGATCAAGAACTATTTTTAATAATCATAGTATGATTGTATTATATATTTTATTTATATTTTTCCATTCGATAAATCTAATTTAATAAACAATAAATAAGTACATACATATATTTTAATATTATTCATAGGCAATTCTCCGCAAAAGTAAGTTTCCATTGGCGTGTTCACATAGTTCATCAAATTATGTGTACCTACATGCCAACTATAAACTTACTTTCGGTTTCTTGCATAATATTTATCTTATCTCGAACGTATCCTTCTAGGTTTTTCTCAACACAGTATACCAATTTTTGAATTAAAAACATGTAATAAATGTAAATAGTATAATCCATGGTGCTTCCCAAAACTTTTTCAATTCACGGTTCATTTTTTGAACTGAAGTCTTTTCAGAGCGCCCTTGTAATTCGTTTCAATGANATTAGTATTAGACGTGATGTTTATCCCATTGTATAACTAAAGGTAACCACAGTGAATAAAACTAATATATTTATATTCATCAACAATTGTTGCCAGATCTGATTAAATATTTAAAAAAAAGTATTGGGAGTCTAGACATTTTATTTTTTTTAAATGATGTACTAGTGGTCATTCACATTTGGTGCCCTTTTTTTTTTCGTTAAGTACTTTTAAGGTTAATAAAAAATAATCTGATTGTTCGCTCGATGGCACGTAATTGAAAATAGTTTTGTCAAATAATTTATCGGTTAAACAAACGTTCCGATTTTTTCTCACAGCACCTCAACCGATACGAAATTTCTGCCGACAGTACCTACTTTATTTGAAACATTTATCGACATTTTAAACAGTTCGTCTGTTCATTTTTTTTTTTTTTTTTTTTTTTTTTTTATTCTTGATTTCTGGGTCACCGTCGACTAAATATACTTTTTGTCTCTACCAAAAACCACGGCTGTTGTACTACAGTATTGTCGTACTATACTCCTCCGAGAATCGTTTTTAGATTCAGAGTGGAGCGTAGAAGGTTATATGGTTTTACAAAGATGTTTTTATTTTTTTTTGTCTGTGCGCAACTTTTCTATCAAAAATCTTGTTCCGATTTTTAAGTGTAGCATCTTTTCTGAAATGAAATCGGTGTAGGCAGGTACTTTAGAGACGTAATTTTTCCCCCTGCCCCTTCAACCAACCTCGAAAATATATCCCGGTCGCGTCGCTGCAGATTTGATTGCAATTTCAATATTTACGTACATTTTGTTATATTCGGTCGTTGCGCGTTCTCGTATACCAGCTAGGTATACACGTCTGCGATAAACTATTACGTTTTCATTTCGCGGTTAAAAATATAAACACGAGTAAATTAATATTCCCCGGCGCAGACACGGAGACGGATCGACGGGCACCGGTAGCGGGACGGAAAGAGGCGCGCGCGGAGAGTGTGAGAGAGAAAGAGATAAAAGCAAAAACCGTACCGGAACAAATGGGTCGCAACGGCAATATCATATTATTATTATTATTATTATCGCGCGCTGCGGCGTTGTTCCAGAAGTGCCGTATTATTATTATTATTGTAATGGTGCGCGAACAGTGGAAGTCTGATGCAAAAACGACGAAGTTACGAGATAAACACGTGTCGGAACGTGTCGTTCCGTACACCTGTCAAATGAGCGAGCCGCCGTATGTGTATAACATGTGTACGCTTACGTACAGCAGCTCGACACGTATGATAATAATATTCGTAAAGTATACAGTGCTTGTGGTATATTATGTATACAAGTATCACACCTACTCGTGTGAGATGTGTAATATTATATTCGCGAGTTGATTAGTTGTCCTTATTGTGACGTCGTCGCGTGTAAAATATACGGAATTCTTGTATTTATTACATTCGTCATTATCATCATCACCGTCGTCAGAATAACATATGCGAATAATATTGTAGCGGAAACGGGCGCAAAAATAAAAATAAAAATCACAAAAAAAACCGGAGTTATGCAATATGCGTATTTAGCCGTGCACGTATAGTTCGTTTCGATTAATTTTTATTAATATTCCAACTAATCACGCGTACCTGTCTACCGGATTCTGCGGAATAAAAATATAGGAAAAAAAAACCAAATAAAAATTTCGGCCGTCGATTAACAAACACCCGATATACGTCTTGCATAAAGTGTACATTACCCCCCGAGTCGATGATGCGGACCTGTGGTACCTCTATACGAAACGGAAGCCCGTTTAGGTTCCCGGATTGTTGCTCACGCGGATATCTCTGTGCGTATATTTTAATCGGCACGATTCTAGATGACATTTACGGCTGCGTATGTAATAGAGATAGGCGTCCCGAGAGCGTGGACGGACGATTTATAACGAAATGGGAGGGGGGGGAGACAACAATTTTTCGGGCCTTTATATCGTTTTCCATAATTCGTTTCTGGTAAAAAGCTTGCGGGTGTCTTCTCTCTCGTGTACTAGCTGACAATCGTAAGCGGTATCCCGTACACCTGCAAGAATCTCATCAATTCAAAATAATCTACCTGCCTTTGGTCGGTTAGAACCAAATCGTTTTCGTATCAAGCATACCTACCGATTACAGACCGTATTGCAACAAATGGACGGTACCTATAATTAAAAAATAATAATTGAAAATACCTACGTATTATCACTATCGGGATACATTTTTCATGCCGTGAAAATAAATCTATGTAGAACATATTAGGCTGATCTAAATTGTCAACTTTTAAGCTATTTAGAAAAATTAATTCATATTATCTTAATTACAATTAATAGTGTAGTAATAAAAATAATAAATGATTTTTTTAAATAATTTATAAACAGTGTGAAATTTATTTAAAAATTACAAATTTAATCAAAAAAAAAAAAAAAATGGATATACTTCGCACGTGAGTGCAGCCACTGTTGTTGATGAGAAGTTGGAAAGGTAGTAGATGAAAATAATAGTAGATAGAACAGTAAACTTTTACTAACGAAAATTAACTTTCTTTAAATTTAATAACGATTCTGAGCAGAGTTTGATTAATAGTGTTCTTTTTACAACAATATTTATGATTCTCAATACTTTTTTTTTAATATTTAATCAGATCTGACAACTATTGTAAATACATATCGATTGTATTTTCCTTGGTTACCTTTATTGTTGATGAATATAAATATATTAGTTTTATTCACTGTGGTTACCTTTAGTTATACAATGGGATAAACATCACGTCTAATACTAATCCGATCACGATATTACGTTTTTCATTGAAACAAATTACAAGGGCGCTCTGAAAAGACTTCAGTTCAAAAAAGGAACCGTGAATTGAAAAAGTTTTGGGAAGCATCATGGATTATACTATTTACATTTATTACATGTTTTTAATTCAAAAATTGGTATACTGTGTTGAGAAAAACCTAGAAGGATACGTTCGAGATAAGATAAATATTATGCAAGAAACCGAAAGTAANGGAAACTTACTTTTGCGGAGAATTGCCTATGAATAATATTAAAATATATGTATGTACTTATTTATTGTTTATTAAATTAGATTTATCGAATGGAAAAATATAAATAAAATAAAAATATATAATACAATCATACTATGATTATTAAAAATAGTTCTTGATCAATCATTTATAAAAAATATGGATATAATTTGCACGATAGGTGTCGCCACTGTCAAATTAATACATTTCATACATTTTCCCGTTTCTTCTCACCTTTTCCTTTTTGTTGGGAAACTACTTGGAAATTTAAAAATGATCTCCTAAGGTATCACCCTAAGAAAATTTCATTTTAAGAAAAGGTCTATATTGTGTACATCAAAGTATGCTTTCTGGTAGAAAAAGTGTGCACATAAAAAAAAAAATAATAATAATAATAAATAAACATCTTTGTAAAACTATTCTGCGCTAGACTCAGAATCTAAAACTCATCAAGGTGAATGCATTTCGATATTAGATTACTCATCATAGTTGCCCAAAAAAACCAAAAGACTGTCATATTATACTAATATATTTTGTACACTTTTCCGTTATTCCTCTGTTTTTTTGTCGGTTTGTCATATTTGTTGAGAAAACTCCTGAGAAAATCAAAAGAAAAGTTGTTCACAGAAAAAAACATCATGGTAAAACCGTAAGTTTTTTCGCTCTATTCAGAATCTAAAATATGAGTAATCTAATATCGAAATGCATTCATTCATTTATTTCGAAATGCATTCACCTTAAATAGTTTTAAATTCTATGTGTAGCGAAGAATGTATTGGTTGAATATGAAAATGAAAATATAGTCGTAATAAAAACTATATTACCTAATAATTATCACAATAGATTTATTTCAACGTATTTTTATACGCCCGAGCATTTTCTATTAGTTTCACTTTTTATTTTTTAATCCCATATTTTCATGTCACACCTTTATTTTATTGTTTATTTGAAGACATTTTTATAAAAATAATTTAAAAAGAAAACACACACACACTGTATATAGCAAAACCTAGTAAATCGTGGTTTATTATGCATAATAATAATGATAATATTATTATTATATTTATTCGTATTGCTAAACGAATGCCAATTTATATTATGATTGAGTGTTCAATTTTCATTAAAATTTACAAAATTCTTACTCAAAATATATTTATTTAAGGGTAAGTAAATACAAACCTGAATATAACTAAATTTCGTAAAAAAGTGGACATGTCTCATTTCTGCATTATAAATAATCTCCGAAATATATAGAATATATATTAATACTTTCATTTGTTTGAAAAATCTTTTTTTTTTTAAATCTTTCATTTTGTTGTGTTTGTTTTACAATGATGTTTATTTCCGTTTTTTTCCGCAAACATTTCCACCAGCAATTTTGCTCAGATTTTCAATTGTAGCACTTTGTTTGAAAGGAAATTCTACTGGGCTTGGTAATTTACGAAAAGTATTATTTTCAAATAATATATATATTAATAATAAATATTATGGCCTTTCGAAATATGTATAACCGGACTTCGCTCAGAATCGTTTTTCGCCAGCAAAGACTAACCGTTGGGTTTAGATATACATTAAATTTTCCTCTATATCCTATACCTTTCAAATTTCTCATCTACAATAGTGGCTCACCCACTGTGCGAAATATGTTCGTATCTATTTAGTTTTTGAACGGTACTATATGAAAAGCTGCTTTATACTAATTTTTTATCATAAGTCGAGTTGATGTTATGCCGTAGTGTGTATTAAGCGAGTACTTAAAAATATGTAATAAAACGTATAAAAATAACTATTTCATATTTCGCGTAATAATAATCGCTCGTCGAATAAAATAAGTATCGGTATTCGGCGCGAACGCATGACAGATAGATATTATAAATTATAATTAAAATATATTTAACAATTTTTTTTTTATACAGGTACAATATAATTATACCGTATACTATATACGGTAAGTTATATTATGTTTTTTGTATTTATGGAATTGTTTTACTCGTACAGTACCGATTATATTGAACCCTGCAATTGAACCCGTTTTTTTTCAATTTTTTTTTTTTTTTATTAATTACAAACATTTTTATAATGACAGTCATTTTAATGTCTACACGGGAAAAATTCAAGTAGGCATAATATATACCTAACGGTATAAACAAAACGAAAAAACGCATCAATTTTAAAAACGCATATAATATAATATATTATATTGCAGTCGTTTACAATTTACAACCGACAACAACGACAACGTTGGTTTTTTGGCATGGGAGCGTGCCAAAATAATAATAAAGTGCTGTTCCCAATTACTATATGCGTATACGTGCATTTTTGTTGACGGGCAGCGATTTAAAGATGATCGCTGCATATTATTGTAACTTACAGGTGAAAACGCGAAAAACGAGAAAATCAAAAACCCCGTACCGGCCCGAACGGTCGAAATAAAATAATACAATTTATAAGTATTATGTTCTTGTTTTTATTTTTTTTTTCTGTCTGGAGTAGGTACGTCATAATATACCGTAGTAATATATTATATCGCATTGCGCAAATATTACATTTCGGAAATCGATTCGATATAATGTTAAGCGTAGGTACATATGTTATACAAACATATGGGATATTAATATGTTATTACGGAATACAATATTACAATAATAATAATAAAAAGAACAATCAATAAATGAAACTGAAACGCAGCAACATAAATACTCGTTTGGTAACTGATTTTTAAATAACTACGTCACATACTAACTGGTATATATGGTGGTGAGCAATTCAAATTGTTTTTTTTTTTCGGAACACGTTTTTGTGCGGTACATAAAATAAGTAAAACGAGTTTCTTTATTTTAGCCAAGACAATTAGATTTGAGAATAAAAAAAAAAAAAATTGGGTCCAGATTCCACGTGTATTAGAGTATAGAATGTATTTTGGTCGTAAATCATCTTTGGGACGCTGTATATTACTGTTGATTTTTGATAAAATGACAAAATGTATGACTACATTTAGTGATAATACGGAGTTTTCGAACACTAATTAATGTTTAACTTTGCGCATAACGGCTCGCTATAAATAACTTAATCGAACGACTAATGCGTCGTTAATTTCAGTATCCATCCGCGTGATAATCAAAAGAATAATAAAAGTCGAAGCATTCGACCAAGGTACATAATACTATAGTGAGTTTAACCATAAAAAATCATTATGACGTCATATTATGATACGTTAGACCAGGAAAACCCACTACTCGCCAGTATTTATATCATTCCCCTTTCTTCTCTTGTACGTTTTTTCTTCTCTTTTTCTTGCCTCACTATAAACAATAACTAGCCAATTATAGTTATGTTATATTATAATCAATATTGTTTTAACCATTTAAATCAATCTGATCTGATTTTTTGTTCAACATTGATTTATAATGGAAAAAATTACAAGTTTTCAGGGTTTTAAAATCATTCGAAAAATATGACGCGGAGTCATTATTTCAATATCCGATATGAAAATTTTAATATTTAGGTACGAATTGCATCTATTATAATTTAAAATCAAAGTAGTTTTCAGATTTAATTTCCAATCGATTTTGTTTAAATGTTTGAAACCAATAAATGGAGAAAACGGGAAAATAGGTACAATATTAAACAAATATTATTAAAGAAAATATATAATGCATATGCAATTATTTTATCATGCTATGACATATATATTGTTGATAAAACAACACTATCAACCGAACTCCGCTCAGAATCGTTTATTCGATAGCAATTATTAATAGTTGCTTACAGATATACATTAAATTACCTTTAACGGTGACTACACCCGTCTCCATTATCTTAGAACCCATTTTTTTCTTATTAGGTCTGAATGATGATTAAAACTAAGACTATACTATATTGATAAACACGTTATTTTTGGGGAAATTTGTTTTGTCATATTGATAATACAAAAATACCTATAACTACGTTCAAATAATAATAATTACAGAATGTAAAATGTGTAACAATCGTGATCTTTATTTTTGACATAGATTCACAATTTGAATAATTTTTTTGGAAGATTAAACTTAGTACTTTCGCGTATGTTCCTTGGACCTAAAAATATGAGTCCGTCCTGTTACTCTATAGTCACAAATAATTATCAGTAAGTATAGTTTTGTTATAACTGATAACAAATAAATTATAATACGTCAGTTTTCATTATGTTAACATTATCTATAACATTATTATCCCAAATATTTAAAACAACCACCGTACAGGATGTATATGAGTAGTCATGTGTCATGTGCGAAAGACAGAAATGTATGATAACACATTTTCGTGATGATATTACGTTACGCCTCGTTCCCTTGGTTAAGTGTAAATTATTATAGTTCGGTATATATTTTGTTTTCGGCACCGTCATCTATTATTATTATTATTATCTAATATCTATGATTAAAAATCGAACAGCTGTCGTTCGCGGGTTGACGTCTAGACACGTAGGATGTGCCATCAGAAATTATCAGAATATTTATATCTGTATAGTTGAAAAAAACAAATAGTTTTATCGATATTTGTTACTGTTGCAGAGAGTATTATGACGTGACGTCGTTTGAAAATCAATGGTTGTAGGGGATAAGTAGGTTGGTTTCAGCCCCGAGCGTAAGGGCGGACGAAATTAGGAAAATACAACGTTAGAACCGAGTTGTTTCTTAAATTTCCAAAAAAAAAAAAGAAAAAACCGTACAAGTTTCAGAGATGATGGAAATGTCTTACAGAAGATCGATCACCCACATGTGATGTGATATGTTTTTGTAATGGAATGTTGTCACCGTGAAAAACTACAAGCTTATGATAAATTATTATTTTAAAAAAAATATGTATCTCGCGGTCGTCTGTTCGTCGGCGATATTATATTATTGAATTAGATTTTTTTTTGCCCCAGTGTTATTATATTATACCTACGTCGTAACAAACGACGACAGGTGTGCAATATCTACCGATTATCATACTTTTTAACCAATTATTTTTTTCCAAGGAAATCTATGATGAACGATGGCGGTGTATTATCTTATTATTTCTTACATTTCTTGAAAAATGTACCTGTCTACACCGGAAACTCGCGTATAACTAACACTTTCGATGGTCCTGTGAGTTTTCCATCTGAATGTCTCAGGTTTCACTGTACATACAAAGAACGGTCCTTTGTAAAAGTAAAAAAAGAAATCAAGTCACTTTTGGTCATTATTTTACGCCACACCCTACGTCAACACTTCCAGTAACGTTATAAACGTACTCACGGGGAATGAAGGGTATATGCCATGGCATCGTTTGCGGAGTTTAATTTTTAGTTTTAGCCATTTGGATAATTAGGGTTTTTACTTTTTCTAATCAAATATTATTCGCGATACTGGGAGTTTGGACGATGTCGGCTAATAATTTAATTTCATCATCGTTACAGAAAAGACAAAAATGTTTGTATTATATTACATTTGTATACAAATAATTTTTTTTTTTTTTTAATCATGTAGAATCAGTTAAGTTTTATATCAAAACTTTTAAATTTTTTACCTCTATTTCATACACCTTAAATAAGTATATACTTTTATTTCACATACAAGAGCTCCCCTTTTTAAACACAGATTCAAATTGAGTACATTTTTCTAGACATTTTGAGATGCATAACACAAATATAAGGTGTTATTTTTATATTATTGTTTATGAGTTATAACTATTTAAAGTCTAGACCGGAGATGCAGAGAAGAGTTATCAATTTATCATTTAAAAAAGATGTTCGATTTATTGCCATCATTTTCTCTATTATCAAAAATCATAATCGGTATCAATGTTATTCACGTTAAAATGTGTAGAAAAATATACACTACTCGAATCCATATTCAAAAAGGGGAGTTTCTATTTGAAAACAAATGTATAAACTGTATGCCTATTTAGGATACATGAAATAGTGATGAAAAATTAAAAATAGTTTTAAAATAAAACTTATACGGTTCCACAATGATTAAAAAAAAAAATTAAAAAAAAATTCAAATTCACTTAGAATCCTTAGGGATAATTACTGATTCATGGTAAAAATAATCACCATATATAAATAATTATATTGCTGTCCGTGGACTGTTTTTATCCGCACAAAAGGTCTCAAGTTACTTGAGAATTATTCGAACACATTCGGACGGTTTTTGTGAAAAGGAGATCAAGTCGCATAATATAATATGACTAGAGCGCGGATTTCTATCTAAAAACATGTTTTTAGTGGATTTATGCACAACCGCGAGAGTAAGATATGCCAATGATTCACAATACACAAAGAATCTGAATACAAAAATGTTCATTTGCATAAAAGTACTTATTTTGATTTTAAGAGAATATATTCATATAAATCATTTTTTTTGTTTTTGCATATTTGATTAATTAAAATGTATAAATTTAAATATTTTCAGGAGTAAAATAATTATGTACGTTTCAACCGCTGCGATCAAATTTTTCTACTTTATAATAATTTATTAACGGGTGCGTCGTACGATAGGTTTTAATGCCACTATGATTTGATAATTGACAAATGATAATGAAATGCGAAAATTATTGTTTTACTGTTAACCATAATACGAATACGGTAAATGACGTTGATACACGTCCTTTTATTCGAATTTCTAGTATCTAGCTATCATTTTGCAAACGACAGACTACCTATGACCGGAATAATTGATAATTGATTTTGTTACGGCGTAAATTATCACATTTTTTCCTCCTGTGATAATTAGTTATCGTTTTGTATTGGAAGTTAATTAAAATCATTTTTTTTATATTTTGGTAACTTGTGCTTTGATTTACAAGTTTTAATTTAATGAAATGCCGAAAACAACAATCTAAAAAAAAAAGTTTATTATTATTTTAATAATGTTCTTGATAAATACTATTTAAGAAACTTGTATTGCATATAAGTACGCATAATAATGCTAAGAGAATATATTGATATAAAAACATATTTTTATAATATTTTTAGAGGATATTACAAGCATACATTAAACATTTTAAGAGAATATAAGTATCGTATTTTGGCTATTTTAAGAAAATATAAATCCGCAATCTAATTAACACATTTTTTAATGTGCGATCGGTATCGCGTCGTAAAAACGGAATATCATGTTCGTGCTTTCGGTGTCGAGCCAACAAAAAGTACTGAAAAAAAATTAGTTTTTAAAGTGAATTTTAGATTCTTAATAGAGCGAGGAATGTATTGATTTTACAATGATGTTTATTATTATTATTATTTTTTTTTTATTTAGACCCTTTTTGAACGAGAAATCATACTTCGATTATCAAGTGCTAATTATATTAGCACCTTTTCTGAAAGTCAATGTTCTCTTTAAAGAGATCATTTATTGAAATTCGCATTAATATTCGAGATAACGAAGAAAACCTCGGTCTTTAGGTTAATAAAGATTGAAAGATTAAAAATAAGGTTGTCATTGGCAACCGCTTTTATTTATTTATTGTTATTATTAAGTTTTTATTATTTTGATTTTTTTTAAACAATTATTGCTTTCATAGAAATGCACAATGTTTTAATCATTTTACAAAAATATGACATGTATATTGTTGACAAAGCAACTGAACTCCGCTAAAAATAGTTTTTTCATTAGCAATGGTTTATTGTTGCGTAAGATATCGTTACAGATATATATTAAATTCCCGTCTGTATCCTATTTCCTCAACTTCCCACCTATAACAGTGGCTGCACCCACGTACGAACTACGAAGTATGTCCGTCCTTTATTTTTTTTTTTCTAATACAAAATATTGTATAATTTATTGGAATTTAAAAAAAATATTCTACGTATAACGTTCAAAACGCGTTTGATTTTAAATTAAAAAAAAAAAATAAATGATTTCTTTCTTTTGTTTTTCGTTTTATCGTCTCTCGCCAGAAAGTTTTTGTTTTTCACTCTAGGTCCCTTTTTCGAGAAAAAAAAAACCGTCCGCAAATTATCGCCGCGCTCGTGACGTGCGTATATATTATAATGTGTGTATGTATACCTATACCAATGGCCTATATTGTAATACGCAGCGGTCAGTATGACGCGGATTGTGGCGACGGCGTGTCGGACGCGTAACCGATTCGCCTAATCACCGACGTATACATTTACTGTTGGCTCCCGTAATCGATAGGTCAAGGTAGATAGGTATATTACGGTGTGTGATGGAATTTCCGTCATAAATATAAAGAGTAAAAAACGCCGAGTGCACTGGTATACGACATGCCCGCGGTGTACATGTTAAACGTGTCGAATGAAGTTAACCCTTCGGGGAAAAAAAAAGAGATCGTGACCGATGATTTATTGTCATAGGTAAATTACAATTGTCATTATCATATACGGTCGATACACGCGAATACCTAACAGTTTTCCACTTGAAAAAATCGCGGCGTCGTCGTAATCATGTCCGTGCGATTATCGTTATCGCATCGTGTACCTACCATACTATGCACTTGACTGATAGTAAAAAAACATTACTCCGATGATTAATTTCCGAGCGGGCGTTGGCGGAGTTCGGGGAGGGCGAAACGGCGACGACCGCGACAAATCCGAGAGCGGCCGTACGACGGACGTGTCCGAATCGGTTCCCGACCTCATACCCCCCACATGCCGAATCGGGTCCCGTTTTGAAAAATGTACTTTACGAACGTGAGCCGAATCGGTTCCCGTTCAGCACCTACATTCTTAAATGCAACTGCAACACATGATAAATGCGGGTTTAACGTAGTAGATGTATTTGGATTCTGAGCGAAGCCTATGATATTACAATGATGTTTATTTTTTTTTCACTCTGAACAACTTTTCTACCAGCAATTTCGCTCCGAATTACAGTGGTAGCACTTTTTCTGAAAGGAAATCGGACTGTAGTGGTACTGTAAGGAGGTAATTTTTTTTTTTTTTTTTGATTTTCTCAAGAGATTTTCAATAAATGAGAGAAACCGGAAAAACTGAAAGAACGGGAAAATAGGTACAACAATATTATTAAAGAAAATGTTTGATGCATACGTAATTACTAATTATCACTTTATCATTACCTATATGACATATATATTTATATTGTTGACAAAGGAAGAACACTCCATTCTTAATCGTTTTTTTTTTCGTTAGCAGTGGTCAATCGTTGCTCACAGGTATACATTGAACTCCCGTCCATATCCTACCTTCCCGAATTCTCAGCTACAACGGTGGTTGAGTCCGTCCCCTTTATCCAAGGGCAGCTTTTTTTCCTATTTGGGGGGAGGGGGAACCGGGTTTTTTTTTCCGATTTTTCCGGAGATTTTCAATCCACACGTACGGAGGTCAGGTCGGGCTACACGTAAGTACCACAAATATTCAATTCATCATCCGGGTCGCGGCGACGGGCGAGCGCGGCATTCGCGTTCGGGACACAACAAGAATAACGTAGCGCGGGCATTGTTCCTTGTAGCGATAACACCGCGCCGCTGGACCCGACGCGCGGGCGTGATGGGCCGTGAAAACGTTGTGACAATTGTTACCTAACGTTTTGTTTTTTTCCGGCTCCGTCGGACGAAAATATAATTATTACAATAGCGCGCGCGCGCGCGCGCTTGCGTCCGATCTGACTCGTCGGTTTGGCGCCGCGTCAAGCATCCCGGCCGGTAATCCCGGGCGCGCGCGCGCGACACGAGCGTTTTGCGTCACCGCCGCAAAAGTCGCGGAAAAACGAAAAACGTTCGGGCACGTGACGGACGCCGGCCGCGTTCTCGGTGTAATTAATCCGCGCGCAAAATATTATTAAACGTCGGGGGGGGGGAAAAAAAAAATTATTATTATTATTATTTAAAAGCGCGCGCGACTCGCAAAAGTGACGCAATCGCCGCCGTCCGCACTCCGCCACCGAAGACCTCAGCGGAGCGAACGGACGCGCGTTAAAATATTCATCTATAGTGGTGCGGTCCGAACGAGACCGCGGATATTTTGCTCGAACGATTACGTACACGCTCCTCGTGATTAATGTTTACCCATTTTCCCTGTCACACCTGTTTCATTTTATTCCCGCGTCGACGAAAACGCGAGCGATCGTGCACGCAACGTTTACCGTCGGTACGATTTTCCCGCGCCGGCGCGTCGCAATACAAAAATATCGACGGTGTTTTGTTGACAGAGGGCGTATACCGTCGCCAAAAATCGAAAAACACGTTTTTTATATTTAAAAAAAAAATCAGAAAAATTAGGAGTGCTAAAAGGGCGTATTTGAACACAGGCAATTAACTCGGTAATGTCGACGTGAAAATGTCCTGCAGGCGCCCTTTCAAAACACAATTAAATTAACGCCGATTTGTTAGAAGGACGTATATACCGCGTTCAATGCGTGTATAATTGTATACGTGTACATGTATTATACCAATGTATTATGACGTGTACGAGTAATGTTTTTGCTTCCTGAAAAAAAAAGTGAAATTTAATAGACGCCTTTTTAACGAAATACCGTCGATATCGTAACATTCGTAACGAAAATCCGAAACGATAATAATGTTGTCGCGATAAAATACTATGGCACTTCTTTCGGGAAAAAATGCACAAAACGTGCGTATTTAACACGCAGGGTGATTTTTTCTAATTATCACGAACCAGCAATTATCTCAGATGATTTTAAGTGAAATTGATTTTTGTTTTTCTAATCATTATTGAATTGTTTAAGTTTTATTTTAAAATCATTTTTAATTTTTTAAAGCTACTGCATATACGGCCTTAAATAAGTACATATATTGATTTTAAAATAGAAACACACCCCCCCCCCCGCCTTTTGAATACAGATTTTAATAGAGAATATTTGTTTAGATTTTTTAATACGATAATATCAGATTTATCGTTTATGATTAAGAGTAATAACAGTTTAAAGTTTAGAAAGGCTAATCAATCAAATTTTTTTTTTATAACTCTATAGATGCCTATATTACTATATTTCAATCACAGATGTATACAATATTATAATATATTAAACATAATATCGGTGGACTGAGATTCCAATATTGTAATTTCGTAATTACGTGTTAGTTGTTATTGACACCACAGGAGCGCGACACATCACCACCAAAGTTGATCCTGGACAATCACAAGTAGATTGTGGTTCATTAAACTAGTATGTTACTATGATTAGAACCAAATACATTATAATTATATTTGTGTTGTAAACAAATTGTTGCCCCCCTCCAGATGTTTGCTTTGGACGCGTCTGTTCGTATACTTAGCGTACTGGCGGCAGTCAGATTATAGTGTATACGAAATCAGGATAAGGATCGCGGGCTATATAATGACAGACAGAAAACCCGTACGGGTACCCATGTAGCCAATTACATATATTTCGGGTCACGGTAAAAACGGTACAATACGACAATCGCGATTTTCTGCAGCTCTTTCATTTTCCTTACGTGCGGACAAAACCGCGCACTATACAACGTCTTGTCCGGTAATATTATTGCAACATTGTGCGCTAACGAATAAAATTTCACGACGGTGCGCCAAACGAGAAAATCATATGATTTACGGCTGTTCGTTTGATATTATGATAATTTTATATTATAGAGTCCCGGACGAGTCGGTGTCGTTAAAAGCAAATTTACGGCCGAATCGTAATACGAACAAATACCCTTCGGATTTAAATAACCGCGCGAACGTTGAAAGAGGATACATTATTAAAATATTGTATGACCATTCGAATCTATTTATTATATCATTATAGAGAGCGACGCGTATATGCTTAAATTATTAACGACGCTAGACATCGAAACGCATAATTTTTGAACCGTAGATTATTATTATTCAAATCGAATTCGGAACAAAAAAAAAAAAAAAAAAATCGCATATTCATCGTTATACATCTCCGCGGGTCCTGATATTTTATCGTAAAACTAATTATAATCATAAATAATACACCGCGCATTAAAATATTACTCTATTTTTGACAGGTATAAAAAGCAAATGAATATACATAATATAATAATATACGTACCTATACGTATATTACGATATTACACTTACGTCATTGGCGACGGCGGGTATTTGTCCGACCGAATGGACTTTGGTGTTGACGAACATCGCCCAGACGCCGGTCGAGCCCTTCCACTGGAAGCATACGTGATTCCACTGTCCTCTGGCCAAAGGCGTGTTTTCCGAGGCCACCAGCCGATTCTTGATCGTCACCTTCATCGTTTCCTTCGGGTGCACGTGAATCCGCCACAATACCACCGGTTCTTTTTTGTTCCCTGTACGAATTTGCGTAAAATATAATAGCATGCATTTTATCTCCATATTGTTAGTGGATTTTTTTGAAAAAATTATTATTATTTTATTTTTGTTTTTACGAAACGAATGGACAGTGATATATAGAGTATGACTGACTGTAATTACGCGGCACAAAAACGAAGGAGCATTTAATGTAAATATAAAACCTCAGACGTTTAGACAACAATACTATAATATATGTAGGTCAGTGCTTGAATTGGGAGAGACGCGTGGAGAAGGAACTACTCTAAGATTTTTTTTTTTTTTAGCGTCTCCTTACTAATTATTTCTACTGGGAGGGGGAGTTGGCTGCACGTCTCTTTGAATATTTAAACCTTCAACTCAAATAAATTATAAATTTTTTTTTAGAATTTATCGTCCAGTAATAAATTATTGTTATTATTTTTTTTATGTTGTACGTGTACGACCTTACGCGGTAAAATAAGTGATTACTGATAAGTACAATTGACGATGGCTTAACCATAGCCGAGCGCGCTTCCGGTTAGTTGAAGTATAAAACTGTAACTACATAATTGCGAAACCCTATTGGTTAATAATTAACAAATTAACAATGACTTTTAGTCCAAACGTTTTTTGTATTTTAGGGATTGTGTTAAATTTAGAAGATTATGGAATTTGTTTTAAAATCAGTGTCATGGGAGTGCGGAAAGCAAAGCCACCCACGGGTTAGGTTGAAGTAAATCATTGCAAGGGAAGTAACTTTTTCTTATGTCTCATTTAGTCCCCCTACTTTTTTTCCCCAATTCAAGCATTGATGTGTAGGTGCTCTTTTATACATAATATATACAACAACAACGGTTAGGTTTTTGGATTTCAAAATAAGAAGAGCCGTGGACCCAAAAAAGTTGAAAACCACTGGGTTTAGACATAATATAGCTGTATATATAAGATAGTTAGTTAATTATTTACCCGTGAGACGAAATATGGTCTGCGTCTGAGAAAAATTCGTCAGCTTGATCCACGTGCAAATCGTGAAATCCATAAAGTTGTACGACACGTCTTCGAACTGTAAGTACTGAAATAAACGTCGACAATATCATAATTAGTATACCAGCTATAGTCAGATACAGACAAAGATTTTCGCACACCCTTAACGAAATGGTTTTTTTTTTTTTTTTTTAATCGGAAGATACTTAAATAAAAATTATTCACTTTATCATCTTAAGATTTATTTTAAACAGCGGTTACTATTATTCCTTATAAATTAAGATTTATAATCTGCGTACGATGGGTACACGTCTCAATAATTATTTTAAATATTATTATTACGGGGCGGTCCGGCGTCACGGTATTTTAATTTTTTTTTTTATGATCGGAAAACAGTCGAGAAAAAAAATATTTATTTTTTAAAATCTACCGAACAAAAACCGTATAGAATATTGTTATCTAATTACCCGACGTAACATTTTGTAATGTTCAAAATATAATTATATTCTTCTCATTCGCCTTCGTCCCGACTATTCGGGATCGGCCCCCCCTCGTCCTAAACTTTCATTTGACGCGATCTACCACATCATTCTCGCGTACACCGGCCGTTCTCGACCACATATTTTTCGGTCTTCATTTTCCCCTTTTCCTACTGTACGTTTATTTAGATTATTATTCTCATCAATCCAGATTTCTCCTTCTCGTGAAACCATCTCAGTCTATTTTCTTTCATTTTATCCACTATATATTGCCTATTTTATAAATTCTAAATGTTCAAAAATATTATAGGTACCTATGTGTGTAATTAAAATTTGAACTACAATTTTCTTCAAATATAACATGCATAATTTACAAAGATGTGTTCTTTTTTCTTGGAAAACACTTTTAGGGTTAATAAAAATGCTCCGATTTAGTCACGTCATACCCTAAAAGATGCGGATTTCCAATCATTTTTTTTTTTCAACATTTAAATAGTAAGCGCTCCAGTTTTTTCACATAGTGTCTGCTTCAAAAGATGCAACACTTCTGCCCAGCTGTATTTTATTTGAAATATTTATCGACATTTTCAGAAGTTCCCCCCTACGTCATTTTTATGATTTTCGTCGATTCCTGGCTGACCGTAGCAACAAAGGGAAAACCACGAAAAATACTACTCCGCTCGGAATTGTTTTTTCGTTTGCAATAATATTTATTGTTGCATACAGTTAACGAAATTATAACGAGGCATATCCTGATATCTTATACTGTCCTAACCACCCACATACGACAGTGTCTAACCCGTGAACAGCATGCATTAATTTTTATTATTACGAGTATTTATTCATTCATTTTATTTCATATTAATTTATTAACGATAAAAATAACTTTCACGCTAATTCAGTGAATCAGATTGAAGATTGGAATAATTTATTAATAGAATTACCTACACATTGTATATTTTAAAAGTGCATTTATTTGGCGTCAATATTTATAAACAAATTTTTTTTTAAAAAAAAAAAAAAAAAAAAACGATACGTTCGCTGCACTTTATCGCATGCACTAAATGCATCTATACTTTGATTTCAATCTATTTAGATTTAAAAAAGAGAAAAAAAAATCGCCATGGTTTTACGCCACGGTTTTATTTACGTAAACATATTTATATTTATAACCATTAGACCATAATGGGCTCCGAATCAGAATATTCAAAAAGGGACATTCATTTTAAATAAACAGTTTTCGTACAATAATTATTACAAAGCCGCTGTTAAATACGTGATAAATCGTATTTGTTGATATTTGATCGTTTCGGGAACGCGATGGTTTTCGAAATTTTTTGTGCGGGTCGAACAATTTGGGCTCGAACACAACGTCGCTAAAATAGACAAATATTTCGAATATATAATCGTGAACGGAAATATATTATTTCGGCCAACGAGGGGTTCAAACCCCTCCCACCCCGCTAAATATGTATTTCCCGGCCGATTACCTATATCGGTTAATATTCGAGGATTTCACGGAACAAACGTAAAATTATTCGTTATATTTTATATCGCTAATGATATTATATTATTGAACGGATTAAAAATTTCGAGTAAAAGGTATGATAATACGCGTTTTTTTTTTTTTTTATCAAAACAATAATGTTATACCGGCAAATCGCATCAGTCAACACAAATAGGTATACCAGTAAAAACGAAATACGGTAAAAAAACCAAACAGAATAAGGAAATCGGTTACGTAATGTGTCTGCTTATAAACCTCGACTATTATTTGTTTTATTTCCTTTTTTTTTTTAAATTATTACGTTTCAAGTGTAATATAATAGATAATTATAATAGATTCGTCTGTAGTCATTATTTATAACAGTTATACTAATAATGATTAGTTTTTTTTTTAGATTCTGTTTGTTATTATTATTTTATGTTTAATTTTTCACGAAAACCAAATAAAACGTCGTTTATTTATTATTTTTTTGTTGAGTATTCCGTATCAATGTGTCGCTTGTTCGTGCGTGTATGTGTGTCAGTAACATAAATTATAATTCGCTTATACTAATATTAGGCCATTGATAACGTCATAAGTGTATTATTATTGCACTGTTAATCGCGTGCGTATATCGATTTATATAATGTTTAAGTTATTCACTGTACTCATTGACTCGTATATTATACTTAGAAACGCGTTCGATTCCATTCAACTATCGTAGTATAATATTTATTATAGACCGTTCCAAACACAATTTTTTTACTGCCTATATATTATTCGTATTTACTATAGAAATGACCGAAAAAAACTTACAAAACGTAGATAAGTAGCTGTCTATTGTAAATAGGGTTAGTGAAAAATCCTGGTTTTATTAAAAGAAAATAAAAAATCACCCAAATTAACTGGAATAAATGGAATATTTTTTTTTATAACAAACCCGCTTAAAACCATTACTTAAACCAGCATTAAAAAAAAAAAAAAAAAAAAAAAGGTGAATACTATACTTTTGGTTACACTAATTTCCTGTAGTGAATTTTTATTTTATATTCGTATATAGCCTTGATCTATATAAGTAGTTCATCATTTTTATACAATTTATTCCGAAACGTTCAATCCATTAGCCTAATGAGTTTATTAGGTAAGATTAAATATCTAAGTAATAGAATATAGATGAGCGATTATCGATTATTTAATACCAAGACACGTATCGTCAGTTAGGGATCGATAACTATTATTCTCAAATTGGAAATTGCCAATTTGTTTTATTATTGCCCTTCACAATTCGGGAAAAATGAATTAACTGTATAATTTCAATAAAAAAAAAAAAAAAAAATGTATACGGGTTGACAATTAATATCCATAAAAATATACAGCGGGATCATTTTGGGAGGGCCGCGATTTTCTTCGCCGACCCGGATTCAAAATGTTATTTTCTTAAAAATATGATTTATTTAATTTGTATTAAGTATATAATTTATTGATCTTCATAATATTTGACATAACGACAGAGTAAACATAATTTTATCACGGGCTTCGTTGAAATTATATTATTAATTCAAGTTTATTTCGTCGAAAACTTCGGCAAAACAAACACAGTGGTCGCGTTGCGTTTTACGAGTGTTTGGACAAGGGTTTCAAGTCGCAAGCCCTTATAAATAAGGGCCGACTCAAGTCGGGACATAAAATTTTTATATTATTATGTTCGCCGACGGATAATAATTATTGTTACTAATACGCTTCGGGACCCGCAGTTAAAATTAATTAAAATTTCATTCTATGTTTATCTTTAATCACGGCGTTGCAACACAAAGAAAACTTAAACCGTTTGCAGTTTAGCCATGTTTATTAAATAAACTTTATTTTACTATTATTATTATATACGCCGTCTACGCGTACGTAGCGTACATATTGACTTTGCTGCGCAGTAAACCTCGCGGCGCAATCTAATCTCGTCTCCTTATAATAGGTATTCTACTATAATAAACAACGACTTGTTTATACAGCGCTCTCTACGAGCGAGCCGAGTTCCCGGGTATTAAACGCATTTCGAACGATAAATAATAATAATTATAGTTCCGATTCTACAATTTCAAACGAATTCGGTAACCCATAGTAAACTATCGTATTAATTACACCGTTATAGAAACGCTATAAATAAATTTAAAATATTCATTCGTAAATAACCGACGGGACATATTATGTATTTTAAATATTTCGCCTCATTAAGTTTACTAATTTTTTTTAATTCAATTTTTTCTTTTTAATATTATAGTTGAAAAATTCATTTTTAAACAAAAGTCTGTTAAAACGATTTTTCGATTAACCCAATAACGAGATATTTGACGTTACCGTGATATAATGGTAACGCCGGGACAGAAAGGGGTCAACATTTGAAATTGCGGTCAAATATTTTGTAAAAAAAGCTTCGCGTTACCAACATGTATGGGTACTCGAGGATAAAATGGGTTAAGTACTACTTACTTATAATGATTACTTTATATTTGCGATATCGACTATAGCACACTATAGTCGAATGATATATATGTGAGTGTATATATTTAATATAATTAACATAAACGAATTTATATTTAAATTAATAATAATAATAACAGCGTTATTATACCTACATTATAATATTATACATCCTTATTGACGTCCAAATCAACAACCGTAACTGTGTACTGTTTTAACCAGTGGTGTTCCCATTATTTTTTTTTAGATTATACCAAGTCGTTAAATAATACCAAAACATAAAAATAATACATTAATACAATATAAATATTTTTCTTACGGTTTTTCTAAACCGTATCGTTCTTTATCCATCTGGATAAAGAACGTGTCAATAATAAACCCGAGAGTCGAAATTGCGAATTGATCGAGACTGAAAGTATGCGCGGTGTACCCATAATATTTAAAAAAAATTCTGAGAAAATAAAAAAAAAGGACCTGTTTAAAGTATCTCCCAATACCGATTTCCTTATGAAAAAAAAAGTGCTACACTTTAAAATCGGAGCAAAATTGCTGGTAGAAAATTTGTCCACAGATAAAAAAAAAAATAAACATCTTGGTAAAACTATATAAGCTTCTTCGCTCCATTCAGAATCTAAACATTTTTTGAAAGTATACGGCGTGTATTATGTAGTGTACCCTATGGGAACGCCCCTGGTTATAACACCTGTGGTCGGACACAAACAACGATATAAGGTGCCCGAATACTCACGATCAGAAATCTAAAATTAACGTTCGTCCGTTCGTTTTCTACACTTAAAAAACTACCGAACCAATTGGCGCCGAACTTCGTACGCATATTCCTCGAAACTCGGGAAAGGTTTCGTTTTTCAACCCGTAAACGTTGCTATATAGGATGGTTCGCAAGTGAATTTCGTTTCGGCTAACCCAAACCAACCGTTTTTGTTCGTCGCACAGGGTGGCCATTGGTTGCGGATAATAAAATAAGCTATTCTGTAGAAAATGTGAAATCGAGCGTTCTTGATGACGGGCAAAGCCGAGTGGGGCAGTATAACTGTTATTCACGGGCAAGAAAATGCATATTTTAAACATTTACGGGCAATAAAAAAAATAACTGCAGTGATGGGAACGGGAACGGAAACGGAGAATCGCGGGAAAACACGTTTTTATTATCATTTTTTTTTTTTTCCCCCATTTTTTGTCGTTCGAGATACTGAAACGGGCAAAACCGTGCGGGACAGCTATAGTATTGTATAAAATGTAGACAATTTATTTCGTACGTTGTGCAATTGTTTGTTTTATGAAACGTGATGTGTTTCAGTAGGTATGGGATTCCGAGTAATAAACACTGCAGTTTTAAATATTAAATTACTTAACAATATTTTGATTATGTTCGTTTTTTTCTCGATGAAATATATTTTCGATTTTAAAACGTTGAAAATAATTTCCATACCGTGTTGGTTTTTTCAAATATATTGTAAAACATATGCGAGTTGTGTAAATTTATGATAAAACAAAATATTATTTTATTTATGCGATTGGATTTATAGGAGAATATAGCGTAAACAATAAAATACCTCGAGTATTTCAGGGATGAAAAACGATTTTAATTTGTTCGGTTAAGCTAAACTTCAACAATGTAATACTGTAATAGTATGGCATCTAATACCTACATTTTTGTCTTAGACTAGTATAATAATAGTAATAACTACAAAATCTAACTCTAATCTAACGAATTATTGTTGTTCAATAATATAATTACATCATAATATTAATTGTGAATTGTTGTTGAAACAATGATTAATATATCGTTGGTCTTATAGTCTTTGTACTTAGCTATATACGATTTTTTTCCACCTTTATTTTTGGTGTAAACGGCATAAGTGTGTATTCTAACCCGTGTTATACTGAAAGCTAAAATATCCGAAGTCACTATAATATACTTTCGCTGGCAAAAAGGAATAAGTCAAATAATTATACGACTTAAGCCACGTATAGAACGCTATATTTAGGTTAGGCCATTAATATTACATCATGTTTAGTAATTGTCAACATTTGATTTGCTTGTATTGAAAACCATACAAACGTCATGAGACTGGTATAAAACTCAATAATCAAACTTAATATCTATTTCGATTTAAACCACTATATTTTTGAATTTTCAAATTTGAAAGTTATTTTTTTTTTCTTTAAACACTTTTAAACGTGCTTTTTCTGTTCTTGCATACGCTACATAATATATATATATATATATATATATATAACCATAAATTCACGATATTACACCGCGTCCTCGTATCGCGAATCATTCTAAAGCTGCGTTTATACGATTCACTTATTGGATGAATCGTCCGAATTGAACCATTTAAAACGAAAAGAAACCATTTAGACACGATTCATGCTAAATTAATGTGTTTTACAAGAATTTAAATTTAAAATTAACCAACTGATTCACTGATTATGTAGGTGTGAAATCAACGTTTACACATATCACATTTAATGATTCAACGCGAATGATAACCGAAAGATGAACAAAAAGTTACACTCAGCCGAACCTCGGTCTTCGTTTGATATGGACGATCAAACTTAATGATTTTATGTTTACATTTTTCGTGTTTAAGTTTCTATATGTAAGTTTACGTCCCCTTATATCCTCTCCATCCTTCCGTCCGAAGTTACCAGTACGTATAATTATGGCTGTCGGTTCGATATACAAGGCGATGTAATAAAATATTATTCGTAATATAAATTCACTATATTATTATCGTTATTTATTTAAAAATGAGTATTAATTAATATTATTACTAGCCAATACTACAAATATTAAGAAGCAGAATTTAATACATATCTGTAAGCAACGATAAGCCATTGCTAACGAAAAAACGATTCTGAACGGATTTCAATTGATAGTGTTGTTTTGTCAACAATATATAATATGTCGTATTACGGTAAAATGATAACAACAATGTCCGTGTCCATGACAAAAATGATAGTTTAAAAATTAAAATAATAAAAACTTAATAATAACAAAAATAAATAAAAACAGTTGCCAATGGCAACTTTATTTTTAATCTTTCGTTTTCTGTTTAACCTAAACAACTAGTTTTTCCTCACTGTTTTGAATATTAATGTGAATTTCGAAAAATGACCTCTATAAAGTACCATTCAGGGAACACTTCCTTTCAGAAAAGGTGCTATGTTTGATAATCGGAATAAGCTTTCTGGTAGAAAAAAGTTTTCACATAAAAATAAATAGATATCATTGTAAAACCAATACAATTCCGTGATATACTCAGAATCTTAAATGTCCTGTCAACTATTAACAAATCGCTACAAATAATTTATTTAAGAGAACGGTACACATTCGTTTGTCGTTTCCGTCTTATAAACGCACAATACAGTTAAAACATGCTTACGCAGACTATACAGGAATCGCTTAATTTTGGTCTTAGAGTAAAAACATTTAATTTAAAATATTCAATAACAACAATATCCTGGAGGACGATATTCATTGTGTTTTTCGAGGTTTTTTTTTTTTTATTTACTAAAACTTTCAAAAAAAAAAAAAAAAACGCAGCCTTGTCCTCCGGAATATTGTTCTCTGTCAATTTCACAATTGGTGTTTTCGTTCTGAAACCGAAACTAAGCTAGTTGTGCGTGTAGCTGCGTCGTAAGCGTGTTGTTACTATATCTCGCGTGTAACGACCCCTTAAACGCGTACGTGTATTATAGTGTAATACTATTCCGGGTTACCGGGTTCGTTCGAAATTTTACGCGGCACTATACCGTTCAAAACCGTTTAAAACGCGTCCTGGGAACTCGACTGGCCCGTAGAGCGGGCTCTCCTATACGCGACCCGTCCGAAAATAACAAATCGTCATGCCGTAAAGCGGAAAACTGCGCGTGCACACGCGACGCGCAGTTCCACGTCTTTACAACCGTTACTCACTTGAACCGCGTTTGCCGGCGTCATTTGAATTTTGGACGCGGCCAAATTCGAATGATCGGAAACGTTCGAGGACCCCGCGGCGGCGGCGGCGGCGGCGGCGGCGGCGAAGGAGTAGGTCGCGACGAAATACACCAAAATGAACAGCACCGCCGTTGCGTTTGTCATCGTGACGTCCGTGTCGCGCGCGTCTCGTCCCCGCGGTGTTCTCGGACTCGTCGTCGCGGCGAATCCGCGTCCACGTGCAGTCCGCGCTTATAGACGGACGCGGGCGAACGGGCGAACGGGCGGACAGGCAGGCGAGCGAGCAGGCGAACGGGCGGGCAGGCAGACAGGCAGGCAGGTGCACGTGGTCGCGCGCGCTATACTGTCCCCGGACTCGGGTTCGGGCGTCCGCCGCAGCCTCTAGACCGCGGATATTCCACACCCATTCGGCGCATTATGAAACGCGATAATACCGTACACGTCGTATTAAATAATCGAAATGTGTTTTGCGGGTATTATTACGATTTCTTAACCACCGCCGCGCACACACACACACACGCACAGCAGGTACCTATATAATATATATTATACAGTGGCGTATCTGATTAGGCCTGTGCTCTAATCGAAGTGAAAGTGTTTGCGTGAGTTTTGGATTTCGTTTTTTTCGTCTCCTTCTCTCTCTCTCTCTCTCTCTCTCTATCTATCTCGCTCGCTTTTCTGTGCAGGTGTACGCGCGCGCGATCGCATTGTCAACGCAACGTCGTCGTGTCGCGCCGCGGACTCTCGCGACGTCTCGTCTTATGCGCCGTATAGTGTACAACACTGCGTCGTGCGGTTCTTAGATTATGAGCGCAGCGAAAAATGTATACCATATTGGTTTTACAATGATGTTTTTTTTTTTTTTTTTCCCAGGAGTTTTCAAAACAAAAGGGAAAACAGGTACAAGAAATCACGCTCCGATTTTCGAGTGTAGCACGTTTCCGAAAGGTAATTTGACCGGGTCGGTACGTTTGGAAGGTCGTTTTTATTTTTTTTTTTCCCAGGAGTTTTCAAAACAAAAGGGAAAACAGGTACAATATCAAACGAATATTCTTAAAAGAAAATATACATATAGGATTTGTGATTACTTTAACATTGTATGACATTTATATTTATTGTTGACAGTGGCTGCATCCGTTCCCATTATCCTAGGATAGCTTTTTCTACAAATAACTTTCCTATCGGAACGTTTTCTCCAATTTTCAAGTGTAGCACTTTTTTTGAAAGGAAATTTGATTGGGATGGTACATTAAACAGGTAAATTTTTTGATTTTCTTAGGATTTTTCATAATAAATAGAAAAAAACGTAGGAAAAATAGGAAAATGTACGAAATCTATTATTTTCAAATCGTTAATATTACGGCTTTTCAAAATACATGTAACCGAACCCCGCTCAGAATTTACTGCTGATAATAATGTTGATGGACGTGACACGTGTTTAAGGACGAAATTCGGAAGGGAAGACACATGCAAAGTAATTTAATTTATATCTACACGAAACGATAAACCGTTAACAACGAAAAAAGATTCTGAACAGAGTATTGTTAGTGGTAATTTTTCACTTGTTGCCAAGGTGACCCAGCCATACAAAAATTGAAAAAAATTATTAATTTTTTCGATATATTAATATAACTACTAGAAAAATCAAGAAATTGTCACTTTATTACTTCGACTAGATAAAAAATGGACAACAAATCTACAAATAAAAACACTTTATAGTAAAACCAACATATTTCTCGCTTTGCTCAGAATATATTGCGTGTACCTTTATCGCTTTTTATTCGTTTCTTTTCGTCTAGTTTAGAATTAAAATTATTTTGCTTCTGCCCGTATATTTTATAATAGACATCGGTGTTATATCTAACCGCTCTGCGGTTGTATTCCGATACACTGACTTAGATTTCCTATTCGCGGTAATTTCATTAAGTCGTACAGTCATTCGTTATTATTGTAGATGTATATAGATAATGCTTGGTGGCAACGGTGATAGTTGAAGGTCTTCGGATAAAAGTAGTAAAAAAAAAAAAAACGAAAAACAAAAGAAAAAATCGATATAAGCTAAATAGCGTTAATTTAATAACGATATAGTATGTCGTCTGACAACGTTGTAGTCTATCGCGGACAACAGTCATGGACGACAGTCATACTACGGAAAATAAGGGAAAAAATGTGAGTAAAATAACTATACTAGCGAAATCAAGTTAGAACCATACTCGATCGCGTCATGTCACGTCACCCGCACCGAGTCACCTTTACACAAAAACAAATACCTACCATTGCTTTATATAAACAGCTAGATATTTTAGTAATAACAATCGTACGTTTAATATTATTAAGTGCTTCAAACGGCGTACAGTATAGGCAATTCTCAATAATTATTATTATTTTTTTTTTTACTTGAATAATTTCCGTATCGTATTCAATCGAAACGCACGTTTCCTGATAGATGTATTTTGCAACAGTATTTTACGGGGTGATTTTTTTTTTCGTTATCACAATCTAGTGACTATATTATAATAATTTATACGACCAAACGAAAATTGATTTCGGTTTGTTTCGGTAATTTGCATACAGCAGTATAGAAATTATAACAATATGTATAATGAGTCATTACTAATGACTCATAACGCAGCATTTAATTATCTTCATTGCGATGTTTTTTAAAATTGTACTCTTATATTGCGCGTACGCTATGCATAACCACATATTAACTTTTGATTTCCTACAGCTGTAATAGCAGCAGGATTACATCGTCTAAAAACTGATCTAATGATATTATGCAATTTATTACCCTTTCCTACTGCTCCGGTGTAAAAAATAACGTTATTAACTTTCGTAAACGGCGTATCCAATAAAAGTGTTGAAATTAATTTCATGCATTTCGTATCGAAATGTTTAGAAAATATTATTTTTTCGAATCCAGGTTGTCGTTTAAAAATCAAAAGTTAATATTCTCATTCAAGAGTATTTATGAGGATTAGATGGAACGAAATTGAAATATAAGCGTTCAAATAATAATTTTAAACAAAATTAAAAAAAAAAAAACAAAACAAAACAAAATAGAAATCAAATTTATTTTTATCATCAAATAAAATTGCGAAATCATAATTAAAACAAATTATTTATATCATTAGTTATTTATCACATAATTAAAATAAAATAAATCACTCTGTAAACAATCGAAAATCCTTATGAATACTGCTAGTGTGATACACTCATCGGTTCGGCCACGATTAGAACAAATAGTATAAAATCAACACTATCTTGATATATTAAACCGATTATTTATTTTGTAATTGTAATAAAAGTCACATTGTTCCGTTTCAAATTAAATTGTTCGGAATAGAATAAATTAAAAACAACACAGATGCGGTTTGTCAATGGACGAAGGACAAATAAACGATTGAAAACATATCGACTGATACCAAACGAATTTTCTCCCAAACAATAATAGTATTGCGCTATTATTATTAATCCCGCTCCATTCAGCGTCGAAAATTAAATTATTTTTAATTTGTGATCTAAAATACTTGAATGGTTTTTTTTTTTTTTTTATATATTATTGTTAATACTAAAAGTATTCGCACTGCTCGGATTCCGAGTTATGTAACATTAGATAGTATGCGGTTTTTATAAATCTGCAACGATTATTTGAAATACAATACTTTAACATTTCAACGTATTAACCGAAACATTTATTATATATTCTATATATATATAATTCGAAACAATATTTTCCTATTTTACAATAGTCGAAATTTTTCTTTGGGTGTTTATCATTCTGTTTTCGCGGAAAACCATTTAGACAATTGCACTTGCAACGTCTTCCTCGAGAATATATAGGTAATATAATAATCGTAAATAAATATACGGTTTAAATGAATGGAAGAATGTTTGCTGTATAGTGTTCGTGAAGATTTTTGGCACGCGACATCGTATTCAATGGAATTTAGGCCAAAAACAAGCCGTGAAACAAATTTAAATATTTAAAAAAATACATGTTTTTTTAACCACGATTAAGAAATATCTCGCGTACATAATTCAAATTTCAATAGGTACGAATTGCGTATAATACAATGTATATATAAATATTCGATTTAAATAAAATTGATTTAGTTTAGGTACTTGCAATAATACCTATACTCAAATAAAACCGATAAACCATTTTCTTTATTTTTTTAGGGTTTCTGTACCGTTGAATACGCATTTTGTTTTAAACATTTTTCATGAAATTTAGACATTTTTCATGTCCGTATTATACAATAGGTATTATGATTCCCTTGTTCTATACGATGCCCAGTGGTAAGTACGACCGAGTATCGTTCTACTCTTTACTCTAATTAAAAAATATTATTTTATGCAAACACGGTTTTATATTATAAAATATCTACGCGTGATTTTTTGAAAACAAACTCGGGATCCCGGGACGGTCCCGGAATTACGTTAGAAATTGATAAAAAATATGCATACTCGTACATACAATTGGAAAATTGATTTTTTTTTTTTATACATAATATATTTTTGAATACCATTCATAAATTAATAAATTGTACGTATTAGTGAGTATTACGAAACAAAAAGCCCGAACAACAAAATATGATGATAAAATTAGACAAAAAATAGAAATATATTTATGATGAATATTAAATACTAAATATTTTGGAAATACGATCGTAGAAACAGCAAAGCATCTGATGTTCTATCTCCGAATCTGTAATCTTAATTCCTGTCCAATGTAATTAAGCAGCTGTTGAAAACAGTGTCGAAATCATTCGAATTCTATCTAACCTAATATTTATATAAAACCCATCGGTCGACCGTCATAGATAACAAATATTTATACCCAAATGCTGTATAAATATTTTAATGTTCTTGGGATAGATAAACGGGTAAACCTGCTGTATAATTCACTGACGTGTACGAAATCTTCTATTTTATACAATGAGTTTATTTTTCGTATTTATTTATAATTATTATGTATAATGTAAATATATATTTGTTTTCTATGTTACTGCTTTAAATCACGCGGCTTGATGGTTTTTTTTTTTTCATAAATTTAAGTCGATTTACAGTGTAGATACATATTAATAAGGATGGACTGCACGTTCCCCATACCATAATCGATACTTAGTAGAAACTCACGAGAGAGGTGCAAAATCTATTATGATTCACCCACCTTTAAACTAACGTACTTATATTTTATAACTATTACCACAATATTAGTAATATTAATGTTTTTATCGAATTAAAATTCCATATTATGCTGTCTAAACACTCTAAATATAACCAATACAACCATACATTATGTAACACAGAGTCCGTAACGATAATCATTAAATTGTAACAATTTATGATAATAATTTACAAGTTCAATTGTTATCAATAATACTATTATGACTTATTAGTTTTACATTATTATTTCGAACGTTAAAATAATAATGCATTATCATGTTTTATTCTATACGAGGATGACGTGTAATATAGTACCTTTAGTTTATTTATTTTAATATTTTTGTAAATTGTGTGTGGGTGAAATTTAAAACCTTTACCGCCTCCTCAGATGAATACTTGTGGGTGAAACTGCACCCTCATTCCTCCCTTAAATACCGGCATTGCTCTATAACCCCTGCTTAATATTGTTGTCAGGGTAACGTTACCCTGGCACTACCAATTATAAATAACGAAAATTGTCATAACGTGTAATCATGAAAAGGTCTCAGTGCTAAATTTCAATATTTTTGACCTCTGAGTGTCCATTTGGGGCTGCCAAAAAAAGAGGGGGAAGAAAGAAGACTGACAGTCACAAATTGGCACAATAATTGTTAACTAAGTTTGCCTTGTTGTGTACCGAAGTCAAATAATTGAGAGGGAGAGCTTCTTAATAATATATTCCCCCCACTCAAATGTATTCCCGAGTTTTTGTTGTAAACACGAATAATTTATGGTGAGGAGGGAAGGGGGGGAAATGACTGACGTAAGTGCTAAAAAAAAAAAAAAAAAAATTAGTAATAATATAATAATTTAATTTTTTATAAAAATGAGTTTTACAGCTAACAATTTATAAGAATAGTATTATATTTATTTATTAAATACCCTGGCACCACAAATTTTGTTTAGTAATAAGTAATTAATAAATTGTATGACTTGTAGTTTTTCAATTCAATAATACGAATATAACGATGTACAGCAGTACAAAGACAGTAATAATTTATAAATAGTATAATAGTAGAGACCGACTGACTGAATGACGTATTAACACAAAGCCCAAATCCCAAGGTCAAGAATATTGAAATTCAGCAATGTGAGTTTATTACGATTACATATTGTTACAATTTTCATTATTTATAGGTGGTAGTGCCAGTGTAACGTTACCCTGGAACTATTAGGGAAAATCGGTTTTCTGACGTTCTAGGGCGGTTACAACATTTTTTTTTTACGGTTACAAATGTTTGCATAATACCAGTCGGTTTTGAATTCAAAATGTTGACACGGTGGTGCCAGGGTAACGCACCTAATTTCTGGCCATATTATATCTGACCTTTACTGTATATAAGATATCTTTATTTAAAAATGTTGTTGTCTTTTTTATGAAACTTTTTTCTCTCTCTCTCTCTTCTACTTTTAATGACTATAGACGCTCTTAGGTCGTACACAATATTTTTTTTAATAATAATGTTGGTGCCTGGACTGCTTTTTTAGTTCTCTCAGTTTCTTTATTATGAGTATGCAGGCTGAATTATTGCCGAATTCGTATAACAATAAAACGCAGTTTACAAAACAAAATTATTAAGAAATATAGGTGCTATATAATAATAAAATGTTCGTTATTAATTTAAATGGTGTAGCAAAAAATGCTATACAATATATGTATTGCTATATATATTGTATATTATGTACTAAGATCAAAAACGTTTTGTTTAATTGGCGTGTATACGCGTGCGCAATAGGACGAAGTGGACTTGGACGAGATTTTGCCCATCATCGGAGAGTTCGGCCGTTATCAAAAGTTACTTTTGTGGCTCGTCTGTTTGCCGGCCTGTATACCATGCGGCTTCGGAGCATTTAACCAACTGTTCATGTCCGACGTTCCACCGTATTGGTGTTCCGAACCACAGCTGTCGAATTTCACCGCGGACCAGAGACGACAAATTTACGAAGAAGTATATATGTATAATATTATCTAAATGAAATTATGTTTGTTTTCATGGGCACATTTTATGGCTATGATTGATACCTACGAAGTCAGTGTTAGATCCAGGGGCTAATAGGGTAATATACCTTCCCCCTCAAAAAAACACCGTAATATAGTATGATTTTTTTATCGTATTGTGGTAAAATACAAACCAATTTGCATTGTTGTAAATGGTTTTATTCCTCTCCAAAATTAACGCCCGGATTCGCCACTGAACTAATTACTAATTATTGAAATTTTAGACGCAATGACGTTGTCCGATATTACTATTATTCGTCTCCTCCGTTTTTACCTCTACCCATTCCTTTTGTTTTTTTGTAGTTAAACCATTATTACCATGTCGAAATGTTACAATGAAACTACCATTTAATGAAATATTTTTGGGAACCAAGACTTTCAATGTTAACAATAACTATGAGTATATATATTTCCGTAGAACGAATATGATATATCTACATAAAATTATGATCAAAAAACCCGTGTTTTCTTTTTTTGTATAATGTATCCATAATTATCACTTTTAGATATAAACAAATTGTTTTCAAAATATAATACTATAGTACTACTATTCCCAGTGGTGTATTGGAGGGTATGCGTGGGTATACGACGAATACCCGGATCTTTATTTTCGGATTTATGAGTATAACCTATATAAGTAAATTCGTTGATTATGACTTATGAGTACACTAAAAATATACACATCAAAGGTATACGCGAATTTTTAATTTATCGTCGCCATAAAACCGTAAAAATAATAATTATAATAATAAGTAATTATTATTTTATTGTTTTTATTGTTTAGTCTGTCACAAAAGCAGTTCGGTATTCAAGTTTAAAATGTAGATCTGCATAGTGAACATCCCGCTGAACGTATTACTGTCAGGTTACGATTCACTTTCAAACTAAGTCTATACATTTTACCGTTTTATCTACAACGTAGTTCGTTTAAATATTACTAAATTCGTAGTTTTGGTTTAAATTTTAAATCAAAATTGATAATCACGCGAAAATTTGTTAGAAAATAAGTAAATTATTTGGTTACTATTATTAAATTATTTTTAAAATTGGAAACTATTATTCAAATCCAAAAAAAAAAAAAAAAAAAAAAAAAATAGAAAATAGAAAACAAATGTGTTCTATACGTATTATTGCATACCCACCAAATATTTCTAATATTTTTCAGAAAATATATCAGTTAAAATAATTATTAATAAGTTGTATGATATTTTGTATGACGGTACCTATTTAATATTTTTATACTAACCGCTTAAAAAATGAAATTAACTTTTCAATTAACTCTGGAAACACGTTTACTTACGTTTTCTTAAATTTTATTTTCGTAAATATATTTATTTTGATAAAATAAGTATACCAATATTGATGAGTATAAAAAAAAAAAAAAAAAAAACGCAAACACGATATTCCATTATTGTTATTATTATTATTATCATCAACTAATAAAGAGATTTATATAAAATCATTATTTTGAGCACAGCTTGAACCGATGGTGTATCTATATATAATCGTATATTATATATTCTGTCTTAATATACTAACGAAACCTATTGTCTATAATTTTGTAAAGAAGTACATAATATATATTAATATAATACACTTTGGTTACTTCATAATGTTTCTCCAGTATAATAAATCTAATCATTTTGGAATGTTTGAGATCTATTATATTTTTCGTGCGATGCGATGACGAAATACGAAATATAGCTTTTTAACATTATTAAATATCGTAGATACACAATGTACAATAATAATAATAATGATAATAATAAATCGATTAGGCAACTATAAGAATATTGTTATATTTGTATTATTACAATGATTATAATGTCCGGAAGAAAGTACGTAGTATTATTATACATCATGTTCAATTGAAATATAATACTAAATAATATCGCTAAATCCCAATCATCAAAGACCTTATTTTTTTTATTATCCAATGAGTTTTCTACACAAATATAATATTCTAGCGAGTGACGTCATTTTATTATGTGTGTGATTGTCTGTGGCAAAATTATCAAATTTGCCGACTGATTATGATGAAAGGAATTATAATTATCAATAAAATGTGTCATTAGGTACCTATATATCAATAGGTATGTGATTTCGTAATATTTGAATTTTATATTTAATTTAAAAAATTAAAAATCGTCGTGAAAATCGGATTACTTGTCTGTAAGGAAATAAAGTATATGAAACATTTTTCGAAATTTTTTTCCCATAGTTAAAAGTCAGAGCTTAACCAAAATGCTGACTTGAGAAAAGGTTAAAAGTTATAGAATGTGGTAAATGTTTACGTTGCCCACCAATGAATGACATTACTAATTATAGTTCAATAATTACAATCAATCAAATCACATGTATACAGATTTCGAAGTTAGGACATAGAAGTTAAATGTACAGTTTTCGTGATTGTTGAAATGAAAAAAAAATAGCCATAGTATTGCTTTTTTTTTTCTTAAGGCTTGCCCTAAAACTCCCCAAGTGTCTAATATACAATCGATTCGATATTCGTGAACTATGTTCCAGAGTAACGTCACTCAAATAAAAAACGGATGTATGCGATACGCGATCAATTGGACGGAAATCTTGGAGTCTTCGGACGTGTTTCAGGGGGAAAATTTGGGACGGTTGACGAACGAGAGTTGGCCGCTAGAGAAATGTAACAGTTGGGAGTACGATACCAGTCTCGTGCAGTCTTCAATCGTAATCGATGTGAGTAAATATAATATAATATACCTACACGTAAAACATTGAATTTCATAAGTTTTAAACGCATACATTTGAATAACTATAAAGACGTCGTGAATATAAAACGGTTTTAATATTATGACGATGCCATATAGGTAGTACTGTCGTCATGAAAACGTTTAGAAAGTATATAATTCGGTTTACATGGCGTTTCAATAAAATAACTGAAATATTTATACCGTGTAAACACGGATGTCGAGAACTTTTATTGAAATTATTATCGAATGGAAGTATAAACCCATTCATATATTATTATTTTGTATTCACGGTGGTTTTATAATATCGTGAAAACCGTGTGTACCTATATACCTATATTTCAATGTACGATTCATAATATATTTTAACAACGTGACGTGACGACGGAGAATTACGATAAAACGTGTCCGAAATCACGTGGCCGAACAAAGTACAATTTGAAAACAAACGTACAATCGTCGGATCAAATCTATTCAAAATACATATTTTTCGGTATTATTATTTTATTACCAGCAGCTGCAGCAGTTCGCGTAGACTGGAAATTGTAATAAAACAAACGCAACGGTTGTTGTTTTTTTAGATTCCGAGAGTAACGTCGATTTCTAGACGTTGTTTTTTACCGCTTCTAAAAAAGGATAATATTATAAAAAATTGTTCAGTGAAAATGTCAGATCTCTACGGCTATTTTTAATCGAATTCCAATAAAAATGCAAAATCGAAAATAACGAAACCGTTAACACCATAAACTTTCCTGTCTTTCGTATGTTTTTTTCCCGGTTTTTCTCAACTATTTAAAAAACGACACTCTAAGTCCAAAAATTAATAAAAATTCTCAATGCGGCAACACGATCAAACAAAACAAAAAAATCATATTAAAATATCAATATTATATTTCATGAATAATAATTGTGTGGTTTAACGGCTTTTGCCAACTACAAATAATTTTTAGGAATTTAACGATTCATCTTTAGTAAATATTTGTAATGTTAAAATATATTTATGAAATTTTGGATTTTGTAAATAGAGGGTATCTCAAAAAAAACGCCGGATTTAAAAAGGCCACCATTTTTTTTAGGCAGCACTGTTTTTGTTTTTTTTTTATCTATTATCATTGATGTTTTATGTTGATAAGGGTTATTATTATTATTAATTATTTTTGTGATATCATCATGGAATAGTACAGTAAGGAACGCCGAGTTTTGATCGTAAAAACTCACTGCTAAAATGTTGAAAGTTTCGCGGTAACTGTTAGAAAACTCCGTACATATTTTGGAAATCAAAATTCACCGAACGAATCAACTGCTCGTTGGTTGATTAAAAATTTCGAAGAACATGGTTCGGTACAAGACATCAAAAACCCTGTACGTCCTTGAAGAAACCTGAGTAAAACAAATATTGTTGTGTGAGAAGTTTTCTGACAAACTAATTTTGTTGCGTGGCGACCAAACCTACCCATCTCGATCTTGCGATTGGATATCGTGTGATTTTTTGCTATGGGGATATACTAAGTCTCGAGTTTACCAGAAAAAACCATAAAATTTGTTGGATTTTAAAGAAGAAATTCGACGTGTTCTATACGAATTTAATGAAGCAATATGTAATCGGGTGATGATGAATTTCATGGACCTAGTGATTACATGAAGGGCTAGTAGGGGGGGGGGAGAATGATATATTTCTGATTCCGTGCTTATTCCGAGACTACCTTCCCAACTTCTCACCTATAACAATGGCCGCTCCCATCACCAGTTTCAGCTCTTTTTTTTGTGGTTTTTTTTACATAAATAAATTTGATTTATAGTAGTTTTAAATTCGACGTTCTTTTTGAGACATCCTTTATTAAAATGTTTTATTTTTAGTTTTAAAAAAAATTAGAGGAATCATATTATTAGAACAAGTCTAGAAATTATTACAAGAAGAAAAACTTAAAAATATTGAACAAAACGTAAGTTATTTCAGTTGTCAGATCTTCGCGTTACACTCTGTATATGTACATAATGACTACATTTATTATATAATAGAATTGAAAATAAAAAAATGTTTACGCCAAAAAGTGAAAAATAACAAGTTTCTTTTTAACGCGTGCATTATTGGAATATTTCAGGTTTCCATTACGAACGCATTAAGTTAGAAAGTCATTCGAATCCGAATACTATAACTATACACCAATCGATTGAGTTTTAAGTTATTTACGAAAATGACGTTTCAACTCAATTTTATAGTTATTGTCTAATTATAGTCAGTCGATGGCCAGCTTTACGTATATCTAATTTACATTTAAAACAGACTGTCGTAAACTGCAGGCAAATTTAACTGATTAAAAAAAAAACAAAAATGCGGTCAATCGCGAAAACATCGCGAATTCCATAGCTGTACAATATTCGAACTTATGGGAAATAATATGCATTATCATAATTATTATTATATCAAGTAGGTATACCCGGATATACGTGTTGACCGGTGCTATGCCAACGGGAAACAAAATTAATTGACTGTTTACTGCTCGACAGTGGGTAGAGGATTGTTGCGGTGCAGACTATATAACTAGTAAACCGTGAAATTGTTGGCTGACGGAGTCGAGTCATTTCAATATTATAAGTATAATAATAATACATGAGTATAGATTTTTCTTTTTTCAATTTCGAGTAGAGATGGTGGAAACGTTCTCGATACGATTCACGATTTATTCCCGTTCGTATCGACAATTCGCGTTATCTATTCTATAGTAGATATAAGGTAAAAATAGATTTAACTATTTAAGGCGGCGGATATTTGGAGGATAGTGGATTACCCCCCCTTTTTTTTCTTTAGGTAATTCGTAATTTTTAATAAATATTTAAAATACAAAATACCGCCTATGCATAAACTGTTGAAGTAGAAGAAGATTTTAATGGGTTTAAAAATTTTTCGTACCGATTAGAATAATACATTACTAACGAGAATAATGGAAGGGGTTCAGGAAAATCGTATAAATCCCGTGGATTTTAAATTTTTCCACACTCAAAACCGGGACACGATAGCCACCGATACAGATATAGAGAGCGAAAAACATTAGATTTGTGATTTTCACGAGGCATTGAAAGCATTCGCCCCGGGGCGTCAAAGATATTTTAAATTATAGGGCGCCCGGCTCAATTTAAAACTCGAAATAAAAATAACAATATTATATCACTTGTTAGATGTTTTATTTTCACACGGTTTACCTAGTAAAGTAATGAATATTTATTCGGTAATTATTATTAGAGCATTATAGTTTGACCTATAGTAAAATATAACAAGTGAGGCTAAAAGCAGTTCTCTTAAAAATGATAAGAAAAATCCAAAAATAAATGACTCATACCAACCGAAAAAAGTGTAAATTATTCCAAATAATAATTTAATGTCAATTTATGTGTCCAACCTGTACTTAAATAAATAAATCATGTAGAGGCCAGCATATATATATAAATATTATGCTAGTATGCCACTCGGTAGATGTTTTTTACAGTATCTCAATAAAGGGGATTAATATATTATTAATAATGATTTTTATAATAAATCGAATTTTCTTTTGATAAATCTATAAAAAATAAAACGATATCGTTATTATTTTAGGTACCTACTCAACCCGTACAACCCGATTCTGAGAATATTGTCTATCGACTCTTTGTATCTGATAATTTTTATTGGAAAGGCATAAAATAGTTAGTATTCAGTTTATTGAAAATAGTTTTCTCGATAGTTTACTTATGTTCACCAAAGTGCATTACATAATCAATGATAATACAAATACATACAAATATTAGCATAAAATATAATTATCATTGTGTTGGTGATGTCATTGTGGTAATGGTCTGAGAATTTTAGGTTTGAATGTTGCTCAATCTGATCCCACATAATACAAAATAGGAAAGTCTCAACAGACGAGGAGGCGAGGCGCTCTAAAAATCGATACACCCGGGCGCCAAATAGTTCGACGCAGCTCCGGGCACGCCCATGTCTGCAGTATCCGCAGCATTTTTATTTATTTTCTCCCGACCATCTGCTGCGTTTTCCGTGACCGGTTTCAAACGATTTTCTTCGCGGATGTCTACGATCGGTGACGTGCCCGGGAATTTTCAACAGGAGGGTGGGTAGGGCATACGAATCGTGAATAAATCGTAAAAACGTCTTCACTACCCGACTCGACTACGGGAATTTAAAAACCGAATCCTAAAAAAAAAAACAATTTCTAATCACGAGTTTTTTTTTTTACTTCCTCAGGCGAATTATATACGCGTTTCGATAGTTTTATCATTTTTTTCATTAGATTCTAGTCAGTGGCTATGACAGCTCGACACTAAAGAATGAAACAAGAGCTGAAACTGGGGATGGGAGTGGCCACTGTTATAGGTGAGAAGTTGGGAAGGTAGGATGCATAAGGTTATATCATTTATACCTGTAAGCAACGATAAACCATTGCTTGACGAAAGACGATTCTAAACGCAGTTCGTTAATACATAATTTAAAGTGCCGTATTAATTTTTTTTTTTTTGAAATTTTCGTTTAAATTCGATTTTTAAACATTTATTAAAAAAAAATGTGTTGTCCAATGATTTTGGAAACTTCACCACGTCTAGGTAAGTCCAATATAGGTCTATAATCTAGTAGTAAAGTATAATCTAGATAACTTGAGCTTTCAGAAAAGATGCTACAGTTATACATCGGAGCAGGTTTACTAGGAAAAAACGTGTCCACAGACTAGAAAAAAAAAAATAAACAGCATTGCAAAACCAATAGCACCCTCGCTCGCTCGGAATCTAAAAACAAACACAAATAGGTAATATAAATTACAAAGCCGGCATCCAATACTAAAATTAAATATCTTAATATTATGACCGATTCGGATTTGTCGTCGTGTATAGCGAAGAGGTCGAGGGGGGGGGGACATTTTATGAAATTTCAAGATACAGGGGCGAAATTAAGCGCTCGAAAGGTCGCGTATTAGATTCGATGTTATACTCGTAGATTGCGCGTATATTTTTGCGTTTTCAAACCGACCGGTGGGAAAATAACCCCTAACCGCCCTAGCCGCTGTCCGGGACTCCTCCCGAGGACGCCACCGTCCGGGGTTCTCCTCGAGGACGTCGGCTGCTACTGCGGGGTAGGCATCTTCAGATAGTATTGCGTCATCGGGAGGCGTGCGACGCAGTCGGTTTGTGTTCACTACTATAATATTCATTTGGCCGGGACGGGACGTAATCCGGAAGGTTAACGAAGTGTATACGTTACACGACCCGAACACTGTAATAACGTACCTACATATAATGTTGTACACACGGTAAATAATAACGACGATAATGGTATAGGTATACACGCGTATTGCGGCGCGGGTGTATTATACGCGCGGAGTCCGCGGCGGCTTACGGATAATTTAATGGTACTGAAAAAAAAAAAAAAAAAAAATGAAATAAAAAATAACGTTGACAACCGTCCGCCGTCGCCACCAACTACGCTTTCTCGATTTCAAAGTACACGATGCTAGGTATTATTATTATTATTATTATTATTATTATTATTATTATTATTATTATTGTTACTGTAGATAACGATACCTACACTACCGTCGTCGCCGCCGCCGCATTGAGTGCTATGACACGTGTATGACGCGCTTATACGACAAAATCGATAGGTACCTAAACCTACCATATACCTGTGTAATAATAATAATATACGAAATACATTAGCGAACGACATAACACGATATTATTGTAGGTACACGAGGTACACACGTATACGTATACGTGTATACCGACGCAAACGAAATGAAAGGACATAGTGTGTGACTGTACTATGTTATATTTTTTTTTGTATTGTATACCTATATACGTCCTGACCTGTAACTGCTGCAGCACTACAACAGTACAACAATAATAATAATAATATACTTTTAGACGCGATTACGATAAACGATAATTAGATATCGGGCCGACATTATGTTATAATATAGTCTGTCGTTGAAAAATACGGGGAAAAAAAAAAATAAAAAAAAAAAATAACAATAATAATACCCGAGTATATCCGCCCCGATACGTTATTATTACACTCTGTGCATATTGTTGCATAATCAAAGAAAAAAATATTTTAATAATAATGTGCCGTCACAGTCGTCGTCGTCGTCGTATATTATTGTTATTTCGGTACCTATCTATACATAATATTATACGCATTGTGCTCAGAAAAAAATAAAAAAAAAATATTCACGGAACATCCGTCGGTTGCACGGAATATAATATTATTGTCTAGACGGGGACGGAGATTCGGAATATTTGGAAATTGTGTCATTGTATATGCTGTGCATACGCTGTGTCTAGGCTAAAAGGAAAAGTTCGATTTTTTTTTTCTTATTTAAACGCGTTTTTTCTTTAGAGTTAAATTATTCCAAGTATTTTTTCGAATTTCTACAATTCAATCTGCACTGAAATTATCATCGTCGAATTGGAGTATAACTATAGGTATTGGTGATTATATTATTAGTTCATTTAGGTATACTGACACTGGATACTAATATCTAAATTCCTTTACTGTTATAGCAGTTCGGACGAGTTTCGTTTTAAACGAGAAAATGTATGTACATTTAGATTAAGTCAGGGTCTCAAACTTGTTTTACGCGTACCACTCGTGCTTATTATACGGATCCATCAAGTACTACTTATGACTAAAAACCGAACTGTTCAAAATTTAAACGCAATTATCGCGAAATGATTAGACATTTAATCACTACAATAATTATATTATAATTATTATTTATAAAGTATTTTTTTTTTAAACATTTTTTTTTACGACAAAAATCAAAGAAATTTAAAACAGGTAGTCCATATATGTACTCATATAAATAACAGAAAGATACTAAACAAAAGTCAAGGAGAAAATATATCTCATCCATAATCTCTCCCCTTAAATACGCCGTTTACTCATTACTATTGGGAACTGTGATCAAGTAGTTCTCTACACTTGTGGTACCTACCGTGAAAGCACTGATGTCTATTCCTAGGTCCGTTTAAGTAGGTTTATACGACAGCCATTTCAATACTTGTAGATTCGTTCTAGTCCCTTCTTCACGGGGGAAAAATGATTATTAAAATACGGTCAATATTTATATGTATATAATATATACCAAATTTAAAAAAAAACCTATTGAATTATAATTAAAAAATTACTATTTGTGTGCATTTAAGTATATAATATTCATAATAATTGACCGTTCATATAATTTTATACAGCTCAATATCGAATCTTAGGTTAGGAAAAAAAAATATTTCTAGTAGTTTAAATTGTAATTTATAATTTATTGTAAAGACGCAAGTAAATTTTTGCACGGGAAAAACATTTTGGTAGTGAAATGAATACGTGAGAAAATCCACGTACTCGTGGAATTCCAAAAAAAAACACTACTGTCGGTTTACAAATATCTATAGCTGAAAAAAGTTATAAGGATGAATGGTATCATAAAGTTGAATGATTAGACAAGATGTCGATTTTTAATTTTTGTAGTTGTCATAGGTTATTGGACATTCGCAAATAAACAATCTTACGATTTACACGGGCACGTATACAGTAGCGAGGGGGGGGGGGAGTTTAGAGTTATCCCTCCCTCCCTAAAAAAAAATTCGAAAACCGTATCATATACCAGTTCTAAGGTTCAAAATGTTTAATTTACTTACGAACCTCTCCCGAAATTTCATTTCTATGCTAGGATTTACTGTTTTCGGTAAAAAAGCGAAACCACTCAGTTAACAAAATTAGAATTAAAAAAAAAAAAAAAAACTTACCCGGGTTTCGGTGTTCCGTGTTTTTTTTTGCGTAAAAAATGTCAAACAATTATTGCCTATATTATAAGTTTCCGTATTGTAAAACAATTTTTTAGAAAATAGATTTATTAATAAAATACAATACGAAACGCGTTCACGGCGTATCGAAGAGGCAATTTATTTTGTTTATGTGCGTTTATAACGAAAATATATACGTATACTTTTGTTAAGGAGATGAAACTTGTACCATCGCTCGTATATTATTGTAATAAATGTAATATAGTAATACTCCGTCCGTTATTTATGTCAGTATGATTTAGTTTGCGAACGTGACATATATCCGACCGTGGGACTGGCCGCTCTGAATTTAGGAGGACCCATAGGAGTGTATTTTTTCGGCGTTTTAAATGACAGGTGAGCTGAAGCGTCGGCCGAAAATCAGTATTTCTATGCGTTATTATCGCATTATTTTTTTTATTTATTATTTTATCTCAATAAAACCGAATTATCGTTATTATTATTTTTTTTATTTTTTTTTAGAATAGGGAGACGAAAGTCGTATTTTTTGTGTTTGGCCACGCTGATCGTCGGCAGTCTGTTGACTGCGAGCGCCATGAATTTCTGGTGGTGGGCCGTTTCAAGAGTAATTGTCGGTTTGACCATACCGGCCGTTTACCAAATTCCATTTATTATATGTAAGGAAAAAAAATATACATAATATTAAATATAACTTAGCTTTAAAAAAACCTAAGAACATAATATCCGCCATACATATTTATTTAAACATATTGTAATGTAATAACCACCGGTTCCGGCCCGTGATTTCAGTATATCTACCTAATACTTATTAGACATAAATTAACAAATTAACATGCACGGTGTATGAAATCAATAAAATTAAGTCATAGTAGTAACTGACAATAAATGCGAAACACAAACAAAACAATTCGCCATAATTCTCTAACGTTACAAGACATACCAAACATCAACCTGCAATACTGCAAAGACGCCTATATATAACAGCGATAACTGCGGTGTCGCAATCTGTCGACAATTAATGAAAATATTTTCGAAAAGAAAATATGTTTTTTATATTATCTTTCGCGGCTTTCATCGATTATTGTGCTTGTTGCGTTTAAGAAATGCAGATTGTATAAATCTCTTTTTTTTTTTGTAATAAAAAATAATGAATATGTATACCTATTGAAAATTGTATTCGCCAAATAACTTTGTATATTCTTTGAATTCGATTGTTATTGTTTGTTTTTTCATTTTGTAAAGAAACGTATATTACCGTAATAGTTGCATCGATCCGCTATAGGAGGATAAAAAAAATATGTTTTATTAAATATAACCGAGTCGATGATGATGATAAATGATACCTCCAAAAACGATTGTATTCAATCGTTGTAAAAGCGTTGTTCAAAGCGTGTATTTCGGTCGGAGAGATACGAGATACGGGACAGGCGGACAGACAGAAGATAGACACATTGACATGACGGGCGTATATAAAATTAGAACTCTATACTTAAAAACTTAAAACGATTATAGTCTAGAGTTTGTACATAAAGTATAATATGACGTTAAGTTATTATATACGCACTATACAGAATGCAATCTATTAAACGTATAGAAAACGGTTTCGAGGACGAAATCCTATACGGCTAAAATCATAAGGGGCGGTGAGGGGGCTAAGTGATTAAATTATTGTTTTCAGATTGCTAAAGTTTCATATCGAGTATATGATCGCAATAATTATTTGTTTGCTGACTTTGAATTAGTTTTGCGCAAAACGCTGACTAGTCGTCTTGTGTTATATTAATATTAAAAATGAGTGCCACTCAGAACACTTCAAAACACCACTCCCCTATCCCGTTCTCGGAATTGTTTTGACAAAAATTATAAACGAAATTTCAGATATATGCATTTGATGAACGATAATAATGCGTTTTCAACTTGATTCTTAACGTAGTTGCTATACTAATTTTCGTGTTTCTAGATTTTGTTCATAAACATAATATGATGTTAATAATATTACTTATCTTCTTCTTTTTAGAACTGCCTAGGACCGACGACCGTCCCGTTAAAAACTCTGAACTATCCCGATCAGCTGCTTGTATAATTTCCAGTCCAAACCTCCATTTAGAGATTCTCCTCACATGCACACCTGTCCGTCTCAAACGAGGCATTCCAAGAAGTTATTTTTTCTTCCTGGTTCTTTTCCATTACCACGCGTATACAAGTGGATTTTGACTTTACCAAACTTCATGAAATGTATTTCATGATAATAATAATTTGTACTGTGTAGTATATTAAATGAATGTACGTTCATAATAATATGTACCTGTCAGTTGCAGATCCAGGGGGGGGCGATCGCCTCTATAACCCCCCTTCCATGTTCACTCACCAATATACTCTTACCTCGATTTATCATTGAACCCAGCATATACCTTAAATTCATTTTCAATTCTCCCATTCTCCGTTATCTAGTCCTTCATCCGCCCCCGGTACCTATATCAGTATAACAGTTTATAGTATTCACATTCTGCAGTCTACAATTTTACCAAACCGTACAAAGTGTCGGGCGGTCCGCATTTTAAACACGGACCGCACAAAACGACCGTTTACCAATACCTACATACACATAATAATAATTTCGATATTTGCTCGTATAACACCGTTTTTATACGTTTTGTCGTTTAGCTCTAGAACTCGTCGGACCCAATTACAGGTCGTTCATTACGGTGATGACGTGTATGTTTTATACGCTCGGCCTGGTATTGTTGTCCGGTGTTACGTACTACGTTCGCAACTGGGTGTACTTGGCCGTCGTGACGTCAACTCCGTTTGCGGCGTATTTCGTTTACTGGTGGCAAGTCAGCGAAATTATTCGAGATTACGACGGAACTGCCACGCGTGGAAACCGTTTAGATATTGTTATTATTATTTATTACATAAATTATAGCAACATTGAATTAGAGACCGGTAGAAAAAAAAATGAATATATAATCGTTTTATCAATAGACAGCGCGTTTTCGGCTGTCCGATTTCTCGCACATGCATCGGCATCGTAGGAGTAAACGGTTTCTGCCGTGTGTGGGTGCGCGTCATTATTGTGGTATAGTATTATTATAATATCATGTATTATGATGTCGGAATTGCATGCCTTAGGTTCCTACCGGAATCGCCCAGATGGCTGCTGGCCAAAGGCCGACTGGAAGAGGCGTTGAAAATATTGGAAACTCTGGCCCGGGTCAACGGGACCGTGCTGCCGGAAACGTTCAAACAGAAACTCAAGGTATAGACCACCAGTTTCGTTTTCCATGATGTAGCAAACATCAGTATCACGTTGCAAAATAGTTGTCTTATTCGCTTTACAAACTTTATTATCATTCGCATAGGTATACTTAATATCATAAACATTATCTTCTCGTTCTTCACCTCTTATCCCGACACCCATAAAGCCACTCGAATATAGCCTCAAACGTGTCTCTTCACATCGCATATGTCCAAAACCATCTCTCGGTCAATTCTCCCTCAGATCCTTTGTGTCCTTGTAGTGTCGGTTTTTCTTGTCGGATAGTGACAATACCCCTAAATTGCGACGTTCGTTTTAACACGGTCTCTACCTGCAGCAAAAAATGATGATGCAGAGAACTTTGAGCGAAGAAAAACGTCTAAAAGAAGGACCGGGAGTGCTGGCCCTTTGTCGAACACCAAACATGCGATTGAAAACAATACTGATAACGTTCAACTGGTCCGTTATTTAGACGTCTGTGATGTGACTCGCGAATGGCTAATTTGTATTCGATTTTTTTTTTTTTTTTGCAGGTTCGCTAACGATATGGTATATATCGGACTGAGCTACTACGGCCCGTCGTTGGGGCAAAATCAATATTTGAGCTTTTTACTATCGTCCGTCGTTGAAGTACCTAGTTGTCTAGTCTGCTGGTTGCTGATGGACCGGTGGGGCCGCCGGTGGCCGCTGTGTCTGGCGATGACGTTAAGCGGTATAAGTTGCATTATCACCGTCACATTGCCATCCGGTAAAAAATACAAACCAATAACGTGTTAAGTACAATATTGTAGGTGATTATTAAAATATACGATTTTATTATGTCGTTTGTCATCGGTAATCACTCGATCAGAATAATACCAAATACGATAAGACAACGATGTTTTTGTAATTATTTAACTGTTTTGTTTTTTCAATACTGTGTAAACTTAATTTAAATAAAAAAAAAAAAGAAAGAAGACCTCCTAGAATAATGGAGACGGGTGCAGCCACAGTTATAGGTAATTTAATGTATCTCTGTAAGTAATGATAAACCATTGTTAACGAAAAAACGATTCTGAGCGCAGTTCAGTTGATAGTGATGCTTTGTCAACAATATATATGTCATATTATGGTAAAATAATTAAATAGGCATTATATATTTTCTTTAATGATATTTGTTTAATATTGTACCGATTTTCCCATGTTTGTCTCGATTTTTCCCATTTATTGGGAAAACTCCTGGGAAAATCGAAAAATTACCTACGTAAGTACGAAAGTACTTTCCCCGTCAGATTTTCTTTCAGAAAAGTTGCAATCATGTTAAGTCGGAGTGAAATTGCTGGTAGAAAAGATATATTCAGAAAAAAATGGCCACAGTATTTTTTTTACTAATACCTTCTTTTCGTACGTTTTCCGCTTTTCCAACATTTTATCCCGGTTTTCTCTGATATAAAGAAAACCGCTCAAATCAAAAAACGACTTTTCTAAATTACTATGGAGATAAAATTTCTTTTCAGGAAATTAGCTACATTTAATCAAGATTTCTGGTAGAAAAGTTTGCACAACATATCGAGGGGTATTTTGCGATTAAAATTGTCCGAGGGAGCTATACTTTGGGTCTCTAGATACATCCAAAACGCATTTGTATTTTCTTTGTTAAGGTAAAATGGAAAAAAAATGGAAAAAGTTATTTTCGTCACGCTGGTTTGAACACGAAAATCCTAGGATGTTAAGCATAAATAACCACTAAATCACGACAAATATATCTTAAATTGATAACATAGAGTTATTTAACATAACATACAATATTCGCATAATATCAGAATTTCAAAAAGCTATAGTTTTGAAACTTAGTCAGTCCGCTTGATTCTGACTTCACCATGGTTCTTAATCGGCAATATACATACGTTAGATAAAAAAAAAAAAAAATAAACATCTTAGTAAAACCAATACATTTTTTGCTACACTCAGAATCTAAAATTGAGTTTCAGTTTTTTATAATGTCAATAACATTGCGGCACACAACGCCGAGTTTAGCAACTATAGTTAGTAACATTTTCGTAACCAGAGTGCGCTGTATATTACGGTCGGTCATTTTTTAACAATAAAAAAAGAAAGCGTGTAACGAGACGTTAGACAATAACAAATAAATAAAAATAAAAAAATAAAAAATTACTTTGGGGCGAGTCCCAGATTAGTATATCAATCTGCAGATTTCAAAAATGCAAACTATCCGATATAATAATATACATTAATAATTTATTAATTATAATAATAATTTAGGCCAGTCATGTGGAGAGAAGAATCTGAAGCAATAATTTTAATGTATACGGAGAAGAAAATCAAAAAAGAGGTAATTGAATGCAATTCAGAATGATAATATGAAGACAGTCGGTGTATGCGAGGTGGGAGATCGAGATTAGCCCGAAGAATAGTGTTGTAACACTATATTGTTTTAATGTAAAACTTGGGCTTGTTGCGCCCGTTTCAATGAAATTATAATGTTTTATTATTTTGTACATGTACCTATAGCTGAATCGATCGTATTAACGTGTTACAGATGCCGTTATCACTACATTGATTTTGTTTCTGTTTTCGAAATTCTCGATATCGGCTTCGTTTCTAATAATCTATCCGTTCGCCGGCGAGCTTTATCCGACTCCGCTGCGCGGTATCGGCATCGGCACTTCTGCGTACATCGCCGGTCTTGGATTGGTCCTTATACCGTTCATTAACTATTTGGTAAGTGTATAACAGTGCGATCGTATTCAGAATCGTGTGTAAATACGATTTATAATCAATGTGACACAATTTATCAAATCTCCGTGATAGCACAACAGATAGTTTCGGATTTGATTTCAACCAGCTGTATTGAATTTGAATTTGAACATATAAAGATCACTCAATTAACTACTTACATTTCTATATGTTGTTGATATATTTCTACCTGATTCTGTTGAACAATCGACCAACACTTACTGATTCACATACTGCTCACTCAGTTCATCATACCACGACCGAATTGAAAAAATGATTCAAGTTGCTTGCTTTACATTCAAATAACACCTATACCGTCTCATTCGAGTATATTTTATGATTTATTGTCATTTAACGTGTTATTAAAATTCTAAAATCACTCTGAAGAGTACTCATTGCTTACTATATTTACTCATTTTAAAATTTATTTCAATATTTTTCGAGGTAGACAATTTTGTATCCGTTCGAAAATCACATTTTGAAATACGTACAAAAATACTAAGTGCGTATTTATATCGGGTGTAAATATTATTTTTACTAAACGATATTATAATACGACGGCGTCTCGTCGACCATCATAGAGACAATCTGATTATAATTGACGTTAAAAAAATCAACCAAGAATACAAAAATACCACGTTTCAAACAGTAAGGCTAGTAAGATTGCGCAATAATGGAGATCCGGAGGTTGCGCCCATATAGCGCCGCGAGCAAACTTGTAATAAGGGTCTAAGACAATTTGGAGACCGTTTTTATCATCATTTTTAAAAGCAGTTTACATTACATATTTATATACAATATATAATGTGTGATACATATATTCGAAAAACTTCACACTTTTTGTACATTTATTTGTCCGTATAATAAAACAATATCGACGTAAAAATAACAGTGATATAAAAAAAAACAGAAACAACAGAATTGAAAATAACAAGACATCATACTGTCAGTGAATACATTTTATATTGATTCAACTTTTAGAAACATTCAATGTTTTACTCAATAAAATTCCCGATGATTATTATTCGCTGTTTAATACGATTGTATTAAAATAACGAATACAACAGTTTAATTTCAAACTTCGCCCTTCGGTACGACTTCCGAGTTGATAATAATTTGTGTCGTGTCGATTCGTTCTCAGCCTACAATTGACTGTTGTTAGGAAACCATAATATTAAAATATAATTATCAATTGAACATCGTTGTGTGTACCTACATTTTGATATAACTGTGAAATACGTTTTCCTCCATTTTTTTTAAAAAAAAATTTAGCAATAACGTTATAATATTGTTTTTATTGTCGTCGGCATAAAAAACTCGGTCGAAATTGAATTACAGAAAACGGATCGACTAATTTAAATCGTATAGATATCAAATTTGTCGGTCCGTTTTCTCATATATTGGTATCCGGTTTTTAATGTATAAAAAGTTTAAACAATAGAACGTTATTCGATATGCATAATATAGATATCGTGTTTATAGTAATAATAATAATAATAATAATAATAACAATAATAATATGTAACATAATATTATACAATTCGTATTTCCCGAGCTACTGCAGCACACTGTCTTATACCGTCGGTATCGGTGGTGTGTAATATGCATGCCGAAATAACAACCGGTGAATTTTCAAAAATAATATTTAGACATAACAAATAAGCAAGCATAATATTATACTCATGTACATATAGGTGAATAATCGACGAATATTAATGAAACATTGGTCGTTTTTTTTTTTTTTTTTTTTTTTTTAAAAATTGGTTTTTTTCGTTTAAAAAAAAAAAAAAAAAAAAAAAAACAACTAGAGCATAAAATAATGACGCGAGGTCAAAAACCCAAGCTGAAATAAAACACTGTCCGTAAAAAAATAAACAATGTTATACGATATAATATTTATACTATTTACGCGTAGTACGTATCTAACAAAATTATATTAATATCATTCATTTGGATTATTTCATTCACTAAAATTTAAATACGCAACGTTAAAGAAAAATGAAAAATACACACGATTGCAGTACTTATATTTAAACGTTTATTTTTTTCAGCTTTTTAATATAAATAAATTTACCGTCTAAAAAATAATTTAAAACAAAAAGAAAATTTGAAATCCCCCTCCTTCCAAAAAAGCACAAAAGTCAAAAACGAAATATTTTAAACATTTAATAACCGATTAACGTAGGTCGTGTTGAATAAACGAATTAAGTGTGCATTATTAAATAAAATTATATAATATGATGGTTAATTTTCGCAATCACTTTATACTAAAAATGTGCAACAAAATCAATTTTATGTATTCGAACGCTTCAGTACGTTAAAACACACTCGTTTTAATTATAATGTTTATAATAATAACTAATAGCGGCGTGGTGAACGTTTTTTTACCTATGAGACAAATGTGCCTAATACAACAAGGACACCCACTATACCTATCAAGCAAAAATGGATCATTCTTTGTTTTTAAACATTTATCCTGTCCGCGTGAGCTCATAATAAGCGTATGGCACCCCGTATAATGTTACCCCTCGTATAATGTTCACCCCTTAATCCTTCAATCCAACCCACGATGTGGCTTGACAGAGCCTCTAAAATTGATGGGCACTCATCAAAGTTTTTTTCAATATTTAAGTAATAATTAAATAATTACTATAAAGAAAAAAGTTAATAAAGACAAATTAGGTGTGCTATTTAAACATTAAATTTTTGTTACAACAAAGTTAATGTTTGAGAAAACTTATCAATAATTTCTTATTGATTTATCGGTATAACATATTATAATAAATATCTTATAATCAGTCTAATAAATCAATTTCATCATATGTTAATTTCATAGAACTAATGTGATGCAATTAATAGTAGTATTTCATGAAAAATAAAATTATGACCATAATTTAGTACCAATAACCAATGTTACAGCAATGTCAACAAACCTAGTATTTAAGTATTGAAATGTAAGCCAAAAATACTAATATAAGCAAACGAAGTGAATAGAAATTTTTCAGAAAAATTGGTCAGATATAAATGTTTACATTCCTATTGAAAAACTGAAATTATGCCCCTGTATTTTCGTTACCGCATACCTTTACCTAACCTGTCTTATATTATTATAAGGCGAATCGTATTAGGAGGGCTTTAGTTTTATGAAGGTAATATAAAGTAATATAAAATCAAATATGTGTTATAAGTTATAAAATATGTATATTTAATATACGGGCTATCCCGCACGGTTTTGGTCGTGTCAGAATGGAATGAAAAAAGATACGGACATACTTCGCACAATGGGTGGGCCACGGTTATAGGTCAGAAGTTGGGAAGGTAGAATATATAGGGAAATTTAATGTATATCTGTACCCGACGATTAATTTTCGCAAATGAAAAACAATTTTGAGTGAATTCGGTGATACGTGTTTTTAAAGACTGTAAAAATTTACTATTTTAAAATAATTCATGTCGTACATTTTACCGTTTTCCTACGTTTTTCCCGGTTCTTCCCACGTTTTTCCCGTTTATTATGAAAACAGCCGGGAAATAATCTGCTTAAAGTACCACTCCAGTCAGATTTCCTTTCAGGAAAAGTGCTATACTTGAAAATCGGACCAAAATTGCTGGTCGAAAAATTGTTCACTGATAAAAGACAAAAAATAAACAACATTGTAAAACCAATACATTCCTCGATCCGCTCAGAATCTAATAATAAAAACCTGTTACCTGCAGAGACTACTCGTTTCTACTACAGTTCTTATCACTATCGACTGTTTTTGCTCGTTAATTTATTTGTTAAATTGGTGTACTATTTATCGGAAAATATAGTACCCACAGGAAATGTCGTGATTAAAACAAATACTATCAACATAAAACCAAATAAAAACTAAAAAATCTCGAAAATGAGGTAGCTATAAATAACTCAAGAAATGTCTGAATTTTCGGTTAAACGTGTTCATACGACGTTAAGCATAATATTCGCGAAATTTCCATTTATATGCAATCGATGTATCAAAAACTTTAATAGAATAATATAATTATTATGGTTTATTAACATGAAAATTATTTTTAATTTTACGAAACCTTCGACTACAGGGCAACGCAATTATTATTACACGTATTTAATTATTGAAGTTGTGTTAAATCGTAATTCCGATTTTTTGATGCAATATTAGTTACATTTTTTTTTTACAGGGGGTATCAGTTAAAGACGAATTATATTTTTATGGGTGCCCGGAACCCGTGCCCCTCTCCCCGTAGTTACGTGCCTGCTACGTTCAGAATCTAAAAAAAAAAAAAAAAAAACCTCGAAGAACGAAAAACTGGTATTTCAGAGGTTAATGCTAGATAACATAAATACGATTATCTACACGCCTGCGCGACTTAATCAAGTTCGGAGTACGTACAAGTGACATTTAGGTTTTGCATTCACTGGATTATCGTTATATAAACTTTTATTTATTCATTAAAATTATTACGTACATGTATTATGTATCAAAACATAATTTAGTTAACATTTCGTGAGAGATTTGTATTTTATTTTTCCATGCGCCGACGTGCAGGGACGAGAGAACTTAGTAATGCCGTTGTTGATAATGGGTATACTGTCGGTGATCGGCGGGATTACCGGTCTCCGATTGCCCGAAACGTTGCATTACAAATTACCTCAGACCGTGGAAGAGGGAGAAGAATTCGGGAAAAATTGGACCATGGCAGACTGTATTAATTGTGTTCCCAAAAGGTAATATATTACATTTGTATACGTCTGAAAAATAATATAAATTGTTTTTCACGTTTTCGGCCAGACTTTAGACTGTTCATTTAAAATACAAACTCATTCATGAACTAATTCATAAGCATAAAACTACATAATTAGTTAATTCTTTTCTAAATCAACTTGCTCCGTTAATGTTCAACATAAGTTCATTTAAGGTTCATTTTGCTATTGATTTTTATTAACTTGACGTAGTCTCAGAGATTATATTGAAAAACATACAAGGGCAGACTGTATAAAATATGTGCTGTACTATTTAAATAATCCTAAGAAGTCGTCATAGTGTAATTTATCATTTCTGTCTTTCTATTAATGATTAATAAAACAGCATTGAAGTTACCTACTTAGAATTTTAATTGTGGCGATGAACACGTCAATTTTTCGCGCGGCCAATTTTTCGAATACGACAAATTTTCAACTAGTTTTGCATCTAGTCATTTTAAATTGTACACGAGCCGTTAATCATTAAAAAAAAAAAAAAAAAAATGGGTATAATAAATTATATGTCAAAATTATTTTGATAGTGATTCAATATTTTGCGCAAAAATTAACATGGATCCGGTTAGGTTGATAACAAAATTGCTTATAATAATTTCTTATATTCTTAATGTAAAATTTGGAATCGGAGCTAAAATAAACCACCCAATTAAAGTTCAAGTTCATTAAAAATATGAATTTAATTCAAAAATAGTCGATTATAATAAAATATGAGTTTTTAATCTCACGCTCGGTTCATAAGTTCACGTATGTATGTATATGTTGAACTTTGAACGGATGAATGAGTTCATATTCGACACATTATATTATAATAATCTAGGTACATCAGTAGGTAGTGAGTTTCTTTTGAATAAGATATCGCTTAATATATATATATGCAGGGAGACCTTGAATAAAGAACAATCGCTATTTTTATGGAGGAGGGAAGTATTATGGTAAAACATTATTCACAATTCGGAATAGTTTTTCATTTTCAACCCGTTCAGTGTCATGCCATGATTTGCATTTTATTTTCAGATGACGACCGTATTTTTTTCTACATATTCGATTGAATCTTTTTTTTTTAAACTCCAGATTTACTGAGTTTGAAAAATTTAAATTTTCATTTTTCTCGTAAAGTTTAACTCGCTGATCTATAGGTACTACTCGTAAGTCGAATTTTCACCGATTTGAACGATTTTTTATTTTAGTTTAAATACCTATACTTAAACAATACAATCTATGACAGTGGCACGTACAGAAAGAGGGTAAGGGGTTAAACCTCTTCAAAATTTCTTTCACTGCATTTTTTTAAATCAAATTTTACATTCAACAACATTTAATCGTATGTTACAGAATAAAAAAAAAATTAATTTCATCAAAAATCATTTGTTTAGTAATAAGAGTGACAGTACTGTACTAAAAATATGTGTATCCTCTCTTTAGGAAATTATTATAAACAACCCCCTCTCCAAAAAACAAAAAAAATCCTGCCTGGGTTAGGAATCTATTTACCTATTCTTTTTTTTCTCGTGTCAGTCAGTGTTTTTTTTTTTTTTTTAATTGCAATCCTTTCTTTTCCCAGTATTCAATGATTCATATTATTTCGTCCGTGATTGCTGTTAGTCCAATGAAATCTCTCATTTCACATCTATTAGGTATCAATGTACACTCGAACAGATGGTTTGATGTTTGTTTCTCTCCTTATTCGCAATTTTCATAATTGGTCATTGCCCACCTATTTAGGTTTTCTTTAAATCTTCCTCTCTATGTTTTCAGACGGTTGAGAGTTTTCCACATTTTCTAGGGTAGGTTATATCCCGATGGTAAGGTATCGATAGGTACGCCTCAACTTGTGAGCGTGTTCCCTTATGGTCGCTTCTTCCATGCTTCAATCCGGTTCACCATTAGGTTTTACCTTAGTGGTGAGTGGTAATGTCGTTTTTATAAAGTACTTAGATTTTAACCTGTTATCGGTTGGAGTCATTCCATACATTCCATACATGTCGTCATTTATCTGGTTGCCCCTTTTTATTTAAGCTGCTTTTTCTCGTCTTATTTCGGATGGCGCTATTCCGCTTTTTTTCAATAGGAGTTAGTTTTAAGCATTCCGTTATTAGTCTTACCGTATAATTTAATGCTACATATACTTTCTTCGCATGGGATGACTGTCGCCACACTGGGCACACGTACTCTCCAACTGAGTAGCATAGTGCGAGACCAGATGTTCTTCTTATTATTTTTGGGTCAGCACCTCATATTGTTCCTACTAGTTTTTGTACTAGGTTATTTCTCGCAGCGATTTTTTTGTTTAAACTTTCACGACGTCTTTTATATGTCAATGATCTATCCAATTTTAGTCCTAGATATGTGGGATTATCTATATGCTCTAGAGTGGCTCCTTGCCATTTAATATTTATTCTATGACCTATGATATAGGTAGTTGAACCTAGAGGGTTAAAATGTATATTATAATCAAACTGGAGATAAAATGAAAATCATACGGATCAATGAAAAAAGTCGATTCCAAATACCTAACTCTAATTTGATAAATTTTGAGTTTTTTAAACACCCGGTAATTGGAATTTATATAGAATAATTTAGAGATTTTTTTCTTGTTTATATATATATATAATATTATTTTGTATAATAACAAAAAATTATCCGGTCGTTATAAGGTTCGTAAATATATATTTACAGGCCACCAGAACATTCAAATTCGTACGAGGACCTGGCTGAAAAAATGGAATTGTCCCCGACAACGGAAACTACAGCGTTAGCCACTGGTAGTGCTGGGGGAAGATCGAAATTCAGCAGACAGCAGAGCATCATGGAAACGCCACTAGATTCGTCGGGTGTAGTAAAAATGACTTGCTGGTTTTAGCGTACTTATACTGAACTTAATTGTTTTGTATCATATTGAGGCTTTTGGGCCATAATTATAATTATAATAATATATAGATTTTATTATTCCAATTTAATCGGATTGTGTTTGTATTTTATATTACAATAAGTGTATAATCATGAAATATAATAATTATTGTTTGGAGAGTACAGCCGTGAAAGCCTATTAACTTTGTAACCTTTGTATACTTTAACCTACGAAAAGTTTATCCACATTTTCAGAGGTCTAATAATCTAGAACAGAGTGCGAGAGGGCTGATATTAGTTTTTGATACCTCGCTAATTTAGCAATGAGATTAAGCGTTTTAGTTTCTCAAAACGTATTCGGGTAGTGGTAAACATATAAAGAATGTTTTAAAAATGTAGTAATTCGTTTATCATTCGGATGTCATTATTTTGCATACGGTATAATAGGTATTGGGTTGTTTAAAAAAAATATATACATCGATGTCAATTGTTTTTAAAATGTGTATAACGATTACGACACGTCCGCTTTTAACAAAAACACCCGTTGAGCAGCTAATCTTGGTCACTAGACCACTAGATCACTTCCTTCCCTTCCCCAGCCGATTTGTTGCCGTTGTAATATTTTATTTTATATTTTAAATCAATTTAAAACAGTACTGATTACCAAAGTTGCTCACTGGTGTTAATAATATTATATTATAATTTTAATTAATCAATTATTTGTGTTCAGTATAGACACCCGTTAACCACGTCTATCCATTAATATGCCCTATTTCACAGTTTACTACCCCTACTTTTTTCAGTTATAAAAATTAGGTATTCTATGACCTTTATTATTGAGCTCATTTGGTCCATTTGGTTCTCCAAAAGTATCAAAATGTACCGGACAAAAGATATTTATATACACACGAGTACCTAAATAACAAACACAGTTCAGTGCAGTTGTCAATTATTATTGGGAAAAAATCGACAAAAATTGTTATGCTCTTTTATCGATATATCTGGATTTTCATGTTTATAATTATATATGTAAAATTGTAAACTTGCAACTAAAATTTCCATTAAAATGTTTCCTATTTCGTGTGTTCTGGTATATAAACAATCAGATTAATAATTCCGATTATACACAATATAATATAACATATAATATATAGTTATACACATTATGATAAAATATTATGTATTTGATCAAGTCAAATGTGAGAGAAAATAATATTTTATATTCGTGTAAATACCGTTTTTTAATATACCTATATGGTAGTTTTCATTATACATTTAGGTACGTATTAGTTATTATAATTTTTTTTAACATATAGTTAGCATAACATTCTACATCTGTATAATTGTAAAATGTATGATTTGGTGTACAAAATTATAATACTACCGTCGTGTTTAATTAGCATACATTTATATTTGAAAGCAGAGTTATTCATACGGAGAAAACGGTGGAAATTAAAAGAAAATATACAATACTGTCAATACTGTAGAAGCAATTAAACATTGCACGGAGCTTTGTCTGTATTATACAATGGAAATTATATAGTTATTTGCTACTCTGTCGGTAACGCTGGATTACTTCCACGCGTACATTTTCTGTTCTAAAAGGATGAAAAACCTATTTGAGAACTATTTTGAAATAGGAAAAGTTGATCGGCTACTACACATAGAGACGGATTAGAATATAACAGTGTAGGAAGAGAAATATTGACAGCTTTTATAAAAAAAAAATCATTTATAAAAATTAACGTTTCAAATATGGATACAATACTAATAATAATAAAGGAGTAGGTATAATACCTAATATATAAGTATCTCATTAAGTTTTTATGGTAAATGAATATATAAATATAAATTTATCAATAAATATTATTCATTTTATTTCATTAATATTATACATCCGGTCATATAATAAACAGGAAAATTATATCCTTATGGAAATAATAAAACAATTTACAGGTCCCGCCCCATTTTAGAAATCCTGGTTATGCTATTCACTAATGATATTGTACCTACTGGCAATAAGTTTTAGTTTTCCGTTATTTTTTATTGATATTGTTGTTTTTCCCTATAACTAAAATATCCAGTATTTACCCAGGATATTAATGAAATTAATATTGATTAAAGAATAAATAGATGTTTTATTTGAAATGTTAAAATCACATGTAACTTTAAGTTTCACACAATATGTCTGGAGACCAATCCTAGAGGGCTAGAGCCATAATATAGTTAAAAGTTATTAATTACTGTTGGCTATCATATTTAAAAATATATGTTTTGTAGTTGTAGGTAGTACGAGTAAGAATGACGTCATTTAAAACGTAATAATAACAATAATACCTTACTATATCCGGTTCGAGTTTAAGCTTGCTAAAAGAGCGAATGGAAAAAAAAGCGAATGAAAACAAAGCAAGTGGTAAAAAAACAATACATTTATTTTACACATTTAAATATAAAAAAAAATATTATTTGTTAGTACTAATAGTATAGCATGTTATTTATTGTAAAATTTAAAAAATCATAGGTTATTGTTGTCTATTTTATAATCGATTACCTATTTAAGAACTCACGACACTTGTAGTATAAATGATATTTAACAATATATTAGTAGGTAGTATTGAGATACTTGAAAAAATAGAGGGTCTGATATCTGAAATAACTTGTCATATTCAATATTTTACATTTTTTAATAATATTATATTATGCATATGCTCTAAAGTTAATATTATTATTATTTTTTTTTTAATTACAATAATATTATTCTCGGTTTTTTTTCCATATTTGAATCGTCAAAAATTAGGAAATATGCAAAGTAATATCAATACACCTACTTGATTATTTTATGAAAAACAAATAAATCGTAAACATTTATTGAGTCCGACGTCTTATCAGTATGAATTAAATTTAATAATTAAAATTTCACAGACACACATATCCCCTTCTATTTTCCGTTGATTTATCAAATAGACATTTTGTGCTCATCGGCTTCAGTTCTGATGACAATATAATGTTGAAGAAAAGCAAATATAAAACGAGAATAATTATTTTTTAAACTGAAAACAATTTTAAAACAAATGTATTCTTCAATATTATATTTTTATTGTTATAAATAAAATTCTGATTACAACATTATAACTGATGAAAGCAATATGATATATCTATACCTACTATTTTTTTTTCTTATAGTAATATTATAAATCGAATGCAATATGATTATATTATTGATCAGAGTCGATTACGAAAAGGAAAAATGTATATTGTATTAATTTATTGAAGAGTAAACCTCAAACATCTATGTGTCTTAAATGGGGCATTTGATATTTTTCGTACGGTTTATAAGGAAATTAAAATCAAATTATAAATGTACAAAAATTAAATTAAAATTTTTAAAATAAAATACTAAAAGTTTAAAATAAGGAATTATTTTAAATTATAAGAAAAAATCGAACTTGTAATTACAATAACTGAAATAAATAAAATTATACTTATTATTATATTATAATTTTAATAGTATATTATGGTAATAAAAGACAATAATAATAAGCGATAATACATTATCTATTATGATTAAATTTGTTTTATTTTTTTTACTATTTGATTGTGTGAGACTTTACCTGTGTGACTATGTGAGAGTTTACCCGTGATTTTTTATTAAAATGTTTAGAGTATACCCTATGGGAACACCACTGAACTTGTATCTTTCTACCAAACAAAAATTAGGTACATCCTAGTGACTTATGGTTGATAATGTTAAGATATTTGAATTTTCAATATAATATATATTAGAATATAGTATTAAAATAAATTCATACACATATGAAATTTACTCCAATAAATAATGAGGATACTATACATAATAGTAGTAATATTATTACATCAAACAAAATTATAAAAAAAGCACTGGATTAAGCTTTTTGTTCTTGAGACCAAAGACATTGATTACTGGTTGAATCAATAGCATAATAGTACTATAATGAACAATATTTGATTTTTATTCAATTCAATTGAAATATTAATTTTCGATTTTCAAATGGCGATTTATTATTGTAATCATTTTTGACTATGTAAAGAACATTATTTGTCAAAATTATCTCATCAAAATTTTGATATTAAATATCGAATCGAAATTATATATTTTCATTCAAATTTAAAATGAGCTTTTAATAGACGTGTGCTATGTTTACGTGTACCTATTAAATAAAATAAGACCAAATTTCCGTACTGAGAAGTATTGTAAATTGTTCCATAAGTATTTCTAAACAAAGATTGGGTATTAAGAGACCGTGATCATGATGTATTATTTCCATGGACGTACCATCTGGGGGGGGGGGGTTCATGAAGTGTAAAATTTCGTTTTAAATTTTTAAGGGATGAATTCATCCTTAACTACCTACCTAACTTTACATATTTTTCTAGAAATTACCTACAACCTCCCCGCCATTGGATATTCCTGAGAATGGCACTGGTTGTCTCCGTCATACTAACGTTGCGTTCAACAGAGATAATTTTGTGATGATAGATATAATATTACAGTGAGTTGACCTATTATCAAAACTTAAAGGCAAGAACATTATGTATGCATTCATTTAGGTTTTTATTGATATTCAAATTTATAAGTGAGATATGAGATATGAGTAGATATGTGAAATAATAAAATTAAAAAACGCTTATAGATGGCTTAAAACTGAATGTATCGAAAGAAAAACCAACATGGTTGCACAGATGATATTCTTGTCTTTAAGTTTAATTTAGGTTAATTCACTGTATTATTAAATCTACCATCACACAGTTGTCTCTTTTGAACGGAAACAGCTGCACGTGCCAGTATCACATTCTTTTAAGATATAAAGTTGACACTGAAAGAAAATAAACGACTTTTAAGGATAATATTATAATAATAATAATACAATAGTATATAATATGTATCAAAATAGTGAGTTTTACAGATTATTCTCATATTATACAAAACTAAAAAGGAAATTTAACAATAATATTTTTGTTTTATTCATTTTTTTTAAACTTAATATGTTTACACGGACCATGTACATAATATAAGTACTCGAACATAGACACGTTTTTCGTGTAACTTAACGAATTACGAGGTTGGACAAGGTTATTCACATTCGGTACCCCTATGCGTGGCAGGTACACACATTTTGGAAATATGTGTAATTTTTTTTCCTAACAATAATTATTACAATTGCTATGTTGAGTTGTCACCTGCCGAAATTAGTTGGCCCTTTAAATACGGCCGCGAGTCCAGAATCGACAAGTAATCATTGTACGGCCGTCACAGAGCTCACGGCAAGTCGACACTTTCGGTGAGTGTTGTTTTTTCTGTTATTATTATTTTATGCTATTATTAAAGTTACATAATTCGAGGTTTTAGTTATAGTTATAGGTTATAGTAATTATAGTCAGTTTGTTTGGTATTGTTATTGTTTCTATAACTGGAATACAATACAAGATGTTCAAATACATTATAACACACGAGTATAGGTACCTAATATATGGTATACAATTTTTTTCTTTCGACTTGAAAATCCAAATCAAAACAACAGTGAAAAAATCGTAACACAATCGCGTATACATCATGATGCCTACTATAATACTTCGATATAAACGTCTCGAAAACCTTAACAATTGAAACCGTATTTCGATGAATAAAATAAAATTTTTCGCTTGTTTGGCGATATTAAAATATGTATAATAAAACGGAGCTGTATTTGATTAGTGTTTTTTTTTTTCAAATATTATTATACGCACAAGACGTGTATTATTATTATTTTTTTTTTTGTAATCTATACTTCGAACGGCCAATTGATACTCGATGATATATGTACCTAGTTGACGCGAAACGTACATGTATATATCATAATATAATATAACGTTAAAATATTTAAAATTAAAAAAAAAAAAAAATCATTAGTTTGTGAATTGCAAAAATGTTTTCGTAAATCGTATGCGTACATACATACAGTAACACTATTATTATCAAATACTTATAGGCATAATAATATAATGTTCATTGATAAACGTATAAAGTGTAATTGAATATCGTACGTATGTATGCATATAGGAAAAATTTAGTCAACGCGTAATACGACCGGCATAGTTCACGGTCAATTGTTTATATTCATTTCATTGATTAATAAAATAAAATTTAAAGTAATAACATCGGTGTATTGACACTGGTCAGCACTGTGATATCATAATACACTATACCTATACACTAGACCGATAACCATGTGTGTTTACAAAAAAATAATCCAGGGGCGGGGGTGGTTGTTAAGGTGTTAAGGTTGTACACTTTCATAATCATATAACAAAGAAGCTTATATACTTTCAACTATTAGATTATAACTTAGATTATTTATTTTTCAATTAAAATTTCAATATTTTATATAAAATTCATTTATAGCCTTTCAGGTACCTAACTATTACTTTATAAGAATTTCATTTAATTATCATAATACTTTCTAAAATAACAGGAGAAAGATTAATTAAAACACTTCTGTAGCTTGATTGAGCATTAATGGTATTTTTTACAACACGATTAAACATATTTTTCGGAATATAGGAATACAAAAGAAAACCTTAACGATTGCGTATTAAAAATACTGCGACGTTGCCATTGCTATATTTAATAAATTATAAATTATATTGTACAAATAATACGAGTAATAATTGTACGAGTTAAAAAAAAAAAAATAATAATAATAAATACAAAATATAATTTCATGATATCTGAGTTTCTATTTCCAATTTATCATAAATATAAAAATAACGACTTTGTGTTTTTACATTTTAAATATTAGTTGAAAGCTTTTATTATTTAATGAAAAAAACATTAGCTAGTAGTAATAATCATCAAAATACTCAGTATTACGTCATTAGTTTCAGTATTTTTGCAGTTAAACACTGAAGACGTATTTACATTTTTGCCATCCCGGAGCATTTTGGTGTCCGTTCACAACACTAATTTTAGGGATTGCCAAAATAAAGCCAGATATTTAAGAAATCAAAAAACAACCTCCTTAATAAGTACCTTCCCAGTCAGATTTTTATTCAGAAAAAGTTCTATCATTGTAAATCGGAGCAAAATTACTGGTAGAAAAGTTGTCCCCAGAAAAAAAAAATCGAACTATTTTACTAATATATTTTATAAATTTTCCCGTTTTTCCTTTGTTTTTTTTTCGGTTTTTCCCATTTGATGAGAAAATTCCTGAAAAATCGAAAAATGATTACTCTAAAGTACTACCGTAAGAAAATTGCCTTTCAGAAAAGGGTTTACATCGTGTATATCGGAGTAAGCTTTCTGGTAGAAAAAGTGTTCATATAAAAAAACAAACATCTTTGTAAACCAATACATTATTCGCTACACTCAGAATCTAAGCATTTAAGATTAAAAGTTAAGTTAATATTCAAATTAACTTTTAATGTTTCAACTTTTCTCAATTGAATTAATTAAATTAATATTATTTATTGTAACTTGCCCATCAGTATTTAATCGATAAAAAAAATAATTATAAATTATTAAAAATTATTAAATTATTAATATTTGTATAGCGAAATACTTCAAATATTATATTATATACTATATTTGTTACTTAATTTTTTCCAGAAAGTTTCTTTGTACTAAACCGGAAGTCCATCGTACATACAGAATAATCATGACTGGATATCTGACAATTATCGGTAACTATTGTGAAATTCTATCTATGAACAAATCTTCTACAGAAATCTTGCAAAAAAAAAAAACTGTTTAGATCTAATTGCCTAATACATTGGCAAGGTCTAAAATAAAAAAAAAACTACACATTTAACACCGAGTGTAAATATATGTTTACATATACCATATATACGATAACTAACTTAAAACATGTTTATCTCTTTTTTTTATATATATATATTTATTTACAAATTAATAATAATCATTTATTTATTTACCTATCTTTTTATTATTTTTCCATATAATAAAAAATAAATTATTTTCCTACTGAATTTGCGAGAGGCGGCGCAAAAAACTTGTTTTAAAAAAAAATATACATAAATTAGAAAAAAAAAACCGAACGAACATACTTCACACTATGAGTGTGCCACTGTTGTAGGTGAGAAATTAGGATGGTGGTAGGATATAGAGGGGAATTATTTGATTTCTATCTGTACGCAATAATTAATCATTGCTAATGAAAAATGATTCTGAGCGGAGCTCGGTCAAAAGACCACAAGAGAGCTCGGTAAACATCATTGTAAAACCAATATATTCTTCACTTCACTCAGAATATAAAATTTAACTTTTTCTTTTGTTCAACATTGCAAATATTGAAAAAAAAACGAATTACGAACACTCTATAAGAGTTTTTACCGTAAAGTCCATCTTTTCCTGTGTCTTCCTCGTAGTCTTCACTCTTGGCCATGTATGGTTTCTATTCCATTCCTTGTTTTCTCTTATTTTCGTCATGTGACCTAACCGTCTTATCCTTTGTTACTAATACCAGTTCCATCTCTAATTTTACTGGTTTTCCTAAAGTTTGATCTAATAGTTTACAATATTATGTTGAAACTTTAATTTTGTGCGTGGTTGTTTTCCAATATTCCAATTTTATTTCGAGTACAAATTAATTATATTGTTTTACGATTAAACAAAATAACTCATACCGTTTATATAGGTAATATATTATTTAGTAATATAAAATGTATTAATTTATAATTTAATATAATATAATATAATTTAATAATTTATCAATATTATTATTACATACGAGTTGGACATTAAAATTAAAAGCAGGAAAGCATACAAATAAAAAAACAGAGTAATACGCGTCAACCAGTAAACAGATGGGAATTAAAATGTTGAAAATAACGAAATGATTTACAGTGTTAATAAATAGTGATAATGAATAGCTATGTTTATTAAAAAAAATTTCATAAAGGTTTATGAACTTTTGCTAATTAATATACATTATTATAAATTGTACGCGTGCGCTAATCATTATATTCCGGTTAGCAATAATAATAATTGTGGGATATATTTATTACCTAATATATACCTATGCAGTTTGAAGGACAAACAAAAATAAATCGCTTTTTATTTAATAGTAAATTTAACAAACTTCATTGCAGCAGCAATCGGTTTATACGCATTTGTTTATTTATTTATTTGAGTCTCCCTTTAAAATGCAATGACTGTTTCAAATGCAAATGCGAAAAAATGTTTAAAAAATGATCATGTACATTGTATTCGTTTGATTTGCTCGCAGTTGACAAATACAATAGACGGACGTGTTAATATTCAAAGTAATCAAAAGTAAAAAAAAATATTAGTCATCGCAATTACCTACAAAATAAACCATACTATTATCAAATATATCTAGTATTTACCCACGACCGTATAGGCACATTTTGAGATGTGTTTACGTTTTTAACGCGCTTTCGTAAAAACACATTTACAGCACATTGGAAATTCGAGTTGCGCACTCACTTTACATTTTGTGCGTACACTCTGGGCTCTAAAACACATTATTTTAGGTCCTGCTGAGCAAGTGCAAACTATGGAATGGAATTGAATATAAAAAAAAAAACTGCTTTTTGCTAAGTCTCGAAAGATTTTAATGCCCACATAAAATGTAGCGTCTGGGGCCAATACTTCCACCTGGACACCACTCAATGTTTTCCTGTTATTTGATGAATATTATCATTTCCGTTTTTACATGAATGTGTGTTTCTGCCGCAGGTTTGGTGTGTATACAGATATTGCGAGTGACGGCAGTCGACGATCAAGTGGACAAAAAACTTTGGCTGATGGACTCGTTCGAGGATTACAAACATCCCGGCTCGTCCCGGATCGAACGGAGCGATCAATTGGAAACCGTGGGCGACGTAGTAATGAATGAACACGGTGCGTACCCGAAGATCATCAGACGTGGGTTTGCAGGAGAAGAATTTTTCTTGAAGGCATCAAAATCGGTACCTAGGATCGGTCGCAGGAACAACGACATTAAAGAATCGCCCAAAAGATCGCTGAACAAAGTACGTACCTACACATATAATAAACAGGGTGATTTTTTTTCACCCCAGTTAGCGATTATATTATAGCCATACAAAAATGTTTAGTTAATAGTTTGATTTTAGAGGGGGGGGGGGTTGTTTTTCTGACATTAAACTATAATAATTTATAGAATCGTTTTATAAGCGTACCGCGATTAGGTATATTTTATAGAGACGCGGTGTTTATTTATTTGAAACATTTTTCGAAATTCCCAACAATACCCCAATTTTCGTATAATCCAACTTGACGTTTTCATGTATTTTTCGAAAAATTACGGGGAGAAATGAAACAGCTTGCCCCTCCTTCGGACGCCTATTACGATCAAAATTGGTATTTGAAAATGAGTATCTAGATATACTCGATACTGAATGCGTCTATTCAAGTATATACGCCAACGCGAGGATACTCAATACTTTCCCGGATTTCGGGAAGACGCGAAATTGTATCTGCGATACCTATACTATTCAATCCTGTATACCATGATAAATATCATAGGTACTAAGCAATTGACGATATGTGATACCTATAGTTTGTATTTTGCGATAGTTGCGAAATCATATCCACCGTGATGTTATAGTAACATTTATCGCTGTACCGGGTTTTAGATGGAATACATTATAATATTATGTTATTGATAAAATGTTTGTGTTGCTTGTGCATAATAGGACCATGTAAACGCGGTTGAAAATTGGCTGAGCTCGCATCAGACGGGTGACGTCAACGATTCGGCCGGAAAACACGACTTCGAGTTGCCGTACGGTTGTCAACAACTGGATGCCAAAACGATTTTCCTGGTGGACTTGAACAATTTCGTGTGCAACGATCAGTTCTACTGCTGTGCACCGGCCAAGCGCGCCATAGCCAACTCGCGGAACGCCAATTACTTGTGAAAGTGCTCCCGTCAACGCCTAGTCGATTTTAGATTTTTTACAACACTTTGATACGGGAACGCATTTTATATTTTGTCATTTATTTTATTTTCGATTATATAAACGGTATTATGGTTTAAAACAAACAAAAAAAGTAATAATAATAATCCAGTACAATGTGCAACGTCATAAAAATATATTATACTATGTCTGGTGTCCACGTATAGTTTTTATTTTATTTTAAACGTCGTAACAGTTAATTAATGGGTAGGTATAGGTGTATTGGATTTATGCGGTGAAAAACAAAAGCGCTTTTTTCTATAAATACAATTAATATCGGTGTTCATTTATTTTTCAAACTACCTGTATATTAGCAGCTTAATAACGGTTATAAGCCGTAGTGATACCTACTCTGCGTTTTTGGGCTATGAATTTTTTTCGCTGTATACAACTTGAGTTGATTAAAACAATAATTATTGTCTGCTGCGCTTAGACTGCACTGTCATATGTATTGCACCGTTAAACAATAGCTAAAAACCCTACTAAAAACCACATAAAAGAGTAGCAAAATATTGATTGCCATATTAATGCATTATAAATGGGGCGCGGATTTAAATGTTCTAAAAAACAAGAAAAATGCCTTAAAAAATATATAAATGAATGCACTTAATTAAAAAATTGTATAAAAATGTCTTAAAAAAATGATCTAAAAATTATTTTAAACGTTGAAAAAAACGTTTTTTATTAGGTACATAAATTTACAAAACACAACAGTGCAAATACAGTGAAATACAACTGCATTACAACTCGATAAATAGCTTATCGTTTTCTTTATTATAGCCAGCGTCATACTTATCTGGTACAATTGATAAAATCTATAATACATTTTAAAAACAGAAATAGGATTATTTTTTCTTTTAGGAAGAAATCAAAATTAATGGAGCGAAGATCGGTTATACACGTCTTGAAAGGTTGCGATGTTTATCATCTTCGGAAACATTTGATATTAAAATTTTTAGAAAAAAAAAAAAAACTATATTGAATTCATTTTTTTTTTACCATAAAGTAAATTTCGAAATTGCTGGCTGTCACTTCGAGATTTTTCTGGAATATCATTTGGATATTTATGTTTATGCAGATTGTATAGATAAGTGTATAAAATAAAGCAATGTTTTTAAAAAACCCCAATTCCCCTAGTGACCGAAATTCCATAAAAAAAAAAAATAAACAATCAGTTAAATATAATTCATATTATTAAAACAGTTAAATAATTTTGTCATGATATACTGGTGATAGTAATTGCTGTAGTAAGGTCATTGTTCAGATAGTTAAGAGAATTTATCTTATTACTGTTTTGTTGTTGATCAGAATATTACCAAAACATGGAGACATTTGAAGAGTATACTGAAAATGATATTAAATGTGTCGCCAGCAAATGCACATCTGTGCGGTGAGTTTAATAAATATTATAGTTTTGTAATATAATAATAACGTGGCCTGCTACTATTCTAGAGAATTATTCGTTTGTTCGATAATTAGGCAAAATAATTTGATAAAACAATAAAATCCAAATTACCTATGTTTTTATATTTGATATATTTTATTTCAATGCACGTATAAAAAAAAATTTAATCTCGTTATAATTCGTTTTATTTTTAGACATTTTTAGTCAAATTAAAAATTAAGAATTCGTTTCGAAATTCTTTATGCCTAATTGACTTTGTTGTAAAGTTTGTGAGTTTTTTTCTGAAACTGATTACAAAGATATTAAATGTATGTATACACGACGTTACTTAATATTAATCCAGTACTTATTATATACTTACCTATAAAACTATTATAGCGATAATAATACTAACGAAATTCGGAATTGATTACTCCTGTGATCGAAATATTATAAATATTTTAATTTTCCATAATATAGAAATATAGTAGACTCACCAAGACCAAATAATACATTATTTAATCTTATTATTTTTGCGTGCTCGACAAAACTTCAATGTTTGGAAAGAACGCATTCAATTATTACACTAACGTGAAGAACTTTTTTTTTGTTGATATGTTCATTTGATAAAAATAAAATCATAGTAATATTATTAATAATACCTAATAATATTGGATTACAATCACGAACTAATACGAAATAATAAATAATATGAATTGGCAATGATAACGCAGGTAATGGCGCAGTCGAGTTTGATAACTGGAATAAGACATGAAGTGAGAATACAAGAACCATAACAATTTTTTCGGTACTTTTCTGAACTGTAAAGGACAATAAAGAATGTAAAGGAAAGATCTATAAAATATATACTGTGTGAAATTATTTATTAATTTGTATTTAATATCTGTATTCCCTCCCCCACAATAACTCTGTTTCAGAACTTTAAAATAACAATAGTATTAATAATGATGTCAAGAAGTATATCCAAGATGTCTCTCCAATCTTCCCCTGCTCTGAAATTTTAGCAATTAGGCATTCTGTCATCTTCAAACTTTTTTTATTGTAGCTCTCATACAATTTTTTCAAGTTTTTATTCATATCTAATATGTAGTTTAACGACATCCACGTAATATGTAAATTCTAGTTACTAACTTTACTATTTTAGGAAATTATCGTATTAATTTGGAACAAGTTTGATTTTTAGGCTAATATTTTCTAGTTCATTAGTGAAACTATTACAATTCACTTTCTTAATGACATAGTGTCTTCGAAAGGGGACCTACTCATATTTAATTTAAATAAATTATTTTTAAAGATGGTCAAAACCACGAGTTGTGCGAAAATTATTGTTTGCATCCAAAGATGTATTATTAATACATATAGGAAAAACTTTAGTTTTCCACAACGTGAGAACGAAAGAAGACGTTTTGGTAGTGGTGGGAGATGATTCCACTCCATCAGAAGTCAGTTTGCCTTTGGATAGCGTTGGTTTCGTTTCTTGTGGTCCGGATAATATACTGGCGTTGGCTGAACATCCACCGTTGGCCAAGGTGGTCATATGTAAATACCCCGATTTAGAAGTCTCAGCAACTCTTGTTGGTAAGTGCTAAAAAAACACCGCTATTCGCTGTACTTAATTTAGGATATTCTTGTCGTATTTGGTCTTATTTTTTATATTTTATTAAAATATGAATAAATGTAGAAATTGTATACATACATAATTTTTCAACGCTGAATAGTTTAAATTATCTCTTTTTTTGTATTAAACATGGTCAATGAACTATGGGGAGGGTCATTCCTTAGCTGCCTGCCCCCACTCAATTAGGTACGCCATTGTCAATGACATAAATTACTATTTTCCACTGGTTTCAGTTTTAACCTATATTAGACAATTTTAAACATAAACACAATTTTTTTCAATTTCGATTGATAATTTACAACTTCATGAGTATAAATGTGTTATAAATTAAAAACAAATAAACATTTAGTTGATTTTTCCAATATTCCAACTAGACAAAATTTACTATCGAAAATCAATACATGTTTTGCTAAACGATTCGAATCTAAAAATGTCCAGACTGTACCGCAGCTCATGTGTCACTTGGGTTTTCTTTTGTCCGTCGCTGCTTTTGGCATTATAAAGTTAAAACAAATCAAAATACCCACCTAACTAAAATAATAATGTTACGAAATAGTAAATACCTAGTATTTTAATATTGTATGGTTGATGAAGAAAAGCTTATAGAAATACGAAATATTACAAATGTCATATATCGGTATCAGATTCAATTTTAAAAATTTGCCAATAGGTTCATATCAAAATTTCTTCAATGCAATTCTATAAGAATGTAGATTGGTATATCGTGCAATATAGCATACATTTATTGTGATTCCGCTATCAATAAATACAAATTTATATCCGAGTTCTTTATCCTGTAAAGTATTTTAATTATCAAACAATTTATTTTTAAGTAATAAAAAATAATATTTAATTTTGAATATTTCGGACCATTCGGGCATTTTCCCGGTTGCCCGACAGACTATTTCGCTGCTGCACAACTACTTAACAGTTTTAAACACAATAATTTATTAGTTTAATTAGAAAATTCTTAATTGTTACCGATCGCGATCGTTGTCCATCAATAACAAATCATCTATTATTAGATGATATAATAATATTTTAATATATTATTATGATACAAAACAGTGATAATTTATGACTGAAAATATTTATGTTGGTATTAAAAATAGTTATTTTAAACATTTGTAAAATATTGAAGAAATTTCGGATGTGGGGGGGGGTCTGGACACCTTGAACCTCCTCTCAGATATGGCCTTGATTATTGGTATCATGATAGCTGGAATATTGGCTAGTTGTATAATTTTTTAAATAAACCTTTATACAATACTATATAAGTAACTTTTAAATTTGTTATTAAATATATACATACATTATTAAACTTAAACTAAATTGTATAATTTGATGTATTTGACAGACAGTATAACTTTTTTATTAGTGCCTTCATCAAGTCTAAATGAGTAGTAAAGATGTTTGGGTATGTCATATTTTTGCCTGGCTTTATGTGTGCCCATTAATAGTATTGTGTGACTAAATAATATGTATTAATATTTTCGATATTTCAACATATAATTGGTCTTTCATGCCTCTTTTGCTTCTTTGTATTTATCTCAACCATTTGGGGATGTCCGTCAGGTTGGCACATTATGCTAAGATTTTACAACTATATAATATCGATATTTCTCTAGAAATTGGCTAGATTTTGCTAGGTCTTCTATCGCCTTCCAAGTCAAATTTTATTTGATTTACAATCAGTTTATCATTAATTTCATAACTTTTTATTTTTATTTGTCTTGCTAAAGACAAAGCATATCACGATATTTATATTTTTTATTTTATTTGAAATCTATAGTTTTATAATATTTTTATCATTTTGTCTCCGATGCTTGTTCATACATTGTTTTAAAATAATATATTAATATTAACGGTAGATCATAAATACACACACTAATTTCACAATTTATCGAAATAATTTAAAACCTCCTCCGGAGACAATAGGGATCCAAGCAAAATCCATAAATGCTCTAGCAAAATCTGGCAAATTTATCTGAATATTTTGGCATATTTTTTAATGGGATCGGACAACGTGCCGGTGCTAAGGTCATATTTGAAACCTTCCCCGAAGGTGACAGAGAACCTAGCAAAATCCAAAAATGCCTTATCAAAATCTACCAAATTTCTAGCAATTTATTGATACTTGTTGTATAGTCCTAATATAATGTATGGGTGCCAACTTAATGAACATTATTTGTCCTTTCATACCTATATAAAATGTATTAAAATATTTATATCGCGTTGGAGTAAATTATTACAATTCGTTTTAGATAGCAGCAGTTCTACACCATACAAGTCTATAAATTTACTGGGGTTTGAATATTTAATTGGGTTGCGCGATTACCCGGAGTTTGATTTAATTATGTGGGCGTGGAGAGTTCAAGAAAAGTTAATTGTCGTCAACACCGGGTTCATTCAACCAAACCAATCTTTGCACACGTAAATAACACTAGCAGCTATCATCAGCCCAGACATGGTGGTACATTCGTACCCCAAATTATATAATGTTTGTGATATTTTTTTGTTTTGTCAGATTATTATCAACCGGACGTGAAATCTATCTAAGTCAAACGGAACGTGACGTGAAATGTAAACTCCAACTCTGGACGCTGTTTTTTAGCTGCAAGACGGTGTATGCGAAGAATATGTTGGTTGGTTTGCAGGACGACTCGAATGTCGGATCGGGCTGTTGGACGTCCAGCGGTTGGTTCATCTTCTGTGACTTGACAAGGAACGCAGTTTACCGTACACAACCTGGCGCACCAAATCCCGAAATGTGCATAGAGTACACCGTAAACAATTTCGAACAAACTCCGGCATTGGTATGTTCTATAGGACACCATAAACAAGGGTTTGTGCTCTACACGTACAACGAACTGAGGGTAAGTCGGGTAATGTACACATACATTGTAGTATTATGATATAACCGATTGGGTATATTCGTTTTCATGTCACTCTATGCAGTGGTTTAAGGACACTAAAGGCGTTTTTACAGAAATGTGGAAAATCGTTATCAACTATAAATTACTATGTATAATATCCGGAGAAAACGATGTTTACGGCTGGTCGGAAGATGTGATTTTAATTTGTTTATATTGTAATATTTTGGAAAGAGGTCAATCAATTTTTTTTTTTGCAGGGTGTCCTGTTAGAACTGACAAAAAAAAAAGAAAACCTGTTAAAAGTGTACGGAATAAGTATCAAGTATTTTACGTTTATCAAGCCTACCGACGAAACGGTCGCAACTGTCAACGAAAATAACATTTTGCAACTGTGGGACGTATCAACTGGAGAATTTGTAAATACTTTTACAATATTTTTTATTGTAGTAATAAAAAAATATTTGCCATTTTGTCTCTACATTTTACAGAAAAGTGAGGTGAATTTAAGCGGAATTGCAACACACATTAGCAGCTATCCATTTGACAGCTACTTTGCAATTTCATTTAAAAATGGAAAAGTGGAAATTTTTAAAACTCTCAAGAATAACGAATTGAAGCGCATTGCTAAAATAGTATTATGTGATGAAGAGATATCTTCAGTACATTTTTTACTTGGGCCGAAATGTATAGCGGCCAGTTTTTCAATTGGTCGATTTTATTATATTGATGTAAGTTTATGATAATCAGCTAAAAAAAATTTGAATTTTTATGATGGTTTTTTTTAACTATTCAGTCAAATGTATTAAGTCTATAAGCATCTCAGTAATCAGCGCAATCAATATCACCTAAAAATATACAGACATTCAGCAATTATTAAAATATTTTCTGATCGTGTCCCTGACGTAGCGGAAAAATTATTAATTTTGTTTTGCTTTGCTCAGAATCTAAAACTGAAATAAAAGCATACATAATAGTAATACCAATAGATCATTTGCTCCACTTTGAGTTAAAAATATTATTACTCTGATAAATTCTGATGAAAACTAATTATGAATTAATATGATAAATTTATTAGATTGTATTGGGACAAAAATGTTCAGTTATAAGAGAACATAATTTGAAAAAGCATGTTATTGACATTGAAATAATTGAGGATAACAAATCATCGATTCTAATAGTTTTATATAAAAACGAACAAACTGAAGAAATCGCAGGAAATAATTTTATATTATTCGATACAAATTTCAATGCAATTTTCAAATTAAAAAATTCTGAATTTTACTACTCTTCAATATCTAAATGGTATTCGTCCGGGGAACCCGATGTAATAAACATAGCTTTTACTGTATTGCTATCAAAATGTATTCATTTAATGCAAATAAATATTGTTCAGGTAATAGTTGCGCTAAGTTTTATAATTTATTCGTGATCATGACCTTTTTATAAGTTTAAAATATGTTATCTATAAAGGCGAAAATTTTAAAATTGAAAGATATACCATTGAATCATTTACTAAGGCAAGTTGAAGTATCTGTTGGGAAAAATCATTTTGTTACATTTAGCTACGATGGTACATTTAATCTTTATGAGTTCGAAGATAATGTCAAATGGAAACAAATTATTTCAGTAAATTGCAGTCGTTGGCAAACTGGAGGATTGAAAGTTGTACAAGTAGATATTAACGGTCGTAATATATTAACATTGAGTGTTCGAGGAAACTTTATGTGTACAGGATTTAAGTAAATTTTTCAATGATAATTACAAATCAATTACGAAATTAATTTTTTTTTATTCCAGTGAAACTTGTGATCATAACAGACAATCGTATGTCATCGATAAACCAATATTTTTAGATGTTATTAGGGATACGGAAGGGATTGGTTTCGAAGACGATTCAGAAAGTAGGTAGAATATTATAATCTTAGACAGTTATTATAATTATTAGTTTTATTATTTTGTAGCGCAAAACCGAGTGACCTGGACGATGATTAATGAAAAAAATGAATTGGATGCAGATAATGTTTTATACAGTCAACAGAAAAATGAAATAATACGAGCATTTAATAACATAAAAAAGGAGGTGGTAAAACGTAGTTGAAATACAAATATTATTTTATTTTATTTTTTGAAATATTTCTCAAAATTTAAGTGTTATTAAATATTTCCATTTTAGCTTCTAATATTACTGAACACGAATGTTAATGGATCTGAAGATACTAGAATAAATATAGAAGAATTTGATTTAAACGTTGATTATAGACAGGAATTTAGAGAAAAAAGTAAAATCAAACGTCAAATTTACGAAGAAAAAATCCTTGATGATATAAACAAGTTCAAAATTGAGACTGAAAATATTATAAAAGAACATTGGGAATATCTTTCTGTTAAACCAATGGCTGTATATGTATGTATAACTAAATCAAAAAATTAAACTGGTATTAAGATGAATAAACTACATATAAGTATCTAAATGTCGGTATAATATAAAATAAGTTAACCAGTCAACTAGAATCTATTGAATTATACCTGCCTAAAGAATATAAATATGGTCAATGTCCATTGTGTCCATATGTCCTAATAGGTAGCTAAGATTAAGATTAATTATAGTAGGCGGCAGTAGCTATAGAAAACTTTTATAACTAGTTTTAATACAAATAAATTTAAAATAGTTTATAAGATTTAAGTTTTGATATAGTATTTAAAATGTACTTATACCTAAGTAGATTCTTCAGGTTTTCCTAATCAAGCGGCAAAATTATTTTTAATATTGATTATTGCACACATTTAAATATAAATTTATTTACTTTGTGAGTATATAACATATTTAAAATTGATATTAAAATATAAAAATATTTATATGACATTTCATTTGTTACCTTTATTGTATACTATAGAAGCATATTACTATATTACAAGCAAAATTATTGGTATTGTAGTTTTATTTACGTCCATGTTAATGCGAAATATACTATATATTTATAGCAACAACAAATAACAATTATAATTAATTCATACTTAGTACAAAATATATGGTGTACCTATTAATAAAAAAAAAAAAGACATTAGCTATAGTTGGTACTTCAGTGACGTGCACAGCTTCTTCCTATGGTAGAGGATGAACTGTATTTTGTTTTTTTGATAGTCATGTACAAATATACACTTATCAGTACATGCATAGATATTTTAGAAGTTAGTAGTTAGATACTAATTAAAATTTGAATATATATAGGACAATCAGTACATTAAACAAATATTAGGTATTAAAGAAAATATATAATGCTTATTTAATTATTTTACCATACTATGACATATTTATTGTTGACAAAGCATCACTATTTTCTAAACTTCGCTCAGAATCGTTTTATCGTTAGCAATGATTTATCGTTGCTTACAGGTATACATTAAACTAGGTAACTATAACAATGGCTGTAACCGACCGCATTATCCTAGGACAGCTTTTTTTATACTAATATTTTAAACTTCTTCTTTAACCTAACTTTCCTACGTTTTTTCCCGATTATTATGAAAACTAATTAAAAAATTAAAAAACGACCTGTTTCATCAAAAACAACATTAATAGTTTAATAAAAAAAGATCTTTGTCGTTTTTCAATTGGAGCCATATATGATCTAGAAAACGTGGTAGGTAATTATTTAATATAACGAAATCGCGAAAAAATCGTCTTTTCTTTCCCCGGTTAATCATTTTTATTTTAAATACCGTTTCGAAAATCAAAATATACCTATGTATTTACCAAGTAGATGAATCTAACTTTCATAAAAAATGGTACACTTATACGTAGGAACAAGTTTTCTTGTGTTCTTGTTGTTAAAAGTGAAGACAATTTTCCACGTCTAGGTAAGCCCAATATAAGTATTACCAAGTTTCAAGTCTCTACGTGTATTTTAATCGAATTACAGCAAAAAACTCCCAAAAATTAAAATTTCTTAAAAGCTCAAAAGTGGCTGAAAAGATTTGGTGATTTCACCGTAAGAAAGTAAACTAAATGGAAACAAAAAAAGTGTAACAAAAATTATTACACTTAAAAAAGTGTAATAGTTATTAAGAACCATTATTATTTACATAATATGATATGTATTATTATAAATATTTAAGAAAATTGTGGTAATAGGGAGGAAGGGTATAATCGGTTGACGGCCCTTGAAAACCATGAAAATTTTTGTTTAATTTAGAATGTATTCATTTTCAGTGTTTAAAAAAATTATACAAAGTTGATAACTACCCGATCAGCATACAAGATCAAGGAGATAACACTTTAGTAAATCAAATTATAGAAAAGAGAAAACTAATCGAAGATGAAGAAAACCCATCAACATCATCAATTTATCCATCAGCTTCTACGTAAAATTTTTAAATAAATAGTACGTAGACATTTAAACAAATATCTATACATTTTTTTTTTAGAGACTGGATGGATGATGAAACAGTTTTGACAGAGAGCGATTATAAACAAAATAAACATTATTTAATGGGATCTATTAGTTATAAATTAATGAACAGTAATATTGAGAATTTGAATTTTCAAAATAATTATTATCAATTAGAAAAAGCCGAAGATGAAATAATCTTACTGAAAGTAAGTAAAATAATACAAATTTTATTTTGACAAATTATTGTAGTGAATGAAACCATTTTTTTTAAAGAAAAACTAGTTTTAACGGGCTCAATAGCGGTTTTTCAATATAATGTTAAAATTGAATACCAAACTATTTTACAAAACTAGTTTTATAAACTAAACCAAAACCTATTGAAATATATTTACAAACCAGTTTAAGAAACTAAACTTTATCCAAGTTTTTTTAAGAAAAATAATTTTTCCGTCAATAAATTACCTTAACCGAAATTTTTGAAAATCGTACCTAAACCTAACCTTATTTTTAAAAATATTATACTTGCATAAGTTTTATATTAGTATTGACTATTAATATTTAGCAATTTTAACCAATATTGTTTAAAATTATCATCATTCTTTATTCTATTAATAAATAACTGTTATTTTTTTTTTTTAAACCAATTTAAAATGATTCTTAATAAATTAACCAGAATTTTTAGAATTTAAAAACTAGTTTTTTGAACCTTAACCAGAACCAATATTGTCAACACTTATTTATTAACTTAAACAAGACCGAATTTTTTTTTAAATTCGTTTTGAAATTAAAACCAAATTAAATTGCTGCAAATGCTATTTGTTTTTACTTGTATTAGTTCGTGATCAACAGATTAAAAGAGAATTTTAATGAAATATTCAACGATTTGTTTGTTAAAAAACAAGTTCAACTGAATAATTTAAAAGAACATAATAACAGTTTACGTGAAATCGAAAATGAATTCAGATTGGCTTGCAAAGGTATTATGAACAAATAGGTACTTTCACAAGTAATTGTATTTTATAATTATATAATGTTTAGTGGAATCCACTGAACTGTCAGTAGTAGATTTCGAATGGAATCAATATGAACAAACTGAACAGCTTATACATACTAAAGACGATGAAGTTTCTTTAAAATCACACAATGTTTTATCAAATAAACAAACGATGTTGGGCGAAAATTCAGCTAAAGACGAGCATAATGCACAATCATTAGCAATTGATAATTTTAGGCGGGAGGCACTGATCACTATGATGGATGGTGTTTTGGAGAAAAGATGGGAAGATGAGTTGAAAAAAGATGTGCCAATATCTGAAAACATTGTGCGTGTATAAAGAGTCCATTATGATAATATCCTGAAAATAATAACGACTATTGTTTTAATTTTAAGTTGAATAAAAAACCAGAAAATTACACAGAGGAAGATTTTAAAGATCTAGATGAGTATGATAATTTAGTGGCGGCTAAAAATAACGAGAGATTGAAGTACAAAAAAATTCTCGAAGAAAAAAAGGCAACCATTATTCAACAAATCAATAAAAGCATAGAGGAATTTGATAATGATGTATTCGAGATATATAAAATCAAGTTGAAATATAATTCAGCAATCAATCAGGAGAATTTAAAAATTAATAGAATTTCGAAAATGTTAAGCGATATCAGTTATCGAAAGCAACAAATTAAACTGCATGAGTTCAGTACTTCTAAAAATATACTACATAGTCATTTATTTCCGTAAATGTATATAATATATTGAATGTTAATATTATATTTGTAGAAAATCTATTTCGGAAATAGAACAAACTATTGCGGAGACTAATAAAAATATAACAAATACCGAGACGATCCATGGTGGTTTAATCAATAGTATAGAATTATTTAAGGAAAAAGATAATGATCTTCAAACAAATTTCAAATCCGTATTTCCTTCCAAACTTATATATAAACAAGCACTAGATGTTTACAAGTGAAACTCATACATAACAAATAACCTACTATTATATATTTGTATACCTTTTGCATCTAAATTTTTTTATTTTTAGCCGAAGACCTAAATTACAAGGGGATAGAAATTATTCACTATTACTTGGTTATCAGTTTATAAGCAATATAATGGGTCCGGGTCATGACGAATCAAATATGAACTTAGAATTTGTAAAATACTTAGACACACTAAAAGTATATGATGATTTTAAGTATGTGGAGGACAATGAACTCAATATGGACAAGATAACTTGGAATAAAGTTTGTAATTTAAGACGAATTAAAATTGAATCTGAATTTAAGATTAGAACTTTTGAAAGAGATGCGACAGAAAAAGCTAATTTATTAGACAATTTAATACATGATAAAGAAGACGATGAAATTTTGATTCAAAAATTGAAATCATCTATTATTACATTAAAAAATAAAGATAAACACTATGAAAATGATAGCCAGGTAAGAAAAGTAGGTTTTAGTATGTGAACAATTTTAACATTCATAATTGGTTTTTGAACAATTATTTTTAGATTCAATTAGTACTAAAACAAGGGAATGTCCAAGTCCAAACAACAGGGCACATAAGCGATTTCTATAAAACTAAACTTTTACCCAAAAGTGATATCGAAGAAGTAAACGCTAAAATTAAAGTAAATAAGTTTGGCCTACAATTTTTTCCTTTATATTTATAATAGTTGATACAAACTTCTCTACACTTACTTTGCTAAAGCATTCTACCGAATCAGTCTTCTATGCGTATATGGTTTTGGTGACCTTTTCCTGTCTCGGCTTAGTTTATTTGTCAATGACAGAAAAATGGGTTAAGATTCATGATGTTTCTTCCAAAATCATAGTTACTTCCTCTAGTCTCTCCCAAGGAGGTCAACTTTTCCCAGTATTGTTTTCTATATTTGTCAATAGTTCAATTATATTGTAACATTTATTATAACATGCACACCTGTTAGCCTTTGCTGATGACATAGAAATGTTAGTTCATATCAACTCTTTACTAGATTGAAATAGCATCCAAGACGATATTAACTCTCTTGTGTCGTGGGCTGAAAACCTATCATTGTCCTTTAATATTTCCAAATATTATTCCAAGATCCACCTTGAATCATATTAATTTCAAATAAAGTATTAATGGTGTTCACCCATCTCATATTATGATAAACGTATAACTAATTTAGGTTTTGCATTTAGTCCCAATTTACGTCCTAATATCCATATCCAAATAGTATCTGTTGTAATGTCTTTAAGACCTTAGAATCAAACATGTTTTGGCGGAGTTCGGGTTAGCTGTTCCATTAAAGACACTTTACATTGGTTAGGCAAACCCTTTAGTATGGTTCAGTAAACTGTAACCATTATACTGTGCAAGTATTTCAATCCTACTTGAGCGAGTACAACGGAAATTTGTATACTTTTCTAGTCGGACTTTAAAAATTGAGTGTCCATTCAGTTGACTATTCACCTGTTTTTAAACACCTCATATTGAGTCGTTGACTGATCGAAGACATTTGGCTGACTTAAATTCTCAACTATAATTTGGAACTGGGCTTAAAAACTCTCCATATTTACTTTCTAAAGTAATTTTTAATGTACCTCCTCGTCCATCATGTAATTCTGTTTTATTTTATATTCGTTCATTCACAACAAATTATAATCGAAATGGGCCTCTCTATCACTGTATATCCTTTGTTGACACAGACACTTTATTCTCCTCATTTGTGTATGCATGATTATGTTTGTGTTAGACTGTCATTCTTAAGAATATTTTATTATATTATCACTATTGATGTTAACATGTCAAACTGAGCCAATGCATGTTTATAATTAAAATAAATAAATAAACTGTGTGTAGTGTTTCCAAAAGATATTATAAGAATATTATATTGTATAAGAGGTTACGGACCCGGTTACGAATTTTCTTTTATGGTCTAATGTTATATTTTTATAATATTTAATAGTAGAAAACAATCAGTACTTAATATAATGAATCCAATAAACTGTATACCTTTTAGGAAATGGGCAAGATTAAAATTGACTTGTTATCAAAATTTTTGAAATATAAAAGTAAATACCAACTCTTAGAGCCGGAACTGGAAAATCTAAAAGATAACAAAATTAAATTGTATAAATATCGTTATAATTACATAACATCTATGAAAATGACCGAGAATATATTACATTATCTGAAGTTTAAGCAAAAAGGCATAAACATTGCTAAACAAGCTGAACAAAATGCAGACAAAGGCTTAGCAGGGATACAAATTGTAAGACATATTTTTATATATAATATTATGCTTTCAATAAATTATTTAAATAAGAATAACAATAATTTTTTTTTTTTTTTTTTTTTTTTTTTTTTAATTTAAGCATTATGCAAAAGAAAAAGTACAGCTAAATCAATGTATTGACGAACTTTCCAACAAGATAAAAAAAATTAAACAAGAAAACGAAAAAATTGAAAAAAATATAGATTTAACAAATCTCAAATTATCGGAACTAAAGAATTCCATTGACATAAGTTTAACTAATAAACTGAAATTAATCACGGATACAAGGTGAATATAATATTTTATTTTTAAATGTACCGAAATTTAGTTGATATATTTTTGAATATCCCATTAGATGATTCATGAATATAATATGTGTACTATTTGTACATTCAATATTTATACTTACATCAAAAATATATTATTCCATTTCGTTTTAGGTTGAAAAATGTTATGCGACGTACTAAAATTATGTCGAAGATAATGAATCTCTATAAAGAAGTTTACGTATTAGAGACCGAATTGGAATTATTACTCTTGAAAAGATATCCTACTCTATTCTAAATGATTGTGTTACTGTTAGTATTAATAATAAACCATAACATGTGTTGACATTACGTACATTTCTCCGGCCCTTACCTTTTAAAGTTCGATATTTTTGCTGGCCTAATCATTAGTATATCGTTAATATTGGATAGCAGGGTTGACGTTACGGTTTACGAGGCGTTTAAAAAAAAAATTTCATTTTCGTAAATTATTTTATTTTAATTTTCAGTTTATATCAAATTATTTGTGTTACGTTATTTTATATGTAATTTGCCATTGTATATTACATTCTACATTCTCTACATTATCTGTGAAAATGTCAATTGTGTGTTATATGCATATATCATCTAATTTTTTCCATTAAATATTTGCTATGTATACAGTACTTAGTATTGAATATTATTATCTATGCGGAACATTGAACATTACTTTATTTTAAAAATTAGTTATTAATTAACAATTGAATTCATTACTTTTATCTGTTGCTTTTATTACTATACTGTCATTAATATTATTAAACTCGTAATTTCACAATTACATAAAATTAAAATATTCAAGAAGTATAGTAAATGCATTTCTTGGCCTTTGTTAGACGCGAAAAATGACACAATGTTTTTTAAATCCAATGGATTTTAACATTTTTTGTCGATAGCAATAGTTCAGTCAATCCTTTTTGTGAAATTGTGTTTTTGAAGCAAACTTTGTTAATTTTTATTAGAAATGGGCGTTACCAAATATTTAGTACGCGATTTTCTTATACCTGTTTAAAAATAAAAACGAAATACAAAATATTAATATATTAATCAATAATACTATTTATTATTATGAAATTAATTTTTAGAAATTAGATAAAAACATAATAAAATAAAAATACTAATTTATTAATAATACTTATTTATTTCAAGGGGTGATCGGGGAGGTATTACCTCCCCACAAAAAATATATAGCACCCCTGAAAATGTATGGCGTAAACTACATGTGAAATATGTGAAATGAGTTAAGATCCGATTATAAGTCACGTTGTTGACAATATAATTTGAAAAAAAGACTGACATACTTCGCATGATGGCTGGACCACTGTTGCAAATGAGAAGTTAGGAAGGTAGGATATGGAGGGAAATTTAATGTATATCTATAAGCAAAGATTAATCATCACTAATGAAAAAACGATTTTGAGTGGAGCTCGCTTAATAGCATTACTTTTTCAACAATATAGATGTCATATTATTATAGTCAAATAAATATATATTGAAACAAATTTGTATGGAATTTTTTACAAAAAACGATTTTCTTCAAAATTTGATATTTAAACTCTTAAAAAAAAAAAAATTTAAATGTATTATTTTCAACTAAGCTTTTTTTGTGATTCGGTTAAAAATATTCATGGAGACTTGAATTTTTGTCAGAAAAATTATATTTGCTTTCCCTAGACATGGTAACATTTTCAAAACATTTAAGCCATTATTGGGCTATTAATAGACATTTTAATTTTACTGGTTTTTTAACTAATTTTTATTCGATAGTTGTTTGGACAAAAAGAAGTGCTTAAAAATAATTAGTTTAGAGTCCCTCAATTCAACCTTATCGGTAAAAGAAAATCATCCAACCAGCTTTCGTGACGGCTGCTGGGAGAAAAATGGCTCTGTTATGGGTTTTTTATTTTATTTATGGTCCACGATAAACAATTTTAGCCAAACATGGGATAGAGAATGAATAACTATTAAAGTAGTTTCTTTCGATTAAAAAAATAGCTTCGCTCGAATAATAATTTTAAAAAATGAATATATTTTACTGGATTCCTAGCTAGATTTAAAAAGTTACGTCAACAATTTATACGTGATTAGTGGTTAACTAGCGTATAGCACTCTCTAGACGATTTTAATACTTTTATTCTTACCAGGTTCGTCGATTAGTAACCGTTAATTTTATCAAAGGTTTCGTGAGCCATTTTTATGATTGTTGCTGTACCTATTAGTGCGTGTACGGGTACTAGTTAGAGTCAAACAAGAATTTACTCTACATGAGTCTATTCTATTTATGTTTTACGTTGAAAATGTCCAAATTCTTTATTTCAATCGTCATTTATATTTTATATTTGTAAATAGATACATTAAGTAAGATAATTTGTTATTTTAGATTCTGAGCGGAGCGAGGATGTATTTAATTTTATAATGATGTTTCTGTAAACAACTTTTTCATCAGAAATTATTCTCCGATTTTTGAGTGTAACTCTTTTTCTGAAAGGAAAAATTGGTACTTTAAGCAGATCACTTTTTATTTTCTTCAGGGAATTTCATAGAAAAAAGGAGAAAAGCAGAAAAAACGTAGAAAAAACGGAAAAATTTACGAAATTTATTATTTTCAAATCGTGTAATTATTACAACCTTTCAAAACATATGTAACTGAACTCCACTCAGAATCGTTTTTCATTGGTGATGATTAATCGTTGCCTGTACAGATATACATTAAACTTTCCAACTTCTCAGTTACAACAGTGGTCCAACCGTCTTGCGAAGTATATCCGTTTGTTTTATTAATCAACGATGTTGTAAAATCGACATCGCAATGGAAAATTGTTGACATTTCTTCAGCACCACAATTTTTTACGTCCAAAAAGGCCAGAAAAGTCTTTCTAATGCTCCTTGAATTATATTTAAATTTTAAAATAACAAATTTTATGATATTAATTACAGTGCTATAATAAAATGAATAGATAAATATAATGAATTTGATTGTTCATTTTTAAATTATCATTAAAAATAAAGTATTGTTCAATATTTTGTATAGATAATAGTATTTATTGTATATGATATATCAAAAATTAAAAGATATATGCAAATAATATAGTTGAAATTTTCGCAGAGAAAGTAGACTAGAATAGTATAAATAATGTAACACAAATAATTCAATTTACAAAAGTGAAAATTAAAAAAAAAAAATGGTCTCGTAATGACTAATAATACTAACGAGTCACTTACGATTAGGCTGAAGAAAAATCTCGATTTTATAAGTGGGGGAGGGCAGGGGGAAATGTACGTTTGACAATTATCGGGAAAATAAAAAAATAATATCGGTTGTACCAATAAGAAACTAGTTCTGTGCAATTACTGAAAAACCTCGAAATGTAAAAAGGAATAAAAATGACCATTCAGCAAGTACAAAAAATAAAACCAACCTGAAAATGATCACTAATCAAAGTGAAAACGGGCATTGACAGTCGTTAATTATACAATTTTTCTTTTGTATTCGAACTTAACAATAAATGCATATGATAACTTATATTATATGTGCACCTGTATAAATATAATATTTTATACAAGTGAAAAAAAGAAAGTAATAACTTTTTTTTAAAAACCTAAGAAACAAATAGTTTTGAAATATTCCTTATATAACTTTTAAATTTAATGCGTCTGAAGATATTTGAATAATTGAAACACATTCAAACTTTTGATTTTCAAACGGCAAACTAAATTTAAAAATGACTCAATAGACGGAGTATTAGTCAGACTAAATTATGGTGTTGACATTTATCATTTCCGTCAATCCGCTAACGAGATATACCATTTTTAAGTTTGGGTTAGGGAAGAGTATAGCGTGAAGCATAATTTTGTGTATTGGTACGGCGCATAGCGTTTTAATAATGCACCGCTATACTCTCTCCCGACCTAAAATTATATAACATTTTAGAACTATCTGTTTCTTAGGTTTTCAAAAAAAAAAAATTCCGAAAAAGTTAATATTTTCCGAGATAATGAGCGTAAACGCTATGAGTGAATCACTCTGTGTATATATTCATGTATGGTAAAATTAGTTTACGTCACTCGTCGACTACCTATAGTAATAAGTCATTGCTATATAAATTATTGAGTTAATGTAGATTAACTCAAAAAATCTTTAAATCATTGGATTACCAACGATGTTGATGTGATTATTCACATAATCACATCAATTAAAAACCGTAATATATTATTAAGGAAAAAAAAATTATTTAAAATTATTTAATTATTAAATGATTATTTATTTTACGAATCAAAATTAAACATAACATTAATATGCTGTGCGAAAATTATTTTAAAAATAATATGAATATTATTAATAAAAATAACTCGAAGAGCAATGGGAATTGCTTCGGAAATATCTAAAAATTAATAAGAAAAAAATTCCTATTAAAATTGATTGTAATTTACTTAATGAACGTTTTATAAATATAGGAAAAGATAATGTGTCTAAAATACTTAATGTAGAATTTAAATGAGAAAATAAAAATGCTCATATTAACTTGTCTAATTATCTCGATTATGTAACATCAGAAGAAATAATCCTTAAAATTGATTTGTTAAAAATAATGTTGCTCCTGGTTCTGATAAAATCACTGTAGAAGTTCTAAAATCTATTAAAAAGTTAGTTGCTGTCCCATTGTCTAATATTTTTAATTTATTTTTTGAAAAAAATTATATTCCGAATGAATTTATGCATGCTGATATTGTACCTATATATAAAAATAGTGAAAGTGAATTAGATGAGCGATTTCTTTAATATATAATATTACTAAAATTTTTGAAAAATATATTTATACACGAGTTATTAATTTTTTTTAAATAAAAATAATATACAATCTAATTTTCGAGAAAGGAGAATTACAAAAGACGCAATATCTAAATTAATCTCTCAAATTAAAACTGATAAATAAGATAAACTTGTTGTTTTCTTGGATTTAAAAAAAGCTTTTGATACAGTAGACCATGATATTTCGTTTTCAATATTAGAAAACATAGGTATAAGAGAAATCCAACAAGATTTGTTTAAAACATATTTAAAAAACCTTGCTGTACAAAAATTGGTAAAACAAAATCTGAAAAAAAATTAATTATTTGTGGTGTCTACAAGGAACATGTCTCGGTCCATTATTATTTATTATTTATATCAATAATTTAACAAATATTAAAATAAGTGGAAATTTGGTGCTATTTGCAGACGATACAGCTCTAAATTAATTAATGTAAGTAATTTAAAATAATGATCTTTTTAAAGTTAGGAATGGGTAATAGAAAATAAATTATCTCTAAATATTTCCAAAACGCAGTATATAGATTTTTCCAAAAAGGTTGAAAAAAATAATAAGCTAATAATTCATAATTATCTTTATAAAAATAATAAAAATTGTGATTGTTCTTCAATATCTCTGGTAGATTATTATAAACATCCAGGATGTATAATTGATTGAGAACTTGGTTGGAGTATCCAAATTAAAAAAATAATTTCTAAAATTAAAAAATCATTGTCCGCACTTATGTTGCACTTAATGTTGCAATAGATTGTAGTTTTAAAAAATCTGTATATTGTGCTTTTATACAATCTCATCTTCAATATGCTATACCTATTTGGAGAAAATATAGTAATTTAGGTATACTTCAAAATTTTCAAGATAATATTGTAAAAAAATTTAATGTAAAAAATGTTGCATCTGTACATGAATTATTAGACCACAGATTTAAAAAAGAATTTTATGAATTAGATTATTTATTGCTGCAATACTTTGACATTTTTAGCTATTAAAAAAAAAACAGTTAATTCTTTTTTATTATTTGTTTTTATTAAATTATCATGGTATTCTCTGAAACTTTCTCTTTCTATTTTTGTTGAATAATGTTTCCAAGCTACAGTATCAATACCATTTTTTAGAATATATCTTTTATATTTTGTTCAACGGGTATATATTTTATGTTTATCTGTTCTAAAAGTGTTCTGTTTTACATATTTTGGATTTATATTTTTTTAAACAATTATAAAAATCATTAAAATATAATTCATTTTTAACTATGTGTTTTTTTACACCTTTTACTTTATAAATTTTCATTTTCAAATACTTTAAATGTATATAGTTCAGATCTTAATCTAACAAATTCAGTTATTATTTCACCATTAAGTTAATCTTTAAATTTACCTGGAACTTATTTTTTGGATAATATGAATCAAATGAAATTAAATTCATTTAAAAGTTGTTCATTGTATTTTACATCTGTATAAAAGTTATCACTTCGAATTTCTCCTATTAAAGAATCTGTATCTGTCTAATACTTTTTCCATATATTTTTTTTAATACATTATAATGAAAATTATATATTTGAGTTTTAAATAAATCTAAAATACACATTCCTAAATAAATTTAATTTAACCACAGTTTTCTTTATATGTTCAGCTACTAAGTTTTTTGTAAAAATGGTCACTTGATCAAAATTTGGTTTAGCAATTCACTTTTCTATTTTTTCCATATCATTAATTGATTTTATATCTTTATGTTTTCTTGTGTTCATCATACTCCTACCAAATACACTGTTTTTCATCAACTTATAATAATATTTTTCAAATTCATTGTCTGTTTTTGCACGAATATATATATTAATTTCTATATATGGTTTCAACCATTACTTTTGATCAAATTTTATTACCTTATGTATTTTCTCTAATTTTAAACCTAAAATTAAATACAACTTAAGATTGATATAATGAAGAATATATTTTTTCTTATTACATAGAGTTTTGATTTGTTATTATCAAATACATTTTCAGGAGCCAATGGATAACCTGAATGAAGATCATGAAGCTCTTCAAATCTACTTCGAAAAAAGCCCTTTCCCTGGTCATCTTTCATTTTAAAAATGTTTTCTGTATTAAACCAATCAAGATTATACCATTTAAAACCTTTATATGATAAATATTTACACATTGCTCATCTATCCATAGAGACTATTTGCATCTAAATCATTCGTTAATGTTTGTTTTTTTTTTCTCTCCGATAAATTTATTATACATTTTAGAATATCTAATACTACATTGAGATCAACCTCCTCTTATTCCCTATTCAAACATTAAATGCATATCTGTATCTCTTAGCAGTTTTAATGTTACACCTATTTTTCTAAGTATAACCTGGTGTTGTATAATAATGTATAACAGGATTCAGTTTAAAATCTCTTAATGAAACAGCTCTATAATTTCCAATTATATCTGTAAGTAATAATACATATATTTTATCATAAAGTATGGTTAAGTCTCTCATATTTTTTGTTTTGAATGTTTCCCATATTTTTTTGGCATTTTCATATGCATTCTGTGTTACATGTTCACCTGTAAGAGAGCTGTAAAATTGATCTATATTGCGTAGAGTTTCTTCATCTGGAGAATTCATATTATCATAAAGATACGCTAATTTTCCTTTTACTAAATCTAATTGTATAGGATAATGTGTAGATAGTTCTTTAAACTGGTATGGTTTTAAAATATTAGCTAAATTTTCTAAAGAACTAGATAAGAACCTGAAAGAATCAAGAAATCTTATTTCAACTATTTTAAAAATAGGTTTTCCTTTAGTTATTGAATCTATTTTCTCATATCGTATATTTGATAATGATATATAATTTTCTTCACTATTTGAAATTGTTTTTATATTATGTTTATCAATACCAAATTCTTTTATTAATAAATGAGCATCATAACCAGATAGATTTTTAAAAAATTCAATTTTATTTTCTATATCTTCTAAATCTAAATCTAAATCTTCTTTTTAATTCTTATCCCAAACTATTGGTCCTCCTTTTATTAAAAGATACCAATATGTCTTAGCAAAGTCAAACATTTTAGATTGGCAATAGTCTAAATTATAATCACAATAATAAGATTGCCAATAATTAATAGTTTCATCAAGTATTCTCTATTTTGTCTCAAGTATAGGTGCTAAATCACTCAAAGATTTTTCACATATATGACAGTTATTTTCTTTTTCAAATCCATTTTCTTGTTTTTTGGTTTTTACCATATGTTTTTCTACATATATTTATTATCTGTATTTATTATCATTATTTATTAACTGCAATATAAATGGCTTCCTTTGTTATTTTCTTATAAAAAAAACTTTTGCTGCAACTTCTCATAGTTATATAGCATAACATATAGGAATATGTTACTAGATTACTTTTACTACTATTAATATTTTTAACATTATAACAAAAACTAACAGGTAAATGTTTTTGATCAGTTCTTGCATAAGAAGTTGTATCAGAAGGTTGGTATTTATCAATTTTGGGTAGTATACTTTCGAAATCTGCATAAATGACGAAAAGAACTTTATAAGATTGAGATATGATCAGATATGTTCGGTAATATTTGCTTTATTTAATTATTATTTCTTCAATATTCCTCATAGTCTGTTAGTTTTTCCTTACTAGAAAAATGTGACAAACATATGTGACATAAATAAATTGTACCACAATGTCTTGTTATTTGTGAGACAACTAATCTTGATAAATTTTTAATCAAACAATAATGTTCTTTATTTTTTTCGCTAAGATAAAATAAGTTAATATGAGTTTCTTTTTCAATATCACATACTTGCAGGGGTGATATATTTCTATTATCTTCATAAGTAAACACATTAATGGACATATTTGTTTTTTTTTCAAATTTAGTAATATCTTTTAATTTAACTGAAAATTCAATTTTTAAATTTTTAAATATTTCGTTAAATTCATTATTACATTCTTTATATTTGCTTACCCTATTTTCATATTTTCCCGCTGGATGTAAAGCATCAAGAATTGACCAATGAAAACATTTATTATCTTTGTTTTGAATGTTGGTAATAGATTTTATATCAAATGTCTCTTCTGGTAATTTAATATATAATGCTCCACTAAGTGGATTATACTTTCACATATTTAGGATCATATTAATAACATTGTTAAATATCCAATCAGAACTTTTAGCCACAAATATATCTTCTCAAGATTGAATTGCTTCTTTCACATTGTTATAAAAATCGTTAAAAATTACTGGAATGAAGGAAGCGTTCACTTTTTGTTATAAAACCTATGTTTATTTCCTCGTATGATAGATTTTCATGATGTATTTAAAAGTTACTGTAATAGTTATTTTAAAACTGCCTATTTCTTTTAAATATTCTAACATTTTTATCTCAACAAACCCTTTCGAATATTTCAAAAATTGATTTACATCTTTAAATTGGTGTTTATTTTCAACAATAAATGATAATACTGTTCTGTTTAAAGCGAATTGATTTTCAGTAGTAATATCAACAATCTTTAAAGCAGAAGGTCTTTCTCTTTCAAATAAGCTATCATTCAACTTTGAGGATATTTTGTGTGTTGGAATCTTATCTTTAAAATATGTTCAGCTACGATCAATTATTCTAGTTGGTCTTTTTGTAATAATAACTTTAGGAAATTCCCAGAAAACTCTGTGAGGATTTACTCTTCTCTCTTTTCTTGGTTTTAAGATGATATTTTTAATTCTCTGAAGTTTTATTGTTCTCTCTTTTCTAGGTTTTTTTGAAATTTAGGTTTAACTGTTTCATTTGGATCATTTCTTTAATATTTTCCTGATTTTAAATGTCTAGACCAATTTTTATATATAGTTGTTCTGTTACACATATTACATGTCTTTCTTGAAGTCGCTGCATCGTTATTTAATTATTTAATATTATTTTCTTCCATTTTGTTATAGGTTATATATTTTATTTTTTAACTTCAATTGTTTCAGTTTTTCTCTCAATGCAAAATCTAATTTGAATTTAACATTTAAAAAAAAGAAATTGAATTTAAATTTAAATTTTTTTTAAATAGTTCAGGTTTAAAATGTCTTTAAAAAAATATATGTTTCGAACAGATTAAGGATGAATTTTATCACGGTAATTTTGGTGAATTAAAATTGATCATATATAAAAATACAGAATTTTTTAATGCTACTAAATTATGTCAAAAAGGGAATAAACAATATAGAAATTTGTTTAGATTGGAAAGAACAAAATGTATTGTTTATCATATACATCACCGCCGCTCAGATCTTAGCGGCGGTGAAGTATATGAAATGAAAACAGGAAATAGGACAGATCAAAGTAGTATTATTTCCGGAAATTATGTTTCAAAAGAATTAACTTTGGATTTAGCTTCTCGGATTTCTCCTAAATTTATTTAAAATGTAATGATACAATTCTTAGTTATTTTGAAAGGGAATACAAAGATTCAACTAGGGAAAAAGGGATATGCTAATAAAACAAAATAATAAGTTATTATCTCAAAACGCTCTTAAAAAACTTGATTTAATGGGAATAACATTAGATGAAACACAAACACAGGATTAATTATGTGAAATTCAAGAAGAATTGGAAGATGTAAATAATAAATTAGATAAAGTACTTGATAAAAATATTGATCCTTAGATTTCAGAATTAAAATAACAATATATTTTATTTAAAGATAAGGATATTATTTTATGTTTTTAAGAGGACAAGATAAGTGTATAAAAAATATAAAAATGTATATTGTTAAATATATGAGGTTGCAATAGACTCAAAAAATAACCCAAACCCTATTGATTTAATAAACAGACAGAAAAAATTTAAAATATCAATGAGGATTATTATGCTGACATTATTGAAGAATATAAATGTTCTGATGAATATATTAAATTATCTCCTTTAGATAAACGAACTTTAATTGTAAATTTAAAGCAAAAGCATTCAAAAATAATTTATAGGGTAAATAAAATATTATTAAAAGATTATGCTGAGGAGGAATTTTTAATGATTATAAACAGATTAGATGATGAAAAATATGATGTTTAATACCTGTTCTATTATTATTATTAAAAAGAATCAACGTAAAACAATCAATCTAAACGTTCAATATAACAATTGTTTAGTTTTCTATACAAATATTTATTTTTTATATCTATCGATATAAATCCACATCAAACCTCCCAACAAGTTGCAAATAATGATTTAAATTCTTTTAACGAACTAAAACTACTAAAAAATTCATTCCAAACTTTTTTTACATAATGTTCTAGTTGTTTAAAAACAATTAAAATATTTTAATTTACCCTTATGGTTTGTAGATCTGTTAATACATAATTTTGAGCTAAATAGATATAAGAAATATTTTTGTGTCTAGACCTTACAAAATATTCTTTAATTACAGGTTGGTTTTCTGACATACAATCATCAAAAACAACTAAGCTATCTGGTTTACATTCATCAACAGAAATTATATCTCAAAGAGAAAAAACTGTTTTAACTTCATCTATACCTCTAAACATTTCTTGTAAATGCTCATAAACTACTTGATTGATAGTTTTTGTAAAAATATAAAGATTGTCATATGAAACCCAACGTTTTGCAATAATATTAAACAACAACGTGGTTTTACCAGTATTTGAAAATCAATCAATTAAACAACGTAAAAGTATAGGAAATATTGTTTCTATTTTATATTTACTTTTCTTAAAATCATTTTATACAATTTTTTATAAATTTATGTGTGATGGGTGTTGTTAATCAAAAATACTTGTTTCTAATTATAGTATAGACACTAGTCATAAGATTTTTAAAGAAAAATGTTTCGCTAGTTTACACCAATTAGTTAATTACCACATTTTATCTGCAATGGTGTGTGACTATTTTTTTATTTTCAAAATTATTTCCGATTCAGAAACATCTTCACGTATCACTGGACCAGTAAGTTAACACCTAACCTTGCCAATTTCAGTATTGAGTTTAACACTATACTAAATTATTATTATTGTTTCACCATTGAACAATTGAACCCAAAAAAAAATAGGTATAAAATGGTTAAAATAACTATTAACTATATATGATATTGAAAATCGAGT